GGAGAACCCGGAATGACAAAAAAGTTTCCAGCATCAAATACTGAGTAAGCCATCTGTGCAAGTAAAGAAACCATTCAAACTTCTAGTTAGTACAATTTAACACCAATGATAGTATGACTACTAAGTCAGAAACACAATTGTCTAACACTATTAAAAATATGATTTTTCTATAGATATTGTTGGTTTTATTGGATCATGATCACCACTCAACATTCAGGTGTCCCAGGGGACTGAGCCCAAATGCTCTAAATAAGGGCCAGCAATGGCCACTCAGATGTCCAGATGAACCATGGATTAGTATAGGCATAGTAAATCACCCTTTTAACTCCTGATAGAATGATAAATACATTCAAAGTGCTATAAAATCAATGTCTGAATCTTACCGGCAGGAAATAATTTGGGAAGACAACAACAGTAGATCGGCTGAAGAGTCTTTTCCAATCATTAAAGAGTTCAATCTGCCTATTTGAAGAGTATTTTCTTGATCGAGTAGCAAGCGCTTGTTCATGGATGGTCCATAGTATAGGTAAAGACTTGAAAGGTTCCTGCACAAAACTGTAACAAGTAAAATCATTCACTTTGGCTGATAGAGAAGTTGCTGATGGGAAAAACACCAAAGCATCAACTAAATTTGAGAAATATACATGAAAAGCAAACTGCAGACCACAGAAAGTGTATTGCAGCTTTTTTATATTAAGAAAATTCAACAAATCATTACAGAAATTTACCCATAAAAGGAAAAAGAAGAAGATAGAAATGAACAGCTGTTGCATAGTTAGGAAATCCCATCCACTGACAAAAGGAATAAAGAGTTTTCATAATGAAAATATACAGATACAGAAGTTTGCACAATATTGTTGATGATCACAGGATGTTCATAGAAAACCACAACAGCATCACAAGAAGAAATCTAACAGCTTCTCTATAAATTATATTCTTGCCCTATGAAATCTCTCAATCGTATACATATTTTCCAAAAGCTTTTCTGATATCAAGGAGTAATGTATCTCTACAACCTTCTCTTGCAATCTCGACATGCAATTGCACTCCTAACAAAGGCCAAATATAATTTTCCTGAACCTGGGAGGTTTCACACCCATGGGCCTAAAGCTAGTGCATTTTGAGATCCTTTTTGAGTAAATAGCTATTAAGAAAGAGAGAGAGAGAGAGAGAGAGAGAGAGAGAGAGAGAGAGTAGAGGAAAGTAAAGCAACAAGTTCAAGTGACAGCAAAAATTAGGAAGTATCATAATTTTTTATGTAACTAAATGATATATCATACCAAGAAAAGATGCCCTTTGCTTCAATAGAGTTCACAAGTATGCCATCATAACTGCAAGATACATATATGAAGATCAGATTCAACCACCATTTAATAGATCCAATATAATGAACCATGCTAATTAATATTGACTTATTGAGCAACCAGTGAAAAAAAGTAAAAAAAACAAACACAATCCCTATAACATCCATCGTCACAAGTCACAAAATTTCCCAGGAAATTAAAGTGATATTACATTTCTCACCACAATTCAAATAATCATGGCAAATTGGTAATTCATTCGAAACATTTGAATCATGATGTGAGTGGATTCGTCCCCAATACAGCAAATGAAATACTAAAGCTAACTGAACTTCAAAAGTAAATAGTATTAAGGATCCTGCATACAAACAATTAAACTTGATAATATTAAGAAGATGCAAAAGGGCTCATGAAAAGTAATGAAGCTCAATTGTAGCATTATTTCATTGATTCTCCAAATGAGGTCAACCAAACAAAACATTTGTGCAAGTAGAAACAAGAGGACATTCAATATTGTTGCGTTGAAAACAAAATTAGCATGAAAGGCATACTTTAGCCAGTCTATATTGAGCTCTGACTGGTTATAGGTTTGGATAATGGTGACCGGAACTCCTAAACTTCTCCAAACATCATGCACAGGACCATCTTCAAGTGAATAAACCTGCAATTATAAACCACATGACACAACACACCATCATATATATCTCGTGCAATGATGCATAAAAAGATCCGGACAGTAAATCTATGCTTAACACAGAATTGAATGTAAATACTTATAGCTAAAAAGACTACTTGTAATCCATAAGACCTGCATGTCCCTGGTGACAAACTAGTAGAGGAAGGAATAATAGCAGTACTGCAACCATTAGCATATGAAAACATATGACTGTATGAAGCTATCGTTAAATTTGAAGTTACATTTTTCAAAAGTATGGAAGTCAAATTACCGAAAATGCATATCCAATCTCCTTCAAAGCAGCTGCAACAGTCACCATCAGTAACTGTTGTGAAGCAACCGACAGATCTGCAAAAACCTTCCAAGTAAAAGAACGAAAGCAGAAGGGCAACAAAGAAAAACAAATCAGTGGAGATACAGAGTAAGCACTCAGTCATATAGAAACCAATAAGTCAACAAAGCTTCATATGTAATGCATTACAAGTGCAAGTAGCCAAACCAAAACGCAATATCTGAAAAGCAATAAACGAGGGAAAAAGTTCGGCAAAAATTGAAAACTCACCAGTGCAAGCTGAGGTTTTCTGTACCCAAAATGCTGCCGTGTCCTATTCATAGCAGAAGTCAAACAAGCCTCTCTAGCTTCCTTCTGAAATTTCTCCAAAAGCTTTGAAGGCTCAAATCTTATGTCCTCCCCAAAATCCAGCAAACCCAACTCCTTCAAAAACCTCAAATCTTCTGAATTCAATTCCACATTTTTCATTAAAACCCCTGACTTTTCCACCACCGAACCAGGTAAGAACATTTGGAAAAGAACCACAAAGAACAGAAACACAGCCACAGTGCAAATCCATTGGAGGTAATCTAGCTTCTTGAGGAGCAGAAACCTTGAAAACTTCGATCTGGGTCTCTGTAAAAATGGGTGCCTTTCAGTTCTACCAGTTGATGAAGACCGAAGAAGAGGGTCTCTCTTCAATGGAATCCCACTTTCCAAAGAACCCATTTTAGCTAGCTTCCCATCAATTTACAATGAAAAAGTTTCAAACTTCACACGATCACATCAAAATCAAAGCTTATTTCTAAAAGAATCAGATCAAAGATCAAAAACCCACAAAGTTAGTCTTACAGACACGCTTCTTAAAGGGTGTGGGTTTTGGAGATAGCGTTTTGCAAAGAATGCTTGTGAAGTTAGTAAAAGAGAGGTCAGAGATTGATTGGGCTGTAGCAGTGAAGATGAGAAGTTGGTGTTTGATATTGACGTGGACTTTGAAAGCGATTTTTTAAGGTTTAACGAAATATTTGGAGAGGAATAAATTGGATTTTTTGTGATCTAAGAAAAGGATAATAACAGGACACGACAAGATGATTGCTTGCTTTGCCTGTGAGCTATAAACTCGGGCCAAAATCCATACTCATTAGGGTAAATTGTCTGTCTGTACGTTCCTTTTTTTCTTATGTCCAAAATTACAAAATACTTCACCCCCTAAAGTCTATGTCCTAAGAATTTCTCAAAAAAATATTATTATATATAAATAAATAAAAAGATGTCCTCAGAACTTTTCCCTTTTTTCTTTACAATGGTCCCAATTTATTATTGGACCATTTTGGTGTGGCCTGCATAATTGCACCAAAGGTTATTGTATATTTTCTTTTCCAGGAGAAAATATCTTGACAAGCTGTCTTACATGAATGCAACATACATGTGAGTGGCAATTAGGAACTTTCCCCTTTGGAAATCGAGTTTATTTTTTGAGGATCCTACGTTACCACTTGACACAATCTCAAGTATTGTTTTTGGCTTGGATTTTCTCAATAATTGTGTTTCATAAACTAATAGTTTATACTAGTGGCTGAAATTAAGATCATTCAGAGCTTAATTTCTTAATACTTAAAGGGTAGCTTTAAGCTTTTGCACTTTTTTTTTATTTGAATAAAGCTTTTGCACTTTGGCAGATTTTGATGGACAGTTTGTGTAGTTTCTCTTTAAAATTGATTTACCAATTGAATAGGAGGTAGACTGAACACGCATACAGTAACGCAAACAATTCGAGACATTTTACAAGTGATCTGCTTTGATTTCTTAGGAAGTTTCATAACTATGTTTTATGAATCCTGATTCTATTGTTTCACGTGAAATAGTCTCCGAGGCAGTTGGCTTTCATACATCAATGTTATGTAATGAACCCACGCTTGCATTAATGGCTTGAAATCAAAACAGATGGGAGTCACCCATGCCCACGGAGGCTGCCACTAACATAATTCATGTAAATTATTAAAGTGTTTATCAAGTGCTTAACGAGTGCCTCTCCTTTTTCACGTCTCTAGTTCAATGCTTAATTGACTAATTTGACTCAGCTTTGACTATCAGCAAAACAAAACGCAACTCCTCTCTTTCCTTCGTTTGTAAAGGAATCAAAAGATGTCCTTCTCTTTGCTGCTTTCTTTTTGTTCCTTATTCTCTTTGATTATCTGCTGTGCGGCTTAGAGAATTTATACCAGTATGAAAGTGTTTAGTTTATATCAGTATCCAAAAATTCATAGCAATAATAACATCCCAGATGAATAAATTCTCATCTTTATGTTTATCCACAATACTTTTATATATAGCCCTTTGAAAAATGTAATAAATATCTGGAATATTTGACAAATATTAAACTAATGGGAAGTTACACCGCAGACAAGGGTTGTGAACAAAAAAAGAATTTCAACAGAAAAAACTTTGTCAAGAATATGCGCAAAGGGGCACAAGGCATCGATTTATGTTGTAGACCTCGTTGTATAGGCTATCCCCTGCCAAACATCAACATGTGAATGAAACATCCTGCCTTATTCTTGATCCATATTCATTGCTTTGAACAAACCATCAGTACAGAACAATAGTTGGCCGATAACACCAGATTCCCTTTCATAGTCAGATACAAAAACCATCATGCAGGAAGGCCAGACAAATTGGTAGGAAGCATTTCCTGCAGGCTTCAATAGAACTGAGCTTCTATGTTAACAAATATCCATGACATCTTTCAATCTCATATTCTCCCAAGAGGGGACTCGAGGGCATGATCATCAACCAACCAGAGACCATAATCATGGAAGCGCTTTATCTTCTTCTCAAAACCCAAGATATAATTGTTGTGGATTATAACATGCATCCCTTTAGTTTCCTGCACCCAAGTCTTGTTCTTGAAGTATAACCCTCCAGTTGGGAATGCTGCCTGCGGCAGTAGGTAGAGATCCACCTGCAGAAAATTATAAACATAATCACTCCAAGGATCTAAAGAACTTGTGAAAATATGAAATAATCAACTGATTGTCGCACATATGGGGTCTAAAATTATTGTACCAGTTGTTGGGAACTATCGAGAAAAACTTTTAAAGTGAACATACCTTGTTATCAAGTTTGTCTAGTGCCCAGTTAAAAGCAGGCTGATCATTGGCCTTCTTTGCTCTGGACCACGGTTGATCTTTCATTTCCTCAATCCACTTCTTCATAACTAATTTTGCTCCACTGGTTGGACGTAGAAAAATCATACAGCTGCATATATAAGTGCGCCCTTTCTTCCCTGGAGGCGGCAGATCATGAGAGTGGTTCAGAGGTTTGACCTGGTCACCAAAATAGAAAATATTACTTACAAAATATAACAAAAGTGCAAGTATCTCTGCAGTAATAGATATCACCACATATCCAGCTATCCACTCAATACCTAAAACACTACATCCATCAAAGAATGCACAAACAATCAAGATTGCTGAACATATCTGATGACTGATGAGCATGAAATTTTAGACAACACATGTTTAGCATCAGTTTAAAATTTAACACATGTCCACAGCTAAAACCAATACAAGTGTACTTACTGCAGTCATATCATCTGTGAAGTACACATCATGTTTCCCTTCCAAATAGGGAAAAGGATCAGCCAACCAGACCATATCAACATCATTGTACATAACATTGTATCCAAGCTCCAAAATGTGCAACAGGTGGCGTGGCCTTCGGGAAGTAAAGTTGAAGAATCCCTACACTAGGAAACCAATCAAGATCACTTTTGAAAGGCAAAAATCAACAATTCATAAGGTCAAAGAGTTCCAATAATCATATACAGGTCCACAGGAGACAAAGATAAACGCCAAGAGAAGCACTGGAATTAAAAATAAAAATAAAAAATAGAAGGGGGGGAGCAATATGCTGGAGGCAAAACCTGAGAATTAAATTATTTTTCAGTTTTAGTTGCAAGAACTTGAGCAGAAGATGTTAGGTAAGCGTGGGAAGCAAAAAGAAGATCATTGAAATTTGCACATCAAATTCCTTCCTCACTGTGCCAATTCTGTGACAGGAATAATTCATTGGCGTTTCACACCTTATATGCGGGAAATGACATTAGTGCATAAGTGCATTAGTGTTACTTGTATGAGGTCTTCCACAAGTACGATTGCTGTCGTGCTAAAAATCAACCAACCATTTTACAAGTGGAAAATACAAAGTCTACTTGTCAAGTAGTTCAATGAACCAACTTTAAGAACACCATAATAATCTCAAACTTCAAAATACAACAACAAATTAAGCCAAACGCAGAAGTTAGAATCAGCAATTATACCTGAGAACCAAACTTATGGGCAGTTTGAGAATCAAGTGCAGGCGGGACAAGCACTGCGTGGCCCGGCCACCGCTCATTCACCTTATAAAGCGTAGCATAATCTTCAGCAATCACAAGCACCTTGTCCTGGTGCTTTTGCCTGGTAATGCTTATCAACCAATTGTTCAAAAAAGGCAAGTAAGGCTGGCTCACAGCACAAACAATCACAGTCCCATTTTGGGCCACGAATGAAACAGCTTGAGCCAATGTATAGTCCCGCCACTTTGAGATTGAGGGCTTGGTGACTGAGAATAGGCTCTCTCGCATGCCCACCCAGGGAAAGAAGACCCCCATGACCACCATGAGTGAGAGAAGGACTAGAAGCGTTGTGGGGCTGAAGATCGAATACGATTTTTGAGAATTTGACGAAGAGCGCGGGGATATTGGGTATGGATCTGAAAGTGGGTTGTGAATTGGTCTTTGGTACAAGAACGATGACATTGTTTCAGAGATTAAAGGAGCAAAATTGAAACAAAGAAGAGCAGTATAAGTTGAGATCAAATGGTTCAATCTAATATATGGCTAAAAATCTCTGATGGGTTTCTTGGAAATTGTTGAAATTCAGAGGGAAACAACATCAAAATGGGATCATTAATGCAGAAGCTCTGTTTTATATATAAAGATGCAAACTTTCAATAGATTTTGCACTTTAGAATTGAAAATAGTGTCTTTGGGTGCGAGTTTGAAGAGGAAGGTAACTCGTAATATGAGATTATTGTTGAAAAACTGAAGATGTAAAAATTAACAAGGGTGCTGAGAGTGTTTCTCAGTCGGTGTGGGGCTTAGCAGATCACGGTTCACAGGCTAGACTAGAGGAAGGATTTTGCCTTTTGGAGTCGTTTTGGATTTACAAGTTTAACACTGGATCTGTCGGTGTTTTTTCGTCAAACGACAAGTCGTCTTATGTTAAATTCACCAAGTTAGCCAGGTAGAGTACTAGGGGAGGAGGAAGAAGCTCATACGTCATGTCGATAAATGCGAAGCAGCAGCAGGACTACTAAACCAGTTTACATTTTCCACTTTTTTTTTCTCGCATGTGTGATTTGGGATTTGCAGATAAATATACGTATTTACATTAACGAGGAACATGTCATTTGAATTTTGGTGATAAATTTTCATCATCACCAAAAGCAAATAAAATTTACAGCCATATAGTTTTCGAGTGCTTTGGGGAGTAAGTAAAAGAAACACAACAAGAAGGTGACACTGTCAATAATCATTTACACATCTTTAAACAATTCGAATGAGAGAAGTGAACAATACTGCAACACATTTTTACACATAGGTGTGCCCTAAAACTGGTAACGGCTGGTTGAAGACGGATCAACATGGAAATTCGGTAATGTACTAGAAACTAATGTAACCAATGATCATTCATCAGGTGCAACATTCTACAAATAGACATTCCCAGACTACTTCATTACAGGACTTACGACACAATTTGCTCATTATTAAGCAGCCAAAGTGAGAGGCTTCGAGTGGGAAAAGAATTTTGATTTCAAGCAATTGATAAACTAATGGCCAAAGGAAAAGCTCGAAATCAAAATGCAAAGGAAGGATTTACAGGCAAATTGACCCACATGACGTGAGATGTTCTGGTAGTGGCATCTTTAACTTGTTTTAATGAGGTCTCACGAGACAGACCCAGTCTTCAGCTTCATGGTTTTCTGTTTGGCAAAGAAAGCTGATAGCACACTTTTGCTGCGAACAGGGACACGCACAATCTCACGCCGGTTTGGGTTATCAAATGACCTGAATGTCGTCATTGGTCTCTGACCATCCACTGCTTCCTGCAAGGAAAAAGAACTTCACATCAGCTTTCAAATTTTCCTCATCTTTTAATACTGGGATGAGAACTTGGAGGATAGCATAGTGTACCCTGTGTCCAGCACTCAATGTTTGCATGGCCCCACCACAAGCAGGAACTCCACTTGGTAGCTGAAGGTGAGTTGCCGAGGATTTTGTAGGATTACTCCCTTCATTGTCTACATTCATATTAGCTGAAGTATAAGGAACTATCCTTTCTCTAGTAAAACTATCTATTTACAGCTCGTTGAAACATGACAAGGTGATCTGATGACATAACTTTCCAATTCTACATACCTAAAAGATGGAAAACTCCAGAAGTGTTAGCAGAAATTTTTGTGTCTCCAGTGCTGCACAAGGGAAATGCAACAACATTTGCACTTTCTTAGAAATATCAGGAGCAAGAGATACATCAAGAGAAAACAAATTATTACTAGTCCCACTGAAACCAAATGCAAGCTTCTTATTTCAATGAGGAATTACCTAGTCATAGCCTGTGGAGTCCCCTTCAAGGTTGATTTCGTTTCTGAAGCTAAATGCCAGGAAAGAGTTTTTGATGCAGCAGCACCTAAATGTTACACATTGTGGAAACACCAGACTCATTATTTGTGCACAAGAAGAAAATGTAAAATCCAATGTTAAGCTGGCCCAGCTAAAACTGGACTTAGAAAGCAAACATCCAACAGAAAGTAACATACTTGAAGATTGAACATGCACTCTTGCTTGATAAGGATGCTGTCTAGTATCAGTCTGTACATGTGGACTAAAATGTACCTTCTTATTGACAGAATCTAGCCAGGACAGACAAGGAAATAAATGTCAAAAACTCATCTCAAAAATGGCAAGTCCAAAAATAAGTTGATAATATTTGGTCTTACTTGGTAAAATGTAGTGCTTGTGGTGTCTCGGAATAAATGACAACAGCTGCTGTTGCCTCGACCCTTCTTTATCCATGTATGTTTTGCAAGTAAGAAGTTTCTACATTAAGAAATAAAGTTTGTTAAGTTAAGCCCTATCTATTTGATGCCCTTTCTATTCTAACATTAGATAAATGTGAAAACTCACCTGATTTAGGCAAGTAACTTTCAGATCCATGGTTGAGACATCTAAGGTTTGCTGGTCAAGAAGGTCAGTTAATTTGTAAGCCACAGTGCCAAGGTGATCGACAGCATTAACAAGGGCCCGCACAGCATAATCTTTCAGGTTATCCAGTACCCTAATACATAATTTTAAAATCAATTTCAGCAAGCGAAAAGCATAGAACATCATGGTATAACTGAATCAGACAAGCCATGGTTAAAGCATCCAGATATGTGGGACATGTTAGAGCATCATGTTTCTTCTCACAACTTGATCAATGAAACTAAATCTCTTTATATGCATAAAAAAAGAACCATAACTTGTGAAAACAAAGATCCTTACATTTGCTTCTGCTCACTATGAAGATAAGACTTTTCACAATATTCTGCAGCAGAATAAAGCTGAGGCCTTAAGTTCTTGAGTTCCTGAAATAAACCTACTATGAGGAGATACATACCCAAAAAAAACATAGCATTGAAGGATCCAACCATTATAAAAATGAAACATTTTCCTCTTCAAACAGCATAACCACATCAATTCAATGGATGTTATTAAGAGAGACACTAGGAACAACAAAAGCTTCAAGCTACACCTATTGCACCAAATAACCCAATACAGCTATGTAGTGGCAATTTAGAAAATTCAAGAAAACACACGATATATTTTAAGAAAGAAACATTATGATTTCAGTCATTCAGCAATCTTCATTCAATTTCTAACATACCAAAACCTAATGCCAAGTTAATGCAAATGATTTCAATCATTACCAATATATAAAATTATAAAATAAAAATAAAAGGAAAAATAATTGCCAATAGAACAGTAGATACCATAAAGAACCTCAACTGTCTTACCAAGCACAACGCATTGACATAATTATTCTAGGTAACACAAAAACATCAATAGATTCAAGCTAAACCTGTTTAAACCAACGCTCGGTGTAAATTACGCAGACAGACAGTACGAAGTTTTTGGATCTCAAACTCTCATTAAGCAAGACACCAATAGCCCCACAAATTGAAGGATCCTAGCAGAGCTCAACTAAGAACAAAAACACTGAGTAGCGAAATTCAATCAAGCAATCCATAAATGCACCGCGCACCACAAACAAACCAATCAACCAAAAATGAAATGATTTCAGATCTACAAGTGTGAGAATAAAAACCTGTAAGGCCTTGACGAAGCTCTTGCTACGCTCCATGGAGACCTCGTCGAAGGTCATCGCGGGGTTGAACGGCCCGGACTGCTCCAACTCCATTTCTAACCAGACCAATTCCAACGATCAATTACTACAAATTTGTACAAAGACAATACAATTAAATATGTAATTACAGCTGCGGTTAGATTTGGGGGGTTAGGTTTTGGTGAGAGTGGGAGAGAGAGTGTGGTGGAAGCAACAACGAGAGGTGGGTTTTTTAATTTTTTAATTTTTGATTTTTGGAGTTAAATGCAAGTGAAAATGACAGAGTATTTATTGCGAGGCGCGACCGGTGGCGCACATGTACTGGGGTAGTTGATAGATCATGGATGGATGGCGGTTCGGAAAATTTAATTAACGGCAAGGATTTTGTCGCTTTCAGAGGTGGGTTGTTCGTTCGCTATGAGCCTGATATTTTTTCTTTCTTTTTTCTTCTATTTATCTATTTATCTATACATATTCTATATATAAAACAAAATGTATAGAATAGTGAAACATTCAAAACATCAGAAAATGTCTTTGGTTAATTTAAGCATTAAGAATTGAAATTATTAATCTTCTTCTAAAAATAAAATTAAAAAAAAATATAATCAATTGGCACATGCATGAGCATGTGCCAAGGGGCTAGTGGCTAATAAATATCAACGAAATCAAAAGGTATTTGGACCACTTCATTGATTTTTAGTAGTAAATTTCGAGTAAAAACAATATATTTAAAAATGTTAAATAATTCATTATACTTTATTAATAATTAGGGATAAGAGGAATATTCCCATGCTCGTGTGATCACATGCATCAATAGTGTATATAAACCGTGTAATCCATTTATATATAGTGTAAAATGTAGAGAATGATAAAACAATCAAAATGCCAAAAATTACATTTGGTTCATTATTTCACATTGAAACTTTTCATTTAATAATGATAATATAGTAAATTAACATGTTTTCATATTTAAAATTTTTTTAAATAAAAACCAAAATTAGAATATGAAGTGAAGTTCTATTTTCACGAAACACAATTTTTTATTTTTTTTAAAATATTTTTTTTGGGGATTCTCTTTCTTATACAAATGCAATTTTGGTTCATGATATCATGTTGTGCGGATTTCACAACGTTGACAAAAGATAGCACTTGATGGAGGATCTAGCCAACATAAAATGTCATCATGACAGCAATCATGGTTTGCACTCACTCAGCCACCATCATATAGCAATGATCGAAATAATCGAGATCCCAGGCACAACTAAAGAGAACTTTCCGTCCAACATTTTTGCTTAATGATGCCCTGAATGTTCCCTCCAACATCAAACACCAATGCATGCAAGGTTTGCATGATTACATCCCGATGAACAGTATAAAAGCAAAAATTCTTATGGGCGACTAATCTTAACACAATCCTATTACATAATATATTCTGTTATAAAACAAATCAAGGCATAAAACAAAACAAGGCCAGCCTCAACTAAACAAATGGTAAAAGGCAGCTGGCTCTTCTTCTAGAGAGCCAATATTACTTTGAGAATAAATTAAAGTCATGGGGTGGCATGTTAGAAAAAGCCATAATCCAGCTCATGGGGATGTCTCTCTTAAGCTCCTGCCCACATTCTTTCAAGTTATCACAGGTTCACATTAGAGCATGCAAAATTTTGGGGGTCAACCCTCAGAAAATTTACCTAATTTTCTCGTATCACACTTTCGCACCCACTGCCATGTGATATGAACATGTTATAACTTATATATGGAGCCCATCCAAGACTTTGAACCCACCCAAGGAATGTATGTCTCTTCTAGAAGTTTGTATAGCATATGAATTTCAGCATGGTTAAGATATAAACAAATATGAGGGATTTTTAATTGAAGTGGTTAAGAATGTTAATCTCTGCATCTAAGATTCTAAGTTCCTCTAATATCACTTATATTGAAAGAAATAAACAAATAGTAAGTCAAATCCCATTGGTTCGTCTTTACCAACATTTTAGTTATGCTCTTTATTTTAAGCTATTTAGTCTATCCACATACCGAGTTTAGTTCAAACAAAAGGTAATATTGGATTAAATATGATGGGTCGGCCTGGTTCAGTCATTTTTGGCTTTTTGGGGTAGGCATGCCTACTCCTCTAGAATATGTGAGTGTTTTTTTACACACAAAAAATAAAATTAGTGAATTTGAGTCGGAAAATTTTATCACATTAAAACGAGTCACTAGACATTTGGATATTTCTCAAAAATAAAATAGGTTCTTACAAATAAACTCATATTAACATGACATATTATACACAAATTCATATAAAACATATTTGGAGAGGAAAACCCAAAACTAGTCACTTGTCATTTTCTAATTGGTTCTTATAAAATTTTAACACACTAAGAACTAATTAGAAAATGACAAGTGGCTAGTTTTTGGGTTTTATCTTCAAATAGGCTATATAAAGGGTATGTATAATATGTCATGTTAGAATGAGTCTATTTGTGAAAACCCCAAAATGAAAAGTAAAGTTGTCTTCAAAATAAGATGTAGCATAACAAGAAAACCCTAGTTGCTAAGAGAGAGAGAGAGAGAGAGAGAGAGAAGGGAAAAAAAAAGTTTCAGATATATAGGTTTTCCCTCATATCCATCTAATCTTCATTGTTCTTCGGTTTTTGGTGGACTTGTGTTGATCTACTCTTCTTTTGGTAGATCTATTGTCTCGGATATGTGTTGCCTTTGGTGGTGCTCATCTTGCAACACAGCTCTTTGAGGCGTTGCGGCTTGGTCATGGTAGATCCACTTCTTATTAGTATATTGAGGCCTATGAGTAATTAGGTGGCGCTCTCTATGTTATACCCCTAAGGAAGATTATCGAAGGTTGGTTTTCCTTTTGTCAATGTTGTTTTAGTTTTTTATTATTATTTTGGTTTAGTTTTGTTCAATGAAGTCCAAAAACTCTACGAGTTTTCTGTTTTTTCTTTCTCATGATTCCAAAAACTTAGTTGAGCTTGTTGTGTGTTCTTAGTCTCTTTAAGAGAGTCATGCCGTTAGTTTTTGTTTTTGATGTCATTGGACTAGATTCGGAGAAATTATAGCGGTTAAAAAGCATTTTAGAAAAATTATTTTCGAAAGTGATTCTCTCCAAATTGTGCTCAGGTCACACAGAGAAATTTGTACCCATGGTTGCCATATCAGACAAGATCATGAGTTCGAGTATGTGTAAGTTTGATATATTATAGTCCTTCAATAGGAAAGATACTGAGAAAAAAATAATAATAAAATAAAATTGTAGCATAGCTGCATAACACGTGTGTACCAACGGCCACTCACATATTTTAGTCATTTTAATTAACCGATAATTCCAATTTATCCAAAACAAAACTTAATATTATCCAAACAGATTTTCCGTTTTCTCTTCAGCCAATAAAATCCCTAATGTTACAAACTCTCTCGTCCACTTTCTCGAGAAAATGGCATTTTCTTGCCTTCTTTAAGCCTTGAAGTCACTTTGTGCTGAAATTTTCCAATGGTGATTCTCATTCCTTCACCAGAAATATCCAGAGTCCTTTGTCACCCTAACCCTAGCCTTAAAAGGTTTAAAATCTTGACGAACAATGAGAAATTTGGGGTTAAGTCTAGGGCGACGGTCAGGGTTTGCTCCAGAGTTAAAGATTGTACGGTGAAGATGTCGGAATTGGATCAGAATGTGAGGTTGTATGGCCAGTTCTCAGCACCAGTGAAGCGAGGTTCCAAGCCGAGCAAAGAAGAGGAAGAGAAGCAGAATTACTATGTGAATATGGGCTATGCGATTCGGACTGTGAGAGAGGAGTTTCCCGAGCTCTTTTACAGAGAGCCTAGCTTCGATATTTACAGGTTTGCTCTTTGTTATTGCATTTACTCTTTGTTTGGTTGCTGAGAAATGTAGGGTAAGAAAGAAAGCTGTTGAATTTCATGTTGTTTGTTGTTTTGTTGTATGTTTTAATTGAGAAATTTCTCAATTAAGCAATCTATGAGTTTCAATTTTATTGCTTTTGCAGTACCTTCTGTTTGGTTGCCTAAGAAAAGTTGAGAAAAATAAAAAACTTTGAGTGCTTTCTGTAGTTTGTGACATGAGAATAAGAAAATTTAAGTTGCAATCGAAATGTTACTCCAATTGAGGCTCAAGTCTTTTTGAGTAATTCAACATGATGGTATGTGTTCATGGTTATAGTTCAATTCTATTGCTTAGATTGACTGTGGTAGTTTGTATATTGGTAGTTGATTTCATTTACCCTTTATAACTTTAGGTTGTAATATCATTGGTTACCCCTATATATGTTGTTAACTTAGGAATTTTGACCCTGTATGTCTGACGAAATTTGGTCTCCGGAAGGAGCTCATGTATGCCTTAGTTGGGTTTGGCTACAATATTGTCAGTATATTAGGGGTTGGCTTCATTGATGTTTATTTAATTATTTATTTCTGTCAGAGGATGCCTCCATAGTGATGTATATGTAAATTGAAACAAGATGTTGGAATCTAAGTTATGTGTTGTGCATATGCTTTAGATTGCCAGTACTTTTTGATGGCTGTATAGTAATCTATGTGCATAAATATGCAGCAGGAATGTGGTATTCGGTTGCCTTGTACTTTTAATGCATGTACTGCCTTCCCATTTCTTTTAGCTCTTTTGCAAACGTGAGTGATGTTCGTAATGTTGTTCCCCATAAAAGCTTCTGTATATCACGTGGGATTTTGCTGTAGAGTATGCTAATATTTGCTCTGTATTCTGTATAGGGACGATATCACATTTAAAGATCCGATCAATACGTTTATGGGCATTGAGAATTACAAGTCTATATTTTGGGCACTGCGTTTCCATGGAAAGATGTTTTTCAAGGCCTTGTGGGTTGATGTCATTAGCGTATGGCAGCCCATGGACAATGTAATAATGGTTCGCTGGACTGTCCATGGCATTCCACGAGTCCCTTGGGATAGTCGTGGTCGATTTGATGGAACCTCTGAGTACAAAGTTGACAAGAAAGGGAAGATCTTTGAGCATCGCGTTGATAACATTGCTCTCAATTCTCCTCCTAAGTTTCAAGTTCTGGCTGTAGCGGATATAATACAATCTCTTGGCTGCCCCTCAACCCCAAGGCCAACCTATTTTGAAACTTCATCTTCATCCTCAAAGAGGACATGGTGATGTCAAAATTTTGGTGTATGCTGCGCTATAGTTGAGAGTACATATTGAGCAAGAGCTTGGCATCTTCTTCTTCAATGACGAAAAAGTTGGTTCGGATCGCAACATGTTGCCCAAATTGACAAAGGTACTACCAGACTTCAGGTCAGTAACTAGCTCTAGCAACTATAGGTTGTACTAATCAGTAAAAGCTACGAAGATTCTGAGTTCAACTGGACTATTGTACAACCCTTGTATACTTTGTATAGTGTGAGATGACTACAAGTTCCCCAATAATGTATCTTATTGTAGTATCATATTATAGAAAACTGAGCACCAGTGGCGACTTCCATGAGCCCGTGACACTTTTTTGGATATTTTGACTATAGAAGCTGCTGTTTGAAGAAAGGTTTATTTAGTGCTCTTTTTTTTTAAATGAAGAAAAGTTTAGGGGGAGGGGGCTACCCCATCCCAGGACCAGGTATACTAAGCCCTCTTTTTCGGGGTGCTATAGTTTTGTCGAAATACTCTGGTTTGGAACCAGGATGGGTTCTTTCTTTCTCCAATCCACATGAAAATTAGATGTGTCATCAATGTTGATAAGTAGCGTATGGTTTGTGAAAATGAATTCACGTGATTATTATTATTATTATTATTATTTTGCAACATTAAAAGGAAGCTTAGTGAACCAAATATGCGGCCGAGCATACTTATGTCCAACATTTGCCAAAGCATCTGGCACCAAATTTGCTTCACGAAAGATATGCCGAAAACTGATAACTTGAACTTGTTGAGCCAACAAATTTACATGAAAGATAGAACCTTTTCACCAAAAATAAAAATAAAATTGTTGACATTGGAACACGTTGGACCCTCCCGGTAGCTTCTGCTTGCCACAAAAAAGAGAGTTAAAAACTGGCGATTTTTTCTGTCGATTAGGAAAAACTTCGCGATTTATCTGGTGGGTATCAAAACTCATAGACGTGGTTATCAACACGTCTGTGATGGGCCTGGCAACAAATATCCTAATCCTACTAAACACAGAAATAGTAGTTTCAAGTTGCTTCCAAGTGTATTCAAGGGCTGGACCACAATAGGGGCTGCAGCCAGCCTCGTGAGGTTTTTTAGGGAAAAAATATAAAACATATATATTTAACTTGTTTTCAATATTAATCCGGTATATATTAACTTAAAGTCCAAACAAGTTTAATTCTTTATAAATTTAGTTGAAGGACAGCAATAAAAATACACATTAAAATATGTTCACTTTCAATTGTGTTGTTGAACGTATTTTCATTTTGATCATATGTGTTTACCACTATGGTGCTAAACCTTATTTGGTTTATGTTAAAGTTTATTGAAAATCAGTCAATGGAGCTATGAACTTATATGATTTAATGTTTACTTTTATTTCTAGAAATGCTATAGAAACTGTAAGTACCAAAAAAATAATAATAATTAAATTTTAACATAATAAATTTAGCTAACCCACTCATTGTAAAATTTCTAGTTTTCGTCCTTGAGTGTATTATAAAAAATAAGAATTAAGAGATGCGTGGAGAAATGGAAAACAAAAATTATCTACTAAATGAAGAGTCAAAAACTCCTCAAAACAATGCAAGACCCTAAAAGCATGATAAGGTAGGTCTGATGCAACAAAAAAGCTAATTGGTATGGAATTTTTAATGAAATGTACCCGAGATGAATGATTGAAGATTCACTATTATATCAAATATAGGGCTCTCAAATTATTTTAAAACTTATATAAAATATATTTTAGAAACACAATCAAAGCTCATTTACAATATAACAAAAAAGTTTTTAACTTCTTATAAATTACAAAACTGCCATTAATTTCTTAAAATAAATCCAACTCCAAAATCTCGTTAAAAAAACTCAAAACACTCAATAGGGCATTAAAGTAATTTAATAATCAAAATGAAATTCAATAGGACTAACTATCATTTTTTAAGTTTGTTTATAAAAATTAAATGGTATAAGGTTTATCTATATCATTAGTGTTAATAATGAACATATAACTAAATATCGCATAAAAGATCTACAGGCATGAGCAATTAACTTTTTTATTGTAAAATCGTTTTTATGAAAGAAAATGCAAACCTCACATTAACTTATTTCCTTGTCCATCTTGTCATCCTTGTCACTTCGGATCGGATGGATTAACCATATATTATGATATGTATTTTAGATTAACAATACGTAGCTTTCACTTAAAATAAAATAAAAACAAATATGTAGCTTTCCTGGACTCTGTCCACTTATAATCTTATTAGCTGCCGATTTGCCAAACATGGCATTGGTTTACTTTGTTGTTAAGGTGACTTGCCAAACATGGTTTCCCCTGTTTAAAGTATAGTTTTATATTTTTTTAAAAACGTATGGTTTGGAATATTGTGCATTTGCTTTCAGATTACTATATATATATGTTACTATATTCGGCAAGAAATTGCCATGAAGTTTCCATTTACGAAGGTAACACATGCAAGCTGCCACGTTTTTGTACAATAACTTTATAGAAGTATGTATAAGGAGATTTCTTCATAAATTTTGTACCTAGAAATGAGAGTTTTTTATTTTATTTTTTAAGCGATATTGAAGAAGGGGGAATCAAAAACCTAAGTCCTCGAGTGCGTTTGTAAATATTTTTAATCACTTAAGCAATAAACCCCTTACATAAATAAGACATTGTTAACTCGTCCGTGCATCCATTACGAATTAATGATTAACAAAAATTGAAGAAAAAACAACACATAAAACCAAATCAAATTAAACCAATTCAAATCATGATTTTAAAAATCCAACTTAATTAGATTGGATGTTGATTTTTAGAGTGTTGAAAATCGATTAAAACCGGACCAATTCAATCAACGCTAGCTTGTCATGTTTCTTACGCTAAGTTACAATAACGTTGTTTTTCATCTCAATCTCTAAATTTGTGTTGTAAAGGTTGGTGAATGGATATGTTTGATTCGGTTTGATGTCTTTTAATTGTTAGCTACGTTGCAAGAATTTTATATAAATCTTACATTACTTGAACTCGATGGAAATAAAATTTTAATATTGCTTCCAAAGAAGAAGTGTGAACTTCATTGTATAGTTTTTATTTGTACATTTTTTAATTCATTTTACAGAATTTTTTTTTTGGTTGAAATGAACCGATCTAATCTAAGTGTCCATTTGGCATTGCTTATTTGGGATGATAAATGATTTTTAAATTTTTTTAGGAAACCCAGCCCGTTTGATAAAATATGAGAAAATCACTTATTGTTAAAAATTGTTGTGAGAGAAAACTATAAGGAAAAACAGCTAATGAGATGCTTTCATTTTTTGATTATGCAATAATCAATTTTGAAGAGGCTATGAGTTTAATGATTATGAGCAAATTAGTACCAACAACACTTTTAACAAAAAGTTTACCAAACGCTAAACTGCTTTCTCTCACAACAAATATGACAACGATTATTTTCACAGTACAATAATGCCAAACTGGCCTTTATATAGATTGGATTATACTTAATTAGATCGAATTAGATTTCAATATACAAATTTATCGCTTGTGTCGACAGACAGAAAAACAGATTAAGACATCCTAATAAATATCCTGAATATTTTAAAACTGAACTTACATTTTTCAATGTCCTGAATATAAAAATTGTACTAATTTGAACACTGAAGACTTTGGGAAAATATCTTTTGGGTTTGGAATTATTTTTCACTTAGGTGGCACATCATTATGCCTATGCTAAGCATTAGGTGCCGACACAAAAATATCTTCAACTTGAACCACCAAAAGTGTATTATTCTCTAACAAATTATATTTTAGTAGGAATATAATCCTAAAGTATATTCGCGTCTCCAAAATCCTCTCAAACTATAAAGAAACCAAAACTCTATAGAAATTAAAAAAACAAATAAATCCTAGAAATAATTGGTCCTATTTTTCCAACAACAAAAAAAAGCTTTTATTTGCAAGTTGCTTCACTGGTGCTGCGTGCAAGAAAGACGTGGTGCGCTCTGTGCCATTACCAAAGTCCTCGGCTGTGCTCAAAACAAAACAAGGTCTCGTTGTCTTCTCGCGCTACGCGTAAACATGTGAGCCGCGAGCCTCGGCGCGCATTCCAAACCAAACCATCACACCCCCAAAACTCTAAAATTAAAGCAACCAAAAAACAAAACGCGCAAACGCTAATGAACCCAAGGCTCAGAATTGATTAAGGAAGGAGAGGCTCTGCTGCACCGCTGAAATCACGTGTCCATCACGTGCACTAGGGTTTTTTGTAAATTTAGAGGATTTGGTTATAAATGTGGGGTCGTGTGCCGACGTGTCCGTAGCTTATTAAACTTTCTGATATGGTATGGACGTTGGACCGCATGCCTCGCTGGACAGAACAAAACTCCACCTCTCAAACCTCTCAACCTCTCCTAGTTCCATATAAAATCTCATATGAACAATCATGGTAGAAAAAGAATAACACTGGGGGAAAAAAGTCAGAAAATAGAGAGAGAGAAAGAGAGAGAGAGAGATTGAGATAGAGCTAGAGTTTGAAACAGATCCAAAAAGCCAAATCAAATCTGAGGATATCCCATGTTTAACAGGGTTGTTTTTTTTCTTTAAAAGAAAAACAAACCCCATGAGCAAAGGGATATCTCAGTTTGATTTGTGAGAGTTTTTGTTTTTTTGTCATTGATCATTCTCTCTTGTGAATCTTTTGTTCTTGTTATTCTCATTGTTGTTGTTGTTGTTGGGTTTGGTCTGCAATGGAGGGAGAGAGGAAGTACATTACGTGTGAGGAGCTGAAGGAGCACAACAAGCCAGGGAACTTGTGGATCTCTATCCAGGGTAAGGTTTACAATGTCTCTGATTGGGCCAAGGAGCACCCTGGTGGGGATACAATTCTCTTCAATTTGGCTGGCCAAGATGTCACTGATGCATTCATAGCATACCATCCTGGCACTGCATGGCAGTACCTGGACAAATTATTCACTGGATTTTATCTAAAAGATTTCAAGGTCTCTGAGGTGTCCAAGGACTATAGGAGGATGGCCTCTGAGTTTTCCAGACTGGGTTTGTTTGAAAAGAAAGGGCATGGTGCTATGTACTCTATTCTGATCATTACAACCCTGCTTCACCTTGTTGTGTATGGTGTGTTGAAATCTGAGAGTATTTTGGTCCATTTGGTTTGTGGTATGATGTTGGGAGCGCTCTGGATTGAGGGTGCTTATATTGGTCATGATGCTGGCCATTACCAGATCATGTCAAGCAGAAAGTGCAACGACATTGCTCAGATTCTGGCTGGGAATTGCCTTACTGGGATCAGCATTGCTTGGTGGAAATGGACTCACAATGCTCACCACATTGCCTGCAACAGCCTTGATTATGATCCTGATCTCCAGCACATTCCAGTCTTTGCAGTGTCCACAAAATTCTTTAATTCAATCACATCAATCTTTTATGGTAGGGAGTTGAAGTTTGATCCTGTGGCTAGATTTTTAATCAGCTACCAGCATTTTACATATTACCCAGTCATGGTGGTTGGAAGGGTTAACTTGTTCATACAAACATTCTTGTTATTGTTCTCAAGGGGTAATGTCCCAAACAGAGCTTTGAACATAATGGGGATCCTTGTTTTCTGGACTTGGTTTCCTCTTCTTGTTTCATGCCTGCCCACTTGGAGTGAGAGGGTGATGTTTGTGGTGGCCAGCTTTACAGTGACAGCACTTCAGCACATCCAATTCACCTTGAACCATTTCTCAGGAGATACATATCTTGGACCACCCACATCAAATGATTGGTTTGAGAAGCAAGCAGCGGGGACTTTGGATATTTCTTGCTCAACTTGGATGGATTGGTTCTTTGGTGGCCTGCAATTTCAGCTTGAGCACCATTTGTTTCCCAGGTTGCCTCGTTGCCAGCTGAGGACGATTTCTCCTACTGTTAAAGAACTATGCAAGAAGCACAATTTGCCTTACAGGAGCTTGTCCTTCTGGGAGGCCAATATGTCCACCATTAGGACTCTAAGGACTGCTGCCCTGCAGGCCAGGGACCTGTCCAATCCTGTCCCAAAGAACTTAGTCTGGGAAGCTCTGAATACCCATGGCTGAGATTTCCTGAGGCTTGTCAAATATATTAACTGCCCCACCCACAGTCATTGCCTTTCTCTTATTATAAATACAACTTTTGGGGATCTAGGATGAAGATGATTAATCTATCAGCTGGGTTTTGTCAATTGAGATTTCATATCTTTTTTCCTTTGGCATTTCTCTTCTGGAATATATGATTTCTGTATGTATTCTGTGTCTAAACTTGCAGTATAACAAAGGTATTAACTTTTGGTTGATTTGCAGTTTTATGTTTTTTATTTTAATACAGATTATATAGAGATGTGTCTCCATGCAACTCTGTGTTTGTTGATTTGATAGGCCTTTTGTAATATTACAGATACTAGTTTGAAGAAAGGCAAATTCATTCCCAATTTATTTATGTGTTTTCTTGTCCAATTCTTTTCCATTCACTAGTATATATGGCTACTGAATGTTCATATCTCCAGTCTCTAGTCTCCAGTCAACCATAAACAGTATGAACAGAGGCAAAAGGACAACAAAAAGAAATTTGGGACAAGTGAATTAGTCAATGTGTGATGAGATAACACTGTTTGTTATTCTCAGCCAATCACTCCATGTTACGTGTTATAATTTTTCCAGATGGTATGGTATAACATTCCGTTTGATATAAGTTTTTCCGCCCCCTCAAGCTCTCTCAGAGTGCATACCATCTCCCCAACCCAGATGCGACACCTCGGGTCTCTCCAAAATAATGTAAGCAAAGACAAATGTACTATGAATTTTGGTGCAGGCATTGCCTCAGCAGACAGCAAGGTTGCCTATTTCCCAGGGGCTAATTAGTAATTAGAACTAAACCTCTCTTCCAAAGAAAGATTCCAAGTTCAATTTCCTTTTCTTTATGTTTTACATTAATTTAAAAATATATTTAGTTATATATCAATTGTTAGCATTAATGATGAAGATAAATTCTAAATCATTTAATTTTTATAAACAAACGTAAAAAAGCTCAAAAAATGACAACTGTCCCTATTAAATTTAATTTTGATTATTAAATTACTTTGATGTCCTATTTAGCGTTTTGGGTTTTATTATAAGGTTTTGGGATTAAGTTTGTTTTAAGAAATCGATAGCAGTTTTGTAATTTATAAAAAGTTAAAAGCCTTTTTGTTATGTTGTAAATGGGCTTTATATGTATTTCTAAAATCCATTTCATATAGGGTTTTTTATAATTTAGACTCATATATTTGGTATAATCTCATTTAAAAAAAAAAAAAAAAAAAAAAAAAAAAAAAAAATTGTACTAGATTTTATTCATTGTAGGCCACAATTTATGCAGGCCATCTTTCGCTTTCATGCTCTTTCGTTTTGCCTTCCATGGTTGAAAATGACCTTAGTGGAGAAATTTTCATATGATCTGATTGAAGGACAAACCAACAATGTTACTTGGTTTCGTGATTGTGCTCAAATGATTGACAAAATGTCGCTTTCCAGTGCTCTATTTTGTATCAAAGCTTCGACATAGCTATGTAAATTTTGGTTCATCCTGATAAAAAAAACTGCTTCGAATGGTTCGGATGTCAAATTTACTCCCTTTTTGAATTATGCTCAATACCAAGAAATTACAAATAGGGATAACCATTTGATTATTTCTTGGCTGAATGTACAAGATTTAGTAAACATATGAATCTCTTTGTATTGGCAACCACCAACCTTTTCAAAAGTCAATAATAATTATTATGGCATGATATCATATATGTTAGATTTCAACATTCCTGGACTTTGGAAAACTTTTCCAATGTATATCATGTTGGAAAAACAATTATCAATGACTAATTAAAACAATTATATAAACAGAATTTATAACAATCTATAACACAGAATACAGTATATAAACAATAAATAAAACTGACTTGAATTCGAGATAGAGGCTTGCAGATTTGATGCAATGTCCTAAAGACAGTAATTTCACCCCTTCTCGGTGCTTGAAGTTCTACAGGTGACTGCCTCCTAGGATTCAACTATCTGTATTCTAAGCCCTAGCACTCGGACTTAGAATCTGGCGAACGTTGTTTGTTTTCCTTTCAGACAATATGAAATGCTTGTAGAATGTTTTTTTTCTGTGTTGAACGTATGAGGCCTTGTTTGATTTAAATAAACTTCTGAAACCTTATCAGAAGAGTCACAACTGTTAGAAAACAGTTAATAAAACTAATCCGAATTAATAAAAAATTATTAATTCGAAACCAAAAAAATAATTTTAAATCTGAAAGTGCCCCAAGGCCCAAGGCCCATCTTTTTTACCATTAAATATTATATATTTTTATATAATATTCAAAGCCCAAATCGTTTTTGAAGCCCAAATTGCTTCCACTTGGCCTACTTCCATTTACTAAGTGTGACACTTCCACACTTACAAGGACCTCACTCTTTCTACTTTCTACCAATGTGGGACAAAGGTTCTTGAATTACTTCAAACTTCTAACATATCAATGACTGTAATTTGGACTTCTATATATGGACTCTAGTGTTTTTTTTTATACAAACTATAATGGGGAGATGGAATTGAAGTCCGGGTCTTGGGTGTAGAAGTAAATGCTCTCAACCACTTGAGCTATAAACCTCTTGCAAAATTTAGTTGAGAAAAGGAAGAAAATAGGCATCAAGAACACACAATGTTTCTATATGTATTTATGCATAATACTGATATATGTAAGAATTACACAAACATCACAGACAACTAAAATTGTCTCTGATTCAGAATTTAATTTAGACACTGCTCTTGATGGAAGAGCTATATTTAGTTTGATCATCATAATACTTGGACCACAGCATGACCCCTCCATACTTGGGAGAACCTTTAATTGCTGGAAGCACTTTAGAAGTGAGATCAGCCACAGGAATGAAGCCACTTCCAGCAGCTGCAGGGGCAGCTGGTAGTCCTAGGAATATCTTGGTAGCTGGAATATCTGAAATCCACTGCTTCCATGCATTTTCAAGGTTGCTAAGATCCCCAGAGGAGTATTGGCAAGGTGGGTTGTTGTAGAATTGGACCCAAACATTGTCAAAAAGGCCTGTCTTGAGGGCACCCCCAACCCAAGCATCTGGAAAAGGGCACTGAGGGGCTGCAGTTAAATAAACTTTCTTACCTTGTTTACTATATGCAGAGAGGTACCTTGCAAGGTCATCCCAATGTAGGTTTGTTCCTCCTTCAATGTCGAAATCAATTCCATCCAAAACAGCGTCACCAAGCGGGCGAGATGAAGAGCTTCCCCCCAAGAAATTGTTCCATAAGTAAGTAGCAACTTGCCTAGCATCCTCTTTAGATGTGAGGTAGTAGCTCCCTGCTCCTCCTCCAATTGAAAGAATGACCTTGACCCCTTTTGCTTGGCATGATTTAATGTCAGAGCTCAAGCCAGTGCAGCCATTAGTGTAGGGATCACAGTGTCCAGCTAGGTTGATCATGGGGGTCTGGCCATTGCCAAAGGTTGGAAGAAAAGCTAGGTTTACAAATTCATAGTTGCCTGTAGCACAAGTTTCCTCCAAGGTACCTTCATTCCCATTTTGACCCCAGTAGATGGCAATGCCTGCGGCATCAGCTCCAAATTGTACTGCTAGGCTTACTGAAATGAGAAATGCTACGGAAATTACTAACTTTGGTGCCATTGTACACTCGAATAATGTATGCTTAGCTAGTAGCTGTAATATTTTTCTTGTTACTGCTTGCTTGTAGTATTTTGATAAACAGATCTTTTTATAGGAGAAAATTATCCCCATTCTGATGGCAACACCCTGTGCTTTTGTGGAAGAGTGCGTGGCTGCGAAGTCACTTTGTTTCTCACCTGAATTCCTTTGTATCAAATTATCAATGGTTGTGGATTAACGCACACGGCATACTATACCACATCCTCACTTATTTGAGACATCTTATGTAGCTTTTTCACACTTCCATTTTATCCATTCGAACTCCTCTTTTTTATTTTTATGCTTTGAAAATTATGCAAACAAAAAGATTATTGAAACATAAAAACGAGAAGAATGCAAACGGACAAAATAAGAGCATGAAAATCACTATCGTACTTTTTTTTTCGTTCTCTTTTATATGTCTAATTGTAGATTGTGTAAAATGACGGAGGATTAACGCAGAGAACTACTTAATTAGGCAAAATTAAAATGGGATTTCCACATCCTCTAAAATATTGAGTGCACATTTAGGTCCCATGTAGTTTTCACCAATATTTTTTTGTCTCTACTTTCTTGTGCACAGCGATTCTGTAAATTATGGTGAAAATTACCATACCAAACTGAGTTGCAGATCACAATCTGCAAATTATCACAAATTACCACAAGAAAATAGAAAAGGAAATTGACTTTACATGATTAATTGGGGCTGTATTTGAACTCTCAGTCATGTAACAATTCACAGTTTCTACAAAACAAGTCACGTGTTATATGAATCTCTCCTCTTCTTTTTTTCCAGTGTTTCTTTTACACAGGAATGGGTTCTGATTTCTACATGCTTTGAATGCATATTTTTCGCTATGTGACAAATAGCTCACGACATGCATTGAGGTTGTGTTGTGCCTTAACAGTTCATTCGTCTTATGTCGTCATGTTTTATTTAAACCCCCTCTTTTATTTATTTATTTAATATGATGGTGTTAGCTTGACACAAAATGGCATATAGAGCGCAAAGAATCCACTAGTGTAATGGTTTCAAGTAATTGTTCATCTAAGAGCATCTCCAAGGGAGATGTCAAATACCAAACATCAAATTTAAATTTGATGGCTAATATGGCAATTTGACATTTACATAGTTTTACACTCCACCCGATATGTCAAATAAATAATTATTGTAACAGTCAAATCATTTAAGATAAAGAAAAAAAAAATATAAAAAGGAAAATAATAAATGAAAGTAACAACCAACTATCTTTAAAAATAATAAAATATTCATTTGACATCTTGCTTTTGGGATGTCAAAAATAACATCTCAACCTCCAGCCTTCATTCCACATCAGCTTTGACACATCGGTTGGAGTGAGGTAAGATGTTATTTCTAGCTGTTAAATGTCTATGTGGCACTTTTGACACATCGGTTGGAGATGCTCTAAGTAAGGTTCTAAATTCAAGTCATAGTATTCGTATAATATGTGAATTTAATACATTATCGCTTCTCTCAATAAAAAAAGACGGTACGAAAAAAGCATGACAAGTTCAGCCCCCATAATTGACATTTGCCATGTGCTGTTGTCCACTGGCCCTTGTAACACTTTTAATAATCATGAATAATCATTTAATGACAAAAAAAAAAAAAAAAAAAAAAAAAAAAAAAAAAAAAATATATTTACTATATATGATGCTTCCCCACTACCCAAGCACTCAGTTTGGTAATAAAATAGCAATGATGGCCCACAAACAGCACAGGGGCATGTGATTCCATCCAAGGCCAGATAAGCAAATTTCTCAAATTTGAATATCCAATAAAATGCCATACCCTAATATCAAATTACCAATGATTCTTGAATCTCCATGGCTTTATTTCAAACATATGTGTAATTAGCTTTTCTGTGGTTGGCATTTCTCTAAGTTCTATTTATAATTTTTTATTTTAAAGAAGTCCAAATTAAAAAAGAAAATAAAGACTCTGTCTCACTCTTGAATAATAAAATCACCAAATACTACTCGACGAGCCTCTCCCCAAAGAAAAAGACACTCTAGCCTAACATTTGACAAAGAGATCCTATGTTAAGATACTTGTTCTCCATGTCTTCAAGTGAGATATTACTCTTCATATTAGTACCCAACCCCATGCATGGAAGACAAGTGTAATGTAAGAATTAAACAAACATTAGAATTTAAAATAGTTTAACAGGTCTCTTCTGGCCTTTCCTCTAACTTCTTGCACCATATTAATGAATTGATTTGAAATAAAAAAGAGTATAATTAAGGGAAATATTCTTTTGAAATTTGTGGTTCAAATTCACAATATATAATACAAGTTTTTATTTTCACAAACCGACAAGTCATGCAAGTCATGCAAGTCGAATATGAGCCTAATCATGGGACCAGGCTCAACCCACTAGAGTCAAGCACGTTACCTTAGTTATTGGACATAAAATTAAATTCTACTTACGACTAAATTTACAAAACTTTAAATCAATTTCTTAGAGTTCAGAAGCTTCGCCATTAAGTTTTTCTTGAAAAAATAAAATTAAAACCTAACACATCTGCCATCACATCCATGTCATTTTCATCTTAGGGGCCTCTTGCACAAGTCCTCAAGTCTTAATGTACAATTCTTTGATGTAACTTAGCAAGTCGAGAAATGCAAAAGCATATAAGTTCCACTTTACATATTATTCTCAACTCGAGAAGTCGCACATACCTCTTCGGCTCCTGAGCCGGCCCGACGGTCGTATAACGCGCACTACTTCCCCCGTTATTTTACCTCTGTTGACCGGTCAACGATACCAGCTGTGGCGGAAATATAACTTGCACATAGCGCGTCGTTGTATACGAGGCCGATTCTAATCCGTTGCTCTCTCTCTCTCTCTCTCTCTCTCTCTCTCTCTCTCTCTCTCTCAGTGGGTTTCTTTGGATATACTCACATTACCGCTCTAACGCGGAAGCAGAAGCTCAAAAATATCCTGGGGGCGGTTTTGAAAAGTCTGAAAACCAAAGCTGGGGCAGTTGAGGAAATTTGGAAAGTGGTCTAAACCCGTTCAAAATTTAGTCTTATTGATTGGAAGTCAGGAAGATATTTTGCTGGGAGCGTGTGAGTTGACTGACTATTGAAGAAAGGTTTAATCTTTCACCTTATTTTTTGTCTATATTTCTTCTTCATTTGCCTTGTAACTGCAGTATTTTGTTCTCACTATTTGTTTGCGTTTGAATCTAGAAGAAAGGTTCAATCTTTCACCTTCATTTGTCTGTATTTTCTTCTTTATTTGGCCTTAAACTGCATAGTTTTGCTCTATTTTGCTCTAATTGTTTGTTTACGAGTGCATATCAAACCGAGATCCAAAAGGGTTGTCTTGGTTTGATTTGTTTATGTTGGCCGATCTATCTGTGGATCTTATCGTTGAATTGCCATTTTATAGGGTTTGAGCCATAATGGAGGGTGAGAGGAAGTACATTACTGTTGAGCAGCTGAAGCTGCACAAGCAGCCTGGGGACTTGTGGATCTCCATCAAGGGTAAGGTTTACAATGTCTCTGATTGGGCCAAAGATCACCCAGGTGGGGAAGCCGTTCTCTTCAATATGGCTGGCCAAGATGTCACTGATGGATTCATAGCATACCATCCTGCCTCCGCATGGCAGTACCTGGGAAAATTCTTTACTGGGTATTATCTAAAAGATTTCCAGATCTCAGAGGTGTCCAAGGACTATAGGAAACTTGCTTCAGAGTTTAACCAATTGGGTTTGTTTGAAAACAAAGGGCATGGGGCTCTTTACTCTGTGATAAGTCTTGTGGTAATGCTTTCCCTTGTTGTCTATGGTGTATTGAAGTCTGAGAGTGTGTTGGTCCATTTGGGTTGTGGTTTGTTGTTGGGGGTCCTCTGGGTTCAGGCTGCCTATATGGGTCATGACTCTGGCCATTACCAGGTCATGTCGAGCCGGACCTACAACAAAATGGCTCAGTTTGTGGCTGGAAATTGCCTTACTGGGATCAGTATTGCTTGGTGGAAATGGACTCACAATGCCCACCATATTGCCTGCAACAGCCTTGATTATGATCCTGATCTTCAACACATGCCAGTCTTTGCAGTGTCCACAAAATTCTTTCATTCAATAACATCAGTCTTTTATGGAAGAGAGCTAACCTTTGATCCTGTGGCTAGATTTTTAGTCAGCCACCAGCATTTTACATATTATCCTATCATGATTGTTGGAAGGGTTAACTTGTTTATACAGACCTTCTTGTTATTGTTCTCGAAGAGAAGCATCCCAGATAGAGGTTTGAACATATTGGGAATCCTTGTTTTCTGGACTTGGTTTCCTCTCCTTGTTTCATGTCTGCCCAATTGGAGCGAGAGGGTGATGTTTGTGCTTGCCAGCTTTGCAGTGACAGCACTTCAGCACATTCAGTTCACTTTGAACCATTTCACCGGAGATACTTATCTTGGACCACCAACTGGGAATGATTGGTTTGAGAAGCAGACAGCTGGTACTGTGGATATTTCTTGCTCAAGTTGGATGGACTGGTTCTATGGTGGGCTACAGTTTCAGCTTGAGCACCATTTGTTCCCCCGACTACCCCGTTCCCAGCTTAGGAAGATTTCTCCTACTGTGAAGGACCTATGCAAGAAGCACAATTTACCTTACAAGAGTTTGTCCTTCTGGGATGCCAATGTAACCACTATTAGGCTTCTAAGGTCTGCTGCCCGGAAGGCTTGGGACATGGATCTTCCAATCCCGAAGAACTTGGCCTGGGAAGCTGTTAATACCCATGGCTGAGATTTGTTGACGCTCATCAAGATATTGCCCCCACATTACCTTTATCTGTTTATAAGTTGGGGCATCTAGGATGGAGATAAATTTTTCAGCAGGTTTTTCAATTGCTATTTGATATTTTTTTGGCACTCCCTTGGACGGTATTTGATTTATATATGTTTCTCTGTTTAGACCTCAATAACGTACTGATTTAATTTTTGTTGATGTGCATTATCAAGTTGGATACCAATACAAATTTTGGAGATGGATCTCTGTCTATTGGTTTTGTAGTTCTTTTGTCTATTCTAAACCAATTCAGTAACCTTTTAATTTCAGTAATTTCCTGAGCATTCCTTTTCATCCACCAGTGCATATGATACGAAGCCTACTCTCAATCAGTTTCCTCCAAGGAATAAATCTTAAGTTCGAATTCTCCTTCTCCCAAATGTCCTGATTGATTAAGAAAGAAAATTTTGACGTTGCCTGATTTTGTTCATTTTATTGGCTAAAGCTCTATGGTGTTGTGTTGTTGAACTGGTCTTTCTGACTGAAGAAAAAACAGTTTATGTTACATCTAGTTTCCTGCTTATGCTGGAGCTACTTGGACATGCCAATTTCCTTCACCCCCATCATAGTTTTGGTCTCTTCAGAGGGCCTTTCTTTGACATTTCCAGTGTTCAATTTCATCTTCATGATCAACACAACCATCTATCAACTAACCATTTGGGGTTCCTGTTGCATTTCTGTGTTTAATTCAGAGATCCAAATTTCCATTAACTAACAATTGGAAAGGAGGCAATCCTTGCATGTGTTAAAGGGAGGAGCTGCAGTAATGCGTAACCTTCAACACATTATCTAAGCAGTGAACGAAACAACACCAGATAGCTATTATCAACAAATCCTTTTAAATAGATCAACTGTACATCATGACTCACAAATCTTATCACACCGGGATCATCGTCGTATCGTATCATTCCAGTTATGTTCTATGCTTTCTCTTCTTTTTTGAGAAGGGAAGACTCGTGCTCTAAAGTTATAAGTCATTCCCAATGTAGATCTATTGGGGATATGATTCATGAACAGTTTACATATTTGCATCTCAAATTGACTTTTAAAGGGACAATAGGACTTCCAACAACAAAAAGAGACAACACCGGCAAGCGTTTCAAGCCTTTGAAGGTTGGCCCAATCGAAAGTATGAAAACAGAAGGATAAAAGAAGTGGTAATGCGTCATAAAAAAGAAGAAGTAATAATGTCAGAAGTGGGATTTGAACCCACGCCCTCTTTCGAGGACCAGAACTTGAGTCTGGCGCCTTAGACCACTCGGCCATCCTGACCTTGTTGGTAACCAATCACTGTATATTACATATAAACATAAAAAAAAAGACTTAATTTTAGATCGTACTAGCCTGCGGCGCGAACAGGTAAAACCTTCTCTCTCGTTCGTTGGGGATTTTTTTCGTAATCAGTCCCTTTTTTCTCCCTCTTAGGGTTTCTTTCTCAGCAGATTTTGGTAGCCATGAATCCAATTCCATACCAACCTGCGGCACCCCCACCTCCGTGGCCTCCAATGGTGCCGCCCAACCTTCCAATGACGAGCACTTTCTGGGAAACCTCAAATGTTCGTGAGCGGCTCGAGAACTTGCAAGACACTCTTCGTCTAGCAAAAGCAATGTACGAGTTTGAGCGTTTGATCATTCTAAATTCAAATTGATTAGGAGCTTTCTGGAACTTATTTTAACTTGTGAATTGCGATTTTATGAATTCGTAGGCAGAAAGAGCTTGAGATGGTGAGGTTGATCAAAGATGGTAAACGAGCTGAGGATGATGATGGAGCTTCAGTCAGTGAGTTTTCTGAATTTTTGAAAGAGAGGAGGATCAATTTGGAGTCCCAAGTGTCCCTTTCAGTGGAAGCTGCAAATGCTTTAATGGCTAAACTACGAGTTGAGCTTGCTCCATTTAGAGCGATCACTCATGAAATGTGTCCATGGGAGGAAAAATCTGCGGCACTTCGATTATCGAATAAAATACGTAAGTGCAAGAGAAATAAACGATGGAGAAAAGCATTGAGGAAGCGCATTGCAGAAATGAGTGCAAAGGTGGATTGGTTTGTTCCCTTTCCCTCCTCATTTCCAATTGGGATGCAGAAAGTGCTTAATTGGTTTAATTTGCTCACATTTTTCATTGCTTTGGTGATGCACAGGAGCGCGAAAGATTCGAAGAAGCTGATCGAGAAGCTGATGAGTGGAGAGCCAGGGAAATTGCCAAGGATATTGCGAAACGCAAGGTATTGAGATGTTTCTCTTAAGCTGCATATGTTTCAGTCATTCTTGGCTTCTGTTTATTAGTAATGGAGGTATGGCATGTGGGTTTTCAGATGGAGGACATGGGAAAAATTGCAAAGCTTAAAGCAAAAGAAGAGAGAAAGAGACTAGAATCTGAGGTGAGAATCATAAGCAACTCAAATGCCCTTGTTTTGTAATAAATTAGTAAAGTTGCTCAGCTGCTCTTAAAAAAAATTAGAAAATGTGTTGCGCTGACAATTGATTCCATATTTCAGCTTGAGACGGTATTGATTGTAGAGAAATTGCAAGAGTTGCGTTCCATCAGGATTGAAAAATTGAAGAAACAAGGTTTGCTGTCTTTTTGGTTTTTTCTTTTCTTTTGGATGGCTATCCTGTATCTCTTGTGATGTGTAAGTAGATAGTTTAGCAATCAAGTTCTTTTATCATGCACCATCATCTTAGGGTGCCTGTTTGACACTACATTTAGAGTGAAATTTTGTGTATATATATCCAAATACAACCAAATATATTACACACAAGCATGCATTATCGTTATCATCTTCCAACCGTGTTTGTCTAACTTATGGCTGTTTGCATATTTATGCAGGTCATTTTCTCCCTGAGGAGGATGATAAATTTCTTGAAAGAGTACGGGCTGCAGTGGAGGAAGAGGAGCAACAAGTAATCATGGCAGCTGACATGGATGCTGCTAAGGATGCCATAGCAACTGTTGAGCAATCTAGGAAAACAACTGAGAATTTCAGACCTGACTCCAAAGATCAAAGCAGCGATAGAGGCGAGAGTAGGGAAAGTAAAGACCAGACAACTCCAATCACTAATGCAGTGCCCTCTAGTGCAGTCACTACCAAGGAACCTGGGAAACAAGTTTCACAGGGAGAGGGTTATAGCGGAGCTTATGATGCTGTGGCGAACTTACCCATTGAATTTTATCACTACTATCATGGTAGCAACACTGATATGGGCACCCTTATTGAGGTAACTTGAAGTGCAAAATACCCCTAGTTCTGTAGATTGCCTATTCAAGGGCCATTGATTATTTTTATCAACATGAGAAAAGTCTAATTAACTGATCACATTGGCACACTATCATCTCTTTTATTCTGGGCTTTGATTATAATGAGGACTGTACTGGATGCAGGTGAGAAGAACATGGGATGCCTACATAAGACCGGGAGGAAGGTGAGTGTGAATTATTTCCTGCTACTTTATCATGATGCGCCGTTTAATTAGCCTTTGGCAACTTTTTTCTTTTTTTCTTTTTCCTCTTAATTTGCAAATGGAAAAGACAATAATAAAAAAATAGGGGAGGAAAGGATAATTGTGATAATGAACTCAAGTGCACTTCTGAGAGTTGTTGAGATGTTCGCTTACAAATAGTGCCTGGCCTTCACACTTAAGTTGTGAATCTACTACTGCAGCATACATCACCAGCGCCATTATTAGTGTCTTAATCACTGTTTATCCCCAATACGCTTTGATTCTAAATAAATGATTTGTAAGCTTATAATTCTGTTAAATTTGGTGCAGCCGCCTACCGGGACACTGGGTTCAACCCCCACCTCCTGCAGATGATATATGGGCATCCTACCTGGTGCAGTCTAAATGACTCTGCTGCTGTAGATTGAATCAGTCAGTGCCGATGGCAGATTTTGCAGAAAAATATGGACTTGGGATTTAGGTTATTTTTCTTGTAGAAATGATTTTTTTCAATTTTTTAATGCAGATGATGATGATATAGCTTAATGATAAAAACATGTCAATTTTCTTTACGAGTCAGAGTAATTTATGGGCAATTGTCTCTTATTTTTCTTCGTTGAGCCTAATTTGTCCATCTTCTCAATTAGGAAACTCTTTCTTTCACCCGTGTAAAGACGTTCTGCCGATAGTGTAGATCTACCAGTATAGACGGTCAGCTATACTTTAGAGACTTAAATGGTATAGCCGTGCGGCTGTACTTTAGAGATTTTAACAGTATAGCCGCCCGGCTATACTGTTTAATATATTCGATATCGTATAGCCGAACGGCTGTACGTTCGATATTTAAATAGTATTCTTTTTTTTGGTCTGAGAGATTTAAATAGTATAACCGTCTTATTTAATATACTCGAATATTTAAGTGGTATAGCCGAACGGCTATACGTTAGAGATTTAAATCGTATAGCCGCTCGGCTGTACTATTTAATATATTAGAATATGTAAATAGTACGGCTATACTTTAGAGATTTAAATAGTATAGCCTCGGTCGGCCATACTCTTTAATATTAAATAGTATACCGAACGGCTGTACTGTAGAGATTTAAATAGTATAGCCGTCCTATTTAATATATTCGAATATTTAAGTAGTATAGCCGAACGGCTACACTTTAGAGATTTAAATCGTATAGCCGAACGGCTGTACTTTAGGGATTGAAATAGTATAGCCGTCCTATTTAATACATTCGAATATTTGAGTAGTATAGCCGATCGGCTACACTATTTTCGAATATTTAAATAGTAGAGCCGGTCGGCTGTACTTTAGAGAGTTAAATAGTATAGCCGGGCGGCTATACTATTAGGGCTTCTTAGGATGTATGCTTTTTCTTTTTTAATTATGGGCATCGATGGTTATTTTCTTTCTTCGTTTAATAATAAGCATATCAAAGTTTGTCCAAATGCTGCTTTGAAGTGCCTCCTTAAAAATACCAAACTCGCCAAAAATAAACATCATCCCAAAAAACAATGCGCATTCATCTATTTTTTCATTTTTAAGACAGAAATGTAGCCAAGGGTTCAAGACGCACAGAAGTGAAAGAGAAATCTGGGCGTCGTACGATTTGGCGTGACTTTGCGAAGGTTTAATTGATAATGTTAGAGAGGCCTCATTTCTGAGTAGCTTACCCCTCCGCTGGGACCTTCGCATCAGTTTTCAATTTCAACTCAAATTTATATATAATCAATGTATGAAAAAATCGATCGGAAAATCAAACCGAACCCCAAAATACAAGCATGCGATTCGGCGATCGGATTTCAGAACAATATTCGAAGGCAAACTTGGCCGAAAGCGCACCATTTTTACGCGCTCCCTCCATAGGTCCCTCGGTTGGTTAGAGAAGATTTAACAGCAAAAAATAAAAAATAAAGAAAATAGTGAGATGATGATGCTCAGTGAATACGAACCATATAGGCTATTCATTTTGCAACAGCAATCGATGAGTTTTTCTCATCTGAATTATTTTCTTCATCGCATCCCCATTGTTTTCAGATAAGATACACAATACTAATCGAATAAAACGACAATAAACGAGAGGGTGAGGAGGAGGTATTAGATGAGAGAATTGCAAACCCTAGAGCGCGGCGAACTCTTGATTTCCTGGGCGTACCGGCTCTTCATATAGGGGAAGGATTGGACTTCTAATGCATCCGGGCCGTCCAATGATTATTATTTGTTTAATTTTATAGGAGCCGTCCAATGATTATGCCTCTTTCGAAATTTTATTTTCTTATAATACATTTTTGGAAAATAACCCAAACTCACTCTTCCTTTCGATTATGTTTTTTTAAAACAAATTATAGTGCATATGTGGTTGGGTTAGACCGTCAGGGCAGTGAGCCTGCCCTCTTGCATCTGAGTTTGAACCCTCCCATCTCCAACTGACGTAGATTAGAGTAATTTAGATTATAACTTGTATTTATAATATAATGTTTAAACTATACTCCAATTTGTATTTTCATCATTTGTCCTTTAGGAATTTTCAATATCAAAATTAACCCCGCATCTCCATCTAGCCCCGCCTCTCTACAAATCCAAGTATAATTCAACGACCGTTTCTATAATTTAGCAACAAAAAGAAGTTTTTGACCTATTCACGAAGTTCTATTTTCGCTCATGTCAATTTTTAATGTTTATGATCGAATTGAATTGGCAAAAGGCTTGTAACTCAAGTAGTTAAGAGCATTTATCTTTGCATCCAAAGTCTTAAATTCGATTAACTCAAGTGATGCACATCAATTTATTGGGTATGCCAATTCCATTGAAATTATTCTTGTTAGCTAGAGTACTGGATGAAGTATGAGTGAAACTAAGCACAGGTCCAAACCAACTAATGTTGAAGAATCAGCGGAGAAGATGTCGGTGGAGTGAAATGCCAGTCGGACGCAGAGCTAGCTGGTTACTCGTGCATTTGGGATTATGCCACACAAGCTCACCAAAGCTTCCCATCATAGAAAAAAATATCATCATTGGGCTGCAAATGTGTGCTTGCTAGCCCCAGATAGCAGGCCCAAAAGAAACAAGACCGTGGATAACCCCCTTAAGTTTCATTTCATGTCCTTTCACTTTCGTTCGCAAGCAAGATAATCATATAATTATAAACCACTATCCCTGTGGAATGGTGGGAAAATTGTAGTGCCTGATTGGTGCGGTGACTTGCCAATATCAACATTTCGTAAGTTACATAAACGTGTCCTCTAACCATAAAAACAAATTTAATTCCAATTGATTTTATTTCCACCTCTTCGGTCCCCCTCCTCTCCTAGATCTGCCGAATTTCATTTTCAATTCCCAGTCCAATCCAAGTTCTCTTCTCAATCCGAGAAAAAGCACCTCCGATTTTCCCTAATTTTAGCGCCCAATTTCTCCAGTTCAAGCGCACGCGCATTCATACGCTTAAATATTTGTTGCGAGGGTTTTTGAACGATGTGGAGCACGATTGCCAACCTGAAGGAGAACCTCAATAAGATGGCGCAGGATGTGCACGACGAAGACGACGAAGACGAGGAGTTCGAGATCTACGCCTCCCTCAATGGAGCCCAAGCTTCTTCCATCTCTGATCGGAGGAACTCCCACAGCTTCGCGCATTCCAAGTCCCCCTCGCGCTCTCCGATCCCTAATGGCATCGATTCCTTTATTAATCCCGAGGTTTGGCATTGTTTTTATCTGGACTTGGCTGTTTCGGTAATTGGGTTTTGATTTTTGTTTGGATTGGAGAGTTGGGACTGTGTTGTTTAGGCATTTTGGATTGTGTAGCTCTAAATGCTTCGATTTTGATGAGTTTGGATTTTGAATTGTGTGTTTCGCTGAGAGTTTGGTTATTATCTTAGTGAGGTATTGAATCATTCGGCATCTGCGTGTGGCATGCAAATTCAAACTTCGAAATGGAGGTAGATTTGCAAATTGTGGTTTATTTTCGTTTTGAAGCCCGAGTTTCCAATTAATTTTCGGTTAGGTTGAGAGCAGTAGAACTTTCATGGGAGCATGTATGGTAATTAGTAAGCTGGTTAGTTCCCGTTAGCAAGTGTTGTTAATTAAGAAATTATCTATTCATTTTCTAAACTGACAACCGAAGTGCATTGTGTGTAAATGCACAGATTAGGTTCCTGTCTGTTGCACCCATAGTATGACAACTAGTTTGAGTCAAATAAGCCTTGATCCAGGCCTTGAAGCAGAATTGTGGATACAAAGTGTGGTTGCCAACATTTTATGTAACTTTTGTGGCGACATTACTTCTAGGAGGTCTATGATATTTATTGATTTGGCGTGGCTTCTGTGCATCAAGTATAAGATCTAAAACATCATTTTCCCAAGTCAGGCCAGATAGTTTGTGACAAGTAAGATGAACATGATTTTAGTATTCTGTTTAAGATACAAGTACAGCACTAAATATATCTCTACTGGAGTCTGACAAATTGTTAGAGGAGTCATTCCCTTTATTTGATTATCATCTTCATTGGTCTCCGGCCATATCGTCTTCCCCGCCCTCCTCCCTTGTCTTTTGCAGCTGCTATTTGATTTGTTTTTATAAGAGGGAGTATTTTATGATACTGTGCTGTGCATTTTATTTTCTATTATTTTAGATTGAACAATACAAAGCGGAAATTAAGAGGCTGCAGGAATCTGAGGCAGAAATTAAAGCATTATCAGTAAACTATGCCGCATTGTTAAAGGAAAAGGAGGTACCTGATGAATTCCAATGGAAATTATATTATGGATTTCATCCTTTTTGTTTATCTTGTTTGATGGAGGTATCTGTAATTGGATTTGTGTGCCTTACATCCAGTATGGAGTGGCATCTTGACAGTGTATATCACAACATGTCATTTGACAAATTGGAACCTTCACATTTGACAGGATCAAATTTCCAGATTGAGTAAAGAAAATGGCTCATTAAAACAGAATCTGGACTCAACTACTGCATCTCTGAATGCATCTAGAAATGAAAATCACAAAGCAGCGGCAAATGGCATCAACGTGCTCAAGGTAGTTGTTCATCTTAAATCATAAACTTCTTGATGACATATATATTATCATATGTACAAAGAAGAGCCATTCTATAAGAAAAGTATATCTCTACCATCTCGCTACTAGTTTTTTTTTAAAATTTGGTCCAGGATGTTAGTTGTCTGGACACCCTATAAGAAGGGGTATTAATAAGGTAGTACCGTAGTGGACTTGAGAGGTGTATATTTTTAACTGCGAATAGCGGAGATTCAGATCCTTAACTTCCTTAAAGGAGTGCGACATGCATAAATTTTCCTTGAATTGCTTTCATATCATTTGTTCTTTTAGTATGTGTCGATTTTACAATACTGAGTTATCAGAATCGTTTTCTCTTATCTTTCTTGTTGTCACTGAAGTATAAGGCTTGAGCTATGGTAATTGGCTAAGTTAACTTGTAATTATATTCAGGGTAGTGGTAGTCAGTCACCCAACCGACAGCAGAAATTGACAAGTCAAACAAAAACTGGCTATTCTGGACACCAGAAACAGAATGGTGGTTTCTATACGCAGGATGGGATAAGCAATGGGGTTGCACAGCTTTCAGATATGCAGGGGAATGAAAGGGTAATGCACCTTGTATTCTGTTCTATTTTGAATAGCTGAATGTTTGGATTGACTTTTCTTTTGGGAAGGTTAAGAATGAGTTTTTATGAACTATATTGATATTTGTGTTTTCCTTGCCTACATTGTATTTTAGGTTTGATCTAGATATCTCCTTTTTCCAATAGTGTTTTCGCTATAATCTATTTTCAGAAACAAAATTGATTTTGGCTATAATAGTTATCCAAATCAGGTTTTGGCTACAATTGTAATTCAATTTTATTTTTCTTTCTGGATTTCTGTATGCTCTTTTTTATTCTTAAATGATGAAAGAACTTGACAACAGATGTATAAATGCCTTCTAGGAGCTTGCAGATTTACTAGAAGAGAAAAATAGGTCCCAGACAGCAGTGCTAGCTGAGATGAAACAATTGCGGATGGAACTTGAAAAAGAACGCAATCAGTCAGGAAATGTACATCGAAAATTACAAGGTACACTGCTGGGCTGAGAAAATTCAGAAGTGGGCCTACAATTATCATATTGAATATTTATCTAATTTCTTTATTCAATCTGTATTTGGTCGCAGAGCAACAGAAATTGAATGAAGCTATCCAGGAAGAGCTTAAATTTCTGAAGTTGGATAAAGAGAAAGTGAGTTTCAAATTTTGATACAGACGTTGAGAATTATTGATATAGATGCATATTTTGTTGAATGATTGCCTTTCTTTCTGTTTATTGTATGACTACCCTTAGTTCTTGAGTGCTCAGATGTTTTGCATATTTAACTGTGTCAATTTTGTATGTGCCTATGGATGTTAATGTGGCTCTCTTTCCTGGCATCACTACCATATTAATTTGGAAATGTATAAATTTTTTTATTATCTTTACTTATGATTAGACATAAGCAGCTGGATATGGAGGCAGCTATGTATGTACACATATGTTTCTCGTTTTGGTTCTCTGACCTCTGCCTTTTGGTACGGCATGCTCATCTTTCTTTTGGCAGACCTCCATCGAGATAAGCAAAATAAGCAATGTGTTGAAGGAGAAAATGTCTGAGATAAATCGATTGCAAATGGAGTTGAATAGACGGGAGGATGAAAATGCAGATGATGTTGTGGGTAGTTTGAAAAGATTAATCACAACCCTGGAGAAGGAAAATAGTAGTCTTAAGGTTGATAATTTCATGTTTTAATACTGTTTGATGAAAATTTGTGTTTCTAGTTATTGTCCCCTTATAAAATCCACTCTAACATTTATTCATTGTATATAGATAGAGAAGAATGAACTTGAAGTTGCTTTGAAAGCGAGCAGGACTGCAACTGAAAGAAATTCCTCATATGCTTCCGAATCTTTGAATAAGCACCCAACTCGTTTAAATGAGGTAATACGTGTGCAGTTTGAGAATTTTTGGGGAACACAATACTTGCTTTTTCATGCAATTTGGGTGGAATCCTTTCTAGCTAATCCCTCTCCCTTTGATTGTTTCGAGTGGCTTGGGAGGTAGGGGTGGGGGAAGTGCGTGTGTGTCTGCCTTTACTGTACTAGTCATGTTTTCGCACGCTGGACATAACGCGGTGGTTGATATTATGATACCCAGTTCTTCTACTTATATTAGTATTTTTTTAAAAAAAATTCTGTGCAGCCGGTAGATTCTTCAGAAAGTTTTCCTGGAAAGGAAGAAATGGAGAAATCGTTACAAAAGTTTGATAAAGATTTGAAGGAAATGCGGCTTGAAAGGGACAAAGCCTTGCAAGAGTTGTCACGACTTAAACAGCATTTGTTAGAAAAGGTTATATGTCTTGAAAATATCCATTATTTGCATTGTCGTGCATGACATTTTACATTCAAAATTTGAGTGGCATCAAACTTTTCACATTTTTAACTTTCCATTTGAATCTGATGTTGATGTTATTAGACTGAGGATATTGTTCAGTGGATTATCCTTTCTATTGCACACTCATTATTTAAATTGTAGAGGACAATGTATTTTTCCTAGTCCACATGATAGTAGCTGTGGACTGGTTAGTAAACAATTGTACTGCTTTGAACTGCCTTAGCAGAAAATTGAATTACTGCATTCTGCTAGACATGAATTTTGACACTCATTATCTTAGTTCCAAAGGTTTCTTCTGCAAATATTATATGTCCACTGTTTTGATCTTGTCTACTCTGTTAGCTGTTTTTTGGGTGATTAGGTTGTGGAGGAATAATAGAATTTTAAGAATTATAGTGGGAATGAGAGAACTCTTTGGATAGGCTTTGGGCATCCTTGGGGATTTAGTGTCCTCAGCAACTAGTGCCTGTTTGTTAAGTGTAATTTTACGAAATTGGGGATGAGGTACATAATTTCACAATAAGATAACATAGTTGTTTGATTTTGTATTGATGATCTTTGTTTCAGGTTTAAAGTTGTAACTCTTGTTCATAGAGTCTTTGTACTTATTTTATTATTTTATTCTTCATAAATGTTGTCTTTCATTTTCATTACTTTGTGAGTATACTTCTGTGTGTAAGTTTGGTTTTATGTACTTTGTACAGATAATTTTGGTAGTTTGGATACTGAACTCTTTATTTTGTTTGTATTATTTATGAGTACCGTTTTATATTGCACGGGAAACATTCTTGGTGGATTTGTCATCCTGTATATACCAAGTGAAAATGTCATGGAAAATTATTGACGAGGATTTTTTCTTTTGGCTTATACTTCGTGCAGGAATCTGAAGAGTCTGAAAAAATGGATGAAGACAGCAAAGTCATTGAGGAACTTCGGGAAAGTAACGAGTATCGAAGAGCTCAAATATTACATTTGGAGAAAGCTCTAAAGCAGGCGATTGCAAAACAGGATGAAGTGAAGATGATCAACAATAACGAATTTCAGAAATCAAAGGAACTTATTGATGATCTGAATAAAAGACTTGAAAGCTGTATGAACACAATAGATGCCAAAAATGTTGAACTTTTGAATCTTCAAACTGCTCTTGGTCAATACTATGCTGAAATTGAAGCTAAGGTAATGAAATTCAAATTTTGTTGTCTGCCTATATGGGAAGGCATGTGGCATGTTTTGTGTTGAATTATGAGTCCTCAGAATTTTTATTTATTTCTTATGCAAGTTTCATTTTCTATATAGGAACATTTGGAAGGAGATTTGGCACGGGCAAGGGAAGAGTCGGCTAAACTTTCTCAGCTCTTGAAAGTATGTTCTCTTCTTTTTCTTTTGCATTGTCAGAATACGATTCTGTTATATTATGCAATTTTTAATCTGCTTGTGGTGCTATATAATATTACCTGCAATGCATTTATTACACTGGTGCCCATAATTGTGATCATGCAAATCATGTTCCTTCCTTTGTTAGTTGAGGGGAGAGATAGCAATAACAAGAACATAATTACTTATATTATATAAAGTTGCATCACTTAATGAATTTAAGATCTGTATGTTCTGATGGTCTTCTCTAGTACTAACACACAAAATAATCGGAGTCTAAATGTTCTATGATTTTACCAGGATGCCGATCATCAGGCAGAAGCATCAAAGAGGGAAAAGGAAGAAATCTTGTCCAAGCTTTCTCAAGCTGAGAAGATAGTAGTAGACTGGAAAAACCGAGTAAACAAACTGGAGGAAGACAATGCAAAGTTACGGCGAGCTGTTGAACAGAGCATGACCAGGCTTAATAGGATGTCAATAGATTCAGATTATCTTGTTGACAGGTTAGTCTGTTTTTACTTTTCTGGTGGCCTTCTATTGGGTTTTAGGTATATGGAGCATTGACATTGCCTTCAAAATTCAGTTATGGGTTATGGCTTTGTGTCTGGCGTGTTTGGCAGCTCTCTTTTGTTTTAGAGAAGTGCTGTATCTACCTTGTGGGAGAGAATTCTTGGTTGAATTTATTTACAATATTTTATTAATAATAATGCTGTTTTATTGAAGGAGTGCATTGCAATGTTAATGATGATTGGTTTTTGTCACAGACGCATTGTGATCAAGTTACTGGTGACCTACTTTCAGAGAAATTACAGTAAAGAGGTATGAAATTTTTTCATGATACTAGACTAGCTTCATGATGGGGCTACTGATGCAAGAATTTGTCATGTTTGCTTTATGCAAGAACTTATTAGTTCTGGCTTGTCAAGTCCCACCCCTATCCAGCCTCGTGCATTACTGATCCATGACAATTGGTTTAGTTTTTAATATGGCCAGGCTCATGCAGTTTTTCTGTTGCTGTCCAGGTACTGGATCTTATGGCTCGCATGCTGGGATTCTCTGATGAAGACAAGCAGAGAATAGGCGTCTCTCAAGGTGCAGGTAAAGGTGTTGTTCGTGGAGTTTTTGGTCTGCCTGGCCGCCTCGTTGGTGGCATTTTGAGCAGCGGTTCAGCTGGAGCATCTGCAAATGCGGCATCTGAGAACCATGTACCTTTCTTTTCTCCTTTCAATTAAAAGATTATTTGGTGGTATACTTTGATTTCCAACTTGTGTTTTTTCACCTCTCATTGGGTATTTTAATTTGTTCCGTATTTGCTGTACTCTAATTTGGTGGTTTTTGTCGATGTGTCGTTCTACATTAGCTCCTGCATGCTTCTATTTGTTAAAACATGATTTGTTTTTCCTCTTAATTTCCAACCAATAAGCAGCCCTGAAAAGTGTTCCGAGTGCCTTTTCTTTATCAATGTGTTAGGTCCGCATTTACTTACTGGAGTTGCATCCATTAACTTTGTTCTCTGCTATGTTCAGTCCTTTGCAGATCTGTGGGTTGATTTTCTGCTCAAAGAAACTGAAGAAAGGGAGAGAAGGGAGTCTGCAGACAATTCCGGCAGATCTCAAGAAGATTCACACAAGACTCCAACCTCTGCGCAACCCGTTCCGATGGAACCTGACCATAGGACTTCCACCGGTGGTACTGAGTCTGGTTTCTCAAGACTCAACTTATCGCCAATCCAAAATACAAGCCCCTTACCTTTCCGCAGTAACTTTCGGTCGGAGCATTCTGATTCGGAATTCTCAACAGTCCCTCTCACATCGGCGGAAAGCAATCCTTATGCCTCAAGACTCCTTCCAAGATACTGAAGAAGATTCGTTGTATGTTGTAATTAATCAAAGGTATAGATCATTGTTTGATTTTGTAGACCCGCAATCTTGTTCAATCAATTCTTTCACTCAAATGACTTCGTGCATAGTTGTCTGATAATTTAATTTACAAGCCAGTTAAACAAGTGGGAAGTTGTAAAATGAATGTGAGGCGTGGATGCCCAGCATAATTGCGACAATGGGAAAATTTGTGAAATCGATGCAACAGTGAGAAAGATTTGCTCAGAACTATCTGTATTCTTCAGCCCAACTTGAATCTCCCGTGTCTTCCTTCATGGTCCCTCTGAGCCTCTGAGAATTTCGGTACCGGCTGAAATCTTTGTTTTGACGTTATTCAACCATATACATATAGTGAGAAAATATGGGCTCACAATGTACAATCCATTCGATTTTTTTTAATTTTTTATTTGGTAACGAGGGCTGAAGCCCTACACAAGCACTAAACAGCAACATATTTAAGGGTAGAAAACCCTACACAAATCATTAAACATTAATTGTCTCACAACAGCAGGGGTAGAGTCCCAAATATGGAGACAAAAGTCTCAGAGATCCCAATAGAAGCAGGCATATTAGCAGCAGAGTTACGTTCCCTGAAGGCATGTTGAATGTGACTCTCGCACCCATTTAAAGTAATCATATGGACAAGTACATGAAAAGTGAATTTTTTTATAAAAGTGCTTTTTGTCATATCCAAAATCACTCCCAAACTAACCCTAACCAATTCCATACAATTCTGTTTGATCGGATTGAACCTATACACCAACATTACACCAACATTCGGGTCATTTTTAAGGTCAAACCAAACAAATTCAACAAATTTGAGTTGGAAGAGGATCGCATTACAAAATCTAAAATCCTATCAACATTGAATTATAATCAGAATGAGAGGATGAGTTTAGAGCAGACGTTACATGATAGTCAACAAAGAATAACATTTCCATTGCCAGAAACATGTCAAGCTCACATGCTCATGCCACATTTCAAAGTGCCTAACTTGATGTCCAAAAATCTAAACCAAATGCAAACAGATAATCAATTCATATAAGGAATATACTTGAAACACTTGCAATATATCAAAGCATGCCACAGCCGCCTGATTTAATTTAGGGTTGTTTGGGACACAATGCGAAACTTACATATAACTTAAGCACAAAAATATCATGCTCGCAACCAAAAGGAGAAGAAGCATGAAATAACATACACCATAACTGTTCATATAAGCGACAACCCATGTACAAGACAGCATTGGATAGCATAAAGTTGTCAAAATAAACGTATGGCTAATGTGCTGTTTAAAGGCTTCCCGTGATTATGTATAAGCACATCACAAACCTAATTCTGGAAACTAAGACCACATAAATAGTCATTTGAATAACAAAACCCAAACACTTGAACAGCATGGGAAGCTCAACTACAAAACCTAGAGCTTTTAAAGCACAACAAAACACTTCAGGCTTTCTAAGACCTCTTGTTTTTCAGCCCCTGCGGAATCTTACTGAGAACCTTGGCATCAAACACTGCATAGTGCTTTTTGAATTCAATAGTTGCCTTCTCTGCAAATGGGTCTATCTTGTCTTCATACTTCTCATAAATGACAGGCACCGTGTGCAGCAAAACAAAAGCTGTTTTACAAAATGAGGATTATTAAAATCAGCACAATAATAAATCAAACAACAAATTTGTGCACACAACACAAGTTTTCCGTAGTCCTTACATATGTAAAACAAGGTCAAGAAATTGCACCAAGTCCCTACAATTGAAAGAACCCACAAGCCAGCAATAACCTGAAATCGACAGTACATTATCAGAGCAAACTTAAAAAATTAAGTTTATGCATAAGAATTATAGCATAGCAACAAGTTCTAAAAACTAGTAATCCTGATGAGACAATAAACTAAGCACATTAAGCTATTTAAACTTAAAACCCATTAAATAACCAATCTAGTCACCATACACTGATTTAAAAGCTTATCAAAAAGAGTTATAGAGATCAATTCTACATACGATCAGGAATTTCTTCAATTCTCTGCCAGATGCAATATCATGAAGGACCGCAAAAGCCCAGTTGATTTGAAGCCTCAGCTCAGAAGCAACCTGCAGGAATGGTTCCTCAGGAAGATGAACTTCTGGGATGCGAGGTGGAGTCCTACAAAAGCAAATTTATTAACTTAGAAGGCAAAGATCGAAACAGAACCATAAATATTAAGATCCTATGCAAGCACCCAGAAGATGAAACCATGAATTTGGAAAAACCCAGTCTCTTACTTGTGGATAAAAGAATGGGCATTGGACCAGAGGAACAAGACCGCTAGGGTACCAATCAAAATGTGGCCAACAAGAGTAAGCAGGTGGTACTCAAGCAACTCAAAAAGGACCCAGACTGCAGTGGCTCCACCAAGAACACCAGCTGAAACCTTCTTATTTCTCCACAAGAACACATCAGCAGCTGCAACATTTCAGAAATATCAAAATCTGAATTCTGAACTCTAATGCGATAACTAAAGACAGAGCATCCGAGTTACCAAACGGCATTGAAGATCCAAATATCAAAGTAAATGAAGTGATTTAACAGATCAACTAAGAAGATCGGAACCATTGCAAAAGAAGATATATAAGAAGAAAAAGGAACTTAGTTACTCAATATTTCTACTCGAAAAACACAAACGTTCGCATCTTCCTGCCCATATATTTTTTTTTATACAGTTTCCTAGCATCCGAACACAACAATAGAAGAAATAAGAAATCAAACCCACAAGTTCAGAAATTTTATCAGCACCCAAACAAAGCATAAAAGCATCTAACCAAGAAAAATAATCACGATCTCAGATCAACCTACAACCTACACAACCACACACAAATCAAACTGGTATACTCGTTTCACTTCTTTCAAAAGACAATGTTCAAATATATTTTTTCCTTCTAAAAGATATGATTCTTAGTTTCAAATAAAATAAAATTAAAAAAAAACTTCATAGAGAGAGAATGGATGTCCGTACGCTTTCCTCCACCGAAAACATGGTGAACTGGTTTCTCCCTCCCGAAAATCCTGAAAACCTTGGGCTTCTCAGACTTGGGCGACTCCGGTTTCTCGTTATCCGAGTCAGATGACGACGAAGACGACGACTCGTGATCGTGGATCTTCTCGCTGATCTTCTCCATCAGTGACTTCTCGTGCTCCACCGTCGAACCGGCACTCTCCGACTGGTCAGCCATGATCTCCGTAACCCCAATAACACAATATAAATGAAAATGAAATCTCCCGAAACTTTCAGATGAGTGACCGAAATAATAACAGAGAGTAAAGTAGGGTTTTGGGGTTGAGATAAGAGCGAGCTATATAAGGTTGCGGGACACGAGACTAGATCTGGGCCGTTGATCTTGTTGATTTGCTCGAGCCTTGCGGTTCGGGTCCAGAGCCAGTTGGTCCGGGAAAATTTGAAATGGTAAAGTGACCGACTTGGGTTTGAAAGCTTGCGAACCACGTGGCGCGGAGCAATCAAGACATGAGTGGTTTGGACGGTCGGGTGACTTTTTTTCGTGGTGGGTTGTGGGGTTCACTTTTCTTAGAGGGCTCCACGTAGTGTGTGTGTGTGATGGAGAGAATTAGGGATAGATTCAGATGTTGTTTACTTCCCTTCATTTTTTTTGTTTTGTGATGGGGATGGCTTTAGGGATCAATTTAAATTTTAAAACTTTGGCAAGTTTATAACGAAATTAAGTAGAACAAAAATTAATTGTATGAAAAGTTGGTAGGTTTTATATCCTACACAAGAACAACAGGTTTTTTCTACTTCAAAAAAGTCTATAATTTAGGCATTGAAAGCTCGTGAGTTGAATTCTCACAGAAAATATGAGTGAGTAATTTGTGTATGAAAACTATCTTACGAATAAGAATTTTAGCATGACTCGCCACTATTTCGTTTTTCTTTTTCCTTTTGGTTTTTTGTCAAAGTCACCACTATTTCTTGAAGTGGTAATTATTTTCCTTAATAATTGAGAGGAATTATTTTCCGCTTCAGACAAAACCTAAGATCTAGGATGGAAAAAAAAATTAAAAAAAATCCCAAATTTGCACGGTAAATAAAATTGGCATGAGTTGGCATCATAACTCAGAGATTTTAGGCTTACTTTTAACCACTAAAATAGGAATTTGTAAAGTTTCAACTTTCTAAAGGATTTTGTTTAGCTATTATTTTACCTTGATTCGAGTACAAATTAACTCTCCAGATGAAAGATAATTGTTTGTAATTTATTAAACTTTACAAGAGGGTTTTACACTTTTAAGCTGTTAATGCAGCTTTTGAATCTTTCTTCTTTATCTTTTCTTCGGCATGGGACCTTGGAATCTTGCTCGTTGGCGGAATACGTCAGTTTCTGGTAGAGACCTGGGCCAGTCGGCCCACTGGACAGCAATCCGAGTCCGTTAAAAAGAATGTGCATCGACTGTCGACATTTGAGTCACAATCAATCAGTTTGAAAAAGAGTTTTACCCTTGAGATGAAATTATGATTGATGTCCACTCTTTTTCATGCAGTAATATTTATTTGGCAAAAGAAAAAAAAATGCTGCTATTTGATTTGCAAACAACGATCAAGTGAGGGGCCTGAAGCCCATGGATCACAAAGACTCTTCCTGCCCTCATGTGATGTCGCAGGACCCTTCAAGATGCAGGCTCTCACATTAACTCTCTCATTTTTTATTTTGGCTTCATGTTTTTGGCAAGGATTTGGCTAGGGAGTCACCCGCGCGTTGATGCATTACGAGTCTCGTGTATATCAACGGCTAGAAACTATCCACTTATGTGTAAGCGACTGATCCTAACATTTTGAATAGATTTGAAGTTGGGCAACCGTTACATCTACAAGTTTCATGTTACTGGTCTGAAAAACAATATACCTAATATTAGTGTCTTTTTCTTCGACTTGACATTTGTGGACCCGTATCTGCAGCTCCTACAATGCAAAATGGCCGTGTGAACTCCTCTAATTTCTGGTCATTATTATTGTATTGACAAGAAAAAATGGACTCTGCTGAAACTTTTCCCTTGTGGCAGAAAAAACTAAGCATACACATCACATTCACATTGAATCTCATCTAACTGGAAATGAAATCATATTAAAAAATTTAAGCTCATGTAAACACAATAAAGATTATCAGACATAAGATCAATTATGCGATTATCAGACATAATTAAGATCAAATCTAAGATCACCGGAAAGGTCTACCCGGCTTTTCTAATAGAGCAGAAAAGAAAACCTCTTTATCATCTTTATCAAGCTTTGGAACAACAACCCATTTGTGCTTCTTATATCTCAGCATCCTAAGGGCTTCCAAATAATCACTCAAATCCTCCTTCAAACAGAAGAAGCTGTCAACCCACAAGAAACCCCCAGGCCTCAGAGCTCTGTCCCAATCATACAAAACAAAGTCCAGCAGCACAAAATCAATCCAGCCATCTAGAAATCTTGTTGTGTGGATCAAATCCAGAGTGTTATCGAAAAATGGCAGCCGTTGATTGATCGTCAAGTAAAGCGGGACGAGTCCACGAAGAGCTATCATTTCGTTGAAAGGTGCCCCAAGATTGATAGTTGCTGAGATAATAGTGACATTGAATTCCCTCATCCTGGCTGCAAAAGTCCCAGTTCCTACACTAAAATCCAGTCCAATCCTGATCTCTCCAGGCTTGATGTTAAGCACTTCAGGGATTAGGAAATCTGCAGTCACATTTGAATTGGTGTCTAGATATGCTGGTTTGATCCATCTGGGCTTTTCATGGTCTTGAAGATTGAAGCAATCTGCACATTTGAAGAACCCCTTTTGAGTCTTGTTGCTTGCCAAGCAAGTAAAGTTCTTGCACCTGTAGTTGCTCCACCGGACATTTCGATTATCAGGGAGCTTCCACATGGACTCATGAATTGGAAATGGCTTGCTGTATAGCTTTGGAGCCCTGGAAAAGCACCTCCTCCTTGGAAGTGGATCACATCCATGAACCATTAGCTTTTGAGCCAGCCTCCAATCATCATTGCAGATTTCACCAATGTCATAGTCCATGTATTCTTCAAGCTCTTTCTTCATAGCAAAGCAAGCATGGCCAATACTGGTGAAAGTTCCATTGGCTCCCATGAAATTCTGCTTTCCTAATCTATTCGGCTTGATCTTGACATACTTTCGAATCTCCTCGATCAGAAAGTAATCTGCAGGCTCATCGGATTGCTGCTTCGGTTTTAAGAGAGGATGGATGTCTTTGGCACCACTGTTCAGCTCATGAGTCTCTTCATTCTGTGACAGAGATATCTGCACTGACTCAATATGCCCCAAAATATCAGCAAGAAAGGAACTGTATTTCAGCACATGTTTCGATGAAGAAGGCTCTGGTTCTGAATCTCTGAACTTGTCGAGCTCTTGTTGGATTTTCTGAATAACAGTTTCAAGAGTTCTTCTCACGTGGCTGTCTGGCCTGCTTTGGCTCTCAGGGTTTACATAATTGCAGAGAGTATCAGTGACATGAAATGATCCGAGAGAGTTGAATTTGGATAAAGTACCAAGAGAGATGAGAAGAGCAAACATACTTAATACAAAGATCGAGCTGCGAATTCCTCCTCTCCATGTTCCTAACTTCTTAAAAACATTTGGTTTCCTCATATCTTTCACACTGAGATGAAAAGCTGGAATTTGTATGCTGCTACAGAAAAGAAAAGCAGCTTTCGAAATAAGCGCTAACCAAACATAATCCCAATGATTTTCAGCAACAATTCAAATCTAAAGGGTGCATAGAGATTGGAAGCTTTGAGATCAGAGTCCAAAGGTTGCATTTGTTTTATTTGATCGAAGAGCTTATTGGGCTGATTTTCATGAGCACTTTATCAGAATGCAAAAGTCATTGAGAAGGATTGATTTCTTGTTTTATTAAGAATATGGGGATCAGTTCTTCTTTATCCTCACTTTTTTAATTCCTTTTCCTTCAAATCTAACGAAAAAAAAGGCGAAGGGTGAATTAATCAAACATTAGAAATGTGGTAATTATGTTATTATGCAGTGTGATTAAGAGACATCTAGAGGATCAGCCGCAACACTGAACAAACACGTGCTACACTGTTGCTGCATAATGCTTGCATAGTTAAATTTGACTTTTTTTTAAAGCTCCAAGTCTCCCCCCTTTCGAGAAAAAATAGCAAATATCTTATGGAAAGCTGAATTGAAGCACAAGCAACCCTAACCCTATGACCCTTGTGATTGAAGAAAGAATTGGTACCAGATTTACTGTTAGATTGTTTTTTTCAAGTACTCTACATGATTAGGTACCAAGCAAGAAAGAAAACACAAGTTGGCAACCATGTATGTAGATGATTAAAAATGAATTCGAAAACTTTATCATCACCCAAATCAAAGTAATTAACATTAATCAAATTCCATAAGACACAGTTGTTTGTGCTTAACCCACTTCACTAATGTCACAAAATCAGTACCCGAAGAAGAAGAAGAAAAAAAAATTTACATTTCCCAATTCCCAAACGAACACAACCAATAGAAAACAGAAAACCCTAAACCCAAAACAAACAACTAAAAATAAAAAATAAAAGGATTAAAACCCAAGAAGATATCAGTCAATCAGGACAATCAGTCACCTCCTCCATCTCCGATCGGCAGGGTACTGAGACAAAGGCACGACCTCCTGCAACGGAGTGGACAGAGGCGTCGGCAACGGAGAGTTCCGGCAAACGGGGCACGACCCGTTGAGCTTGAGCCAGGCGTCGAGGCACATCAGGTGAAAGTAGTGCCTGCACTCGGGCATCATCCGGAGCATCTCGGCGTCCTTGTAGTCGCACAAGCAGATGGAGCACGTGGATGAATCGGCGGCCGCCACGTCCTTGGAGAAGGGGAACTTGGGGTAGGAGTTGATGACGCTCTGGTGGATCCCGACGACGGCGTTCTCATCGTCGTCTTGCTGCTGCTGGTCGTTGTCGTCCTCGGCGACGAAGATGATTCGGGGGAGGATGACGCCGTCGGAGTTGTTCGGGTTCCGGTTCGGATTGGGAGGCGGGTGGTGGTGGTGGTGGTGGTGGTGGTGGCGGGAGACGCGGCAGCAGATGTAGGAGGCCAGGAGGAGAGTGGAGAAGAGGACGAGGAAGCCGAGCGCAATGGCGATGCCGTAGCCGAGTCCGAGGGTAGTTAGGTAATTTTGGGTGGAGGGGTGGGTGGGGTTTGGGGCGGACGACATTGGAAGAGGAGGGGAGGAGGAAGGGGGGTTTTAGCCATTGGGAGTTGGGTGGGATTTTTTTTTGGGGGGTGAGAGGAGAGAAGGTGGGTGGGTGCTCCAGCTGCTGCATTTAATACTCACACCAGAGACAGCATTAAATTGGTGGGAAAATGTGAGTGGTGAGTAAGTGGTAGTGATTATCACCCTAATTTTCAGGGAATACTTCGGGAATGTCACGATTTTGCTATTTGACACGATATTATTAGTCGGAAGAAGAAAATCGCGTTATCCATGTTACAACTAAATTTTTCTCCTAATTTTTTCTCCTTTTTATTGCTTCATTTTTTTGGGTGGTGGGTAGAACGACTCTTAGGATTTGATTTTGTTTGTATTTGCATGGTTTATGGGTTTTGAGTTGGGCTTGGGCTTTTGTTTTTCTTTAAGTTAAGAAATATAAAATAAAGCTATTAATACAATATGGTCGGTATTTGGATCTCTCGGTTTAAATGCCTAAATCTAAGTTTACACTAACAAGGTTCAAAATTTATCTGCAACCCAATGTCATTTTTCAGTGAACTAGACCTCATTGACATTCATACATCTAAATTTAAGTATTATGAAGCGGGAGACTTTTGTGTAATTTTAAAAACATTGTTATGTTATATAATCAATTCCCGTGTTCTAAAGTGGATAATTTTCAATATTACACATTAAATTATAAACTAATTTTTGAAAACAAAAATGAAGTAAAACCCCTAGATTTAGAATGTTAAAAGATCATGAAGGGTTCATGAACTTGCTATGTTGGGAAAGTAGACGAGATCTTTCTCCTTTCTAGCTAAGAGCTCTGTATGCTCTGAGCTTCGACTTGAATTGTTTTTCTTTTATACAATACGTGTGATATTTTGATCAACGCGATCTTCTTTGATCAAAGAATTTGGATTTGGCCCCCAAATGCCAGACCACTTGGAAATAATTAAATGCCATTGAAGGAACGTTGGCATCCAAACTAATCTAAAATTATTAATTTGTTTAAATATCCTGAGGAGAGCTGTTTACATAAGCATGTCATCACACATACGCTATTTTATTTTATGATCGATTATTGACTTCTGGGCATTGGCTATAAGTACCGGCAAAGTGTTGGAGTGGAGTGATTCAATATTGAAGAAAATCAGAATAAACAAAGACTAAATGAAAGGGATGACGTATCATATTATATGTTTAATAATCTAACGATATAATAACATATAACCATATTTATAAAAGCTTACATCCATATACTCCGTATATTCTACTCACTCTTCTCCACATAAAAAACTTATAAATAAACTACAAACCTAGTGATAACTTTCCTCTTGCATTTTTGTTCTTGAATTGCCTGGCTGGAAATGTTAACTGTCATGGTACAATTCATCTTCACAACCACATGTCTCTTGATAATATTCCACATATTCACCCTCCCTGGAATTCTAGAATAGCTACTCATAGTCAATAACCCCGATCCCACGTCCTCCCCAAACTTGGGATTGGATGTGAGCCGATCAGTTATGACATCAACAGCTATATTCATTCTCATGGTCCGTCGGGCCTTAGCCTGGCCTGGCGAGCCATGAGCCTCCCCCACCACCACGCCGTGATAATATAGAGTGGTGGTGGTGGTGTTGTACTTAAACGAAGCCGCGTTGGGATTTTTCACCGACACATCGGCTGTTAACGATATGTTGGAGCCTGGCTTAGGGGTTGTGTTGTTGTTGATCAGCTCCAGCCTTGTAACTGTGACTTTGTTCATTTTGATCTTTGGCTCCTTCAAGCGGAACACAGTGAACGCTAGAATTATGATCACCACGGCTAGGATTAAGAGCAAGGCTGTTATGCCGCCACAGTAGTAGATGAACTTTTTTAGTATACCTTTTTTTACGGGAAGGGCGGCCTCGTCGGCGTCGCTGCTCTGGCCGTTGGCGGTGGGGGCTAGTGGTCTGACCTGCTCCTTATCCACCATGGCTAGAGGGTTGAGAAGAGATGGGGAGGAGAGAGGGGTTAAGGAAAGCTGAGGTTTTGGAAGAGTTAGTGTTAATATGTAAATGAATGTAGTGTATTTTTATAGTGTTTGTTTAGGGGGAAGTGGGAGTATGTATATGATGGGCTAAGTTTGAGTTTTTTTAGGTACAGAAACACTAAAAAAATATGAACATATGACTTTTTTTAGGTACAGAAACACAATTATGAAGGTAGATGTGGATTTAGGCCAGTTAGCTAGAGTATTGAACTCGTCCCATTTTTACCCAAATTTGAATCCCTCTCCTGTTAGATGTGATGAAGAGTTTTTATTTATATTTTCTATATTGATATTGTATGCAAAACGCATCGTTTTAGGGATAATTGAATGAAATATGAGAGAACTGAATTGCTGCACTAGAGTAAGTTAATTAAATTCCGATATAATGATATGATAATTCTGAGAGTGATTGATTTATGCAGACGGGAGGTCTCTTTAAGAGCAGCTCCAGCGCTACTATCAAACTGGACAAAAGGCCCCCTGGGCAAGCCCAATAGAGCTCCAGCGCACCACCTGCAGCCTGGGCAAGCTCTGGGTCCCACCAGCCCGGGCAAGCCCAAGGGCACATTTTGCCTGGGGCGCTGACGTCAGCGCTGGTGTTATGCTGACGTTAGCGAGCAAAAAAAAATTCTAAAAAATTATAAAAAATTCAATTTTAAAAAAAAATTACCAAAAAATTATGGATATTTTCCCTATAAATACATAACAATTTTATTCACTTTCCCTATAAATACATAACAATTTTATATTTTGTTGCATATATATTTTTTTTTCTTGCCCTTGACTTGCCTTAGACTTTGCCATCATGGGTGAAACCACAAATGCAAAGGCTGACACTATTCACGTGAATAGTGTAGCCCTTGCTTGCCCTTGCCTTAGACTTAGCCCTTGTGGGTGGAGATGCTCTAAGGATTGTCAAATATGAAATTCTAAATATAATTATTTCATGCAACTGACTATTATCATCTAAAATAGAAAATTATTATAATTCGAATAATTATTCCCTACTGTGCCACCAACTTAACTACTTTCTCATCTTCCATTTATTTATATTAAATAAATGGATGGATGGAAGGAAGCCTTTCTTTCCCCGGCACTCTTTTGTTTTGACAAGATTTATATTTATAGTTAGCATCATAACATTTCATCTACCAGCATTACTACACTATAAAGAGGCTTCATAACGGAAAAGGCCTAACCTTCTTTTTGACTAGATTTTACTCTGTAAAGTACAAAAAAGATAGATGTTGCTCATTACCTACTACTTCCACTATGTGACTAATTGCTTGGCGATTGCTTCTTTAACCCTCTTCTCTTTGCCTGGTACCAAGTGCAAACAACATGGTGATCCCCACTGTGTAGCTAGTACAATTAATTTTATTTAATTTTGATTTTATGAGATGGTGATACGTGAGAAACTATTATACGATACGTATTGAAATGTTATTAAATTACATGTTATGTGTTATAATATTAGTGGATATTAGTTATTCTACCTAATAATGGCACGTTCCGACCAAATAATCACTCGTTCCCACACTTGTTCTATGTGATTTGTGAGTTGGATTCCAACCTTCATATATAGGATCGGCCCAAATTCCCAACCTCCCACCTTTTGGGCCTATCAAATTTAAAGCCATGAGACAAAACACAAATGTTGTTGCATATCAAACCTAGCCAAAGCCCTTTAGAATCTTGCAGGCCTGTTTTTCTCCATCAGTTTCAACAAAACCATCTTAAACAAAGCATAGCAATAGAAATCAAAGAGATAACTAAAGTTGGGTGTAAAAACTTGTATCCATGTTTGCGTGTGTTGAGTGCATTTACAAAAATCAAGCTCCAAACTAATGTAGTTGACTTAGTTGTGGAGACTAGATATCAGAACACAAAAACATCAACCATTAAATTCAAAGAAGCTTCTGCTGGACCTAGCTAGCCACTTTCAAGAATATCAATACATGTTCTTTCCTTTGACTAAATCCTTGAAAGCAACATAGTTTTTAAGGGTCCAGGGAAAGAAAAATGAATCCATCATTGGAGTAATTGCATCAATTTTCGAAAAGTCAGATAAGGATATTTCGTTGTCTTTGTTGCTTGCTGCAAGTCTCTTAACTTTTTCTCTCAACCATGGTGGTTTTGGATTTTGGTTCCTCACTGCAAACCAAACCATCTTTAAAAGATGAATAAAAGCAGCATCAAATTATTGCAGTAATGGGCTCGTTTGGTACGTCGGACTGTACTAAAAACTTACAAAAGATTTCATTCAGTTATTTAATCTCTGCATAGGAAAATTAAACAAGGAAAAACAAATTGAAGATTTCATTCAGCTAGTTTAGGTTGAACAAGCTAAAACTTAAGTACAAAAAATGTTTACAAATAAAGGCATATACAATAATCAGCACAAGTATCAGAGAAAACTACAACAGAGAGACTCCAGATAAAAACTGTAAAGTCGATAAAAAAATTCCAGACCAAAAAGAAGAAGAAAGCAATAAGATTCCGGCCTCTTCCGACTCAGAATTTTCATTGGCAGTGGAAGTCCTGGATTGCCTGCCTGGCCAAACTAATTGTCAAACTGCAATTCATTTCCCCACTTCTTCTTTTCTTCACCAAACCCACCATACTCACCTTCCCGCTCAGCTTGGCATAGCTCTTCAAATTCAAAACCCCTGAACTAATATCACTGCTTGATGATGATCTACCATCAAGCTTTGCCTCCACCGAAACGCTCACCTGCTTGCTGTGCCTCATCTTAATAGACCCTTTTGGAATTGTTCCTTCTCCAACTGTTAAACCCTCATGTGACAGAACCAAAACACTCTCATCATATTTCAACTTTCCCCAGTTTTGATTCTTCACCTTAATTTCTGCCCTCAGTGTCATGTTGATGGCAGTGGATGTTCCAAGCGCCGTGCTGAAATTCTCCACAGAAATTGCAGCCAGCTTGATGTTGGGATCCTTGAAGCGAAACACAGTGAGGCAAAGCACCCCAAGCACTACAATCTGGAGCAGAACAAGTGCAATGACAATTCCACAGTATTTGATTCTTCTTCTCCTGGGAAATGACTTGGGAGAAAATATCGTGGGAGAAAATGTTGTTATGACTTCTTCTTCTTCTCTCTTTGAGCCATGGGGTTGCTGCTGCTGCTGATGTTGGTCCTTCTGATCAGCCATGTTTGAGTTCTTGAGAGACTATGAACATGAAAAATGAGTTTTTTATGTTTTTTTGTTTTCTCTATTTGTTGTGACCAAAAGAACCAAAAGTGAAAGGCAGTGGGGAAAATTTGGTGAACTAACGTGTCCGTGACTTTGAATGTTCTGCCATGAAGGTGTGAAGGAGGAATATCTCAGGCTGGTTTTCTATTTGGACTTTGACAGCCGCCCTGAGGAGGAAAGTCTTACAGGGGCTTAATTAATTAATTAATATTATTCATAATAAAAAAAGAGGGTTTTGGTCTAGTAATTACTGAATAAATTGTCCTAATTGTAATTGGCCAGCCACCACAAGAAAATGTATTAACGGTAAGTGTTGACAAAGGGGGTTGAGCGCAATTTTGCATGATCCCACGTGGACGTATAAAATAAGATGGATTTGTTTGTTGAGAATATAAATAATTGGATGGTGGAGTTTATATATGGTTTTTTTAATTTATAAGAGAGAAACAGGAGAAATTTTTGTATCTTCTAGATAGGTGACAGAGCCACTATGCAAAATCATTAAAATTTGACGTCAGAAATCTTTTGGTTTTAACAAAGAACACTGTTTGACTTTGTCTCCCAAAAACTCATACAAATGGACAAAAGAAGGAGAAAGAATTGGAGTTGAAGTGGAGATGCGGGGTATCGATCCCCGTACCTCTCGCATGCTAAGCGAGCGCTCTACCATCTGAGCTACATCCCCGTTTGACTATTATTTTAAATTTTAATATTTTGTACCAATCCAAAGTGACTAGGACACGTGGCATAACTAGCCAACCTCAATATATATAAGCTGAAGTAAGGAGCTTTTCAATCTTTAGACTACGCTACATTCATACTTGGGCTTAACTTGATGTTTAGTGAAGCAAATATAGTAGGAGATGAGTTGGCAAATTTTAGTGATCCGCTTAATAATCCTTGTATTTGCTTTTATAATTTTCATAAAAACGTGGCTCTAAAAAATTTATTTGATATTCGGTAATTATAGATCTATAGAGGATCATCTTTGTAATTTTAGAGTCGAACCATTAAAACGAGCCTTTGGATCTATAAAGGATCCCTTTGTAATTTTACAAAACCCTCATTCGCTGGATTGATATCCTATCGAAATATGAGGCCTAACCAGTTTCGTAGTGCATTTAAGCCCACCAAACAACCGTTAGGATTATAGTTCAATAAAGTATGGTCCAATTTAGCCCAACAAACAGGGCCTTAACATATAAACTCTGTCTTATTTGGGTAAGAATCCACCAAAACTATTACACAAGCTAAAAGAATCCCTTGGTCTTCTTGGCTGATGATTTATATGATGAGTTTAATTTCATCATTAATATAGTCATGGTGAATTTGTATTTCTTAACCTTTTGGGTTATTATGGATCCCAACCAATGAGATCTTTATTTTAATTTTTTTCCCTCTCCAAGGCATCACAGAGTATTAATTAATTTCCTTCAACAAATTGGTAAACAGATCAGAAATCTTGAGCTGGCCCTGTTGTTTGCAAGGGATTGGCAAGGAAACGGCCCCAATGATAGGAAGCTTAATTTGGATGTTGAAATCGATCTCATAGTCAATATCTGCATCTTCAGAAATGTCCTTTGCCAAGGTCATGAGCATACTGAATGGCACCTTTGCCAACACAAGCAAAATGGACTCTTCTCCCGGCTTCAGTGACGCAGGCTCTTTCAACGTCGCTGATAAAGCATCGCTGCTCCACTCATATGCACATATAGAGTAGAAAACAATCAATATATTCCAAATGAGCTTGCATAAACATACAATTTAAAATTCATTTATGTTCACAAAAAGACATTAGTTTTTGATAGATAGTTTAGCATGTTATGTTATAGTATAAAGAATCCCACATTGGAAAGTTGAGAAACCTAGTAAGGGCTTATAAGAAGTTGGGCTACTCCCCCCATTGCCAATTGGTTTTAGGGTGGAACCTCAACTTTCTTCATGGTATCAGAGCGGGTTGCCCACGTGTAAAAAATCACACATAATGAAAGAGATCACAAGTGTTACAGGTATGCTTATTTCAATCATTACGTGACTAAAATCACCATATGAGAAAGATATAAACGCATGATTTTAAACAACCAGTAGTATGAAATTTGAATCAAACCTGCCGCCGCTTTTCAATTTGAAAGAGGCCCGACTGACGGGAAGATAAAACTCGAAGGGGTTGTACACGGAGATCTTGAAAACGAGTTCTATGGAGTCGACGTTTAGGTTTTCAAATTGAAGGCCCACAATAAGCGCAGATCTTTTCTTCATCTCAGCCAATCTCCCTTCCAAAAAACCCTTGCCCAGGTTCACTACATAGTTTTTGGCATTGCCCGCCAACTGTGACACTTTCCAAAACGTATTCGAAAACGCAGAAGAAACAAAAGTTGCACTTCTTTGCATCATTATTGAAGGGGAAGAGATATTTGTAAATTTGTAATTAACTTTGAGCTTATTTGTTATGCTCCCATGGACAAGGAGAGCTTAGGTTGATGTATATATGGCCAACCATTATCCTTTTCTTGCATCTCTTTCTTGTATATAGCTCCAAAATATAAATAAAGAACTGGGTTCCTTTTATTTCCATCCGGTAAAATAGAATTTGTTCTGTAGATTCACCATGTTGTGGAAGCAATATTTTGGGTCTTTTACTTGTTTAATAAGGCCACTATATTCCTTCTCATCCCTTTCCCCTGTTGTTCCTGCTTGTGTAATTCCCCAACTTTGGCTTTGGTCAAACTTGTTACGGTTTTATTATATTTTTAATTAAATAATTAAGAGCATTTAGTCTGACCGAACTCCTAAGTTCGATTATCCTTCTCAATATGCCTTGTATATAAAATGAACATTAAAAAAAAACTTCAATATATTTTTTTAGTACAAGTGATTAGGAAATGGGTTTACACAAATACTCATGGGTGTCTGGGAATTTTGAACTTCTGCCTACATAGATAAAGGTGGAAGAGCTCAACCAACTGAATTATACCCACCAACAAAAAGGGGGTGTTGAGCAAAGACAGAGTCCATTTCTTAATGTACTTATATTAACAACAAAAGAAAAGTTACAGAATTTAACCAATGCCATAGAATCTCAAAGGTCATATAGATCAGAAGAGGCTGGGAAGCTTGATCGCCCCCTTCTTGTTAAGTGGTATGGTGAAGTTGCCAAAGACAGGAAGGTCAATGGTGAGGCCTATATCCAGCTCATAATCAATGTCCCAATCTGCTCCAATATCTTTTGCCAAGGTCAACAATATGTTATGTGGCACCTTTAATAGTACCTCAAGCACAGTAATCTCATTTCCTTCAATCGAACCAGGATCTGGTACAGTTCCAGACACAATCTCCCTACAAATTCACATGTACACATACAAATCAAGTCACTTTATATATATAATATGAGCATGGCATAGAAACTAATCCTTTTATTTTTTTTAATCAAAAAATTGTGTATTGATCGCATTTGAACTCGAGATCTCTTCCGACAAAGACCAATTGTATGTTCTGTTCAAATTTTTATTATGTTCTCTATGCTTTGAATTTGACAATCTTGATCCCTTTGCCTAATTTGACCGTAATCTATTTCGACGTTTGACAATCTTGATTCTTACACATTATGAAAATGAAAACAGGTGACCAAATTGACGAAATTGAAAACACAAAAATCAAATTAGAAAATTCAAGTAAAACACAGGGATCAAATGAGCATCTATAACAAAAAAATAAACAAATAAAAATTGAAGCCAAAGTGTTAGAAAGTGAGAATTGGAACCTGCCAACACTTTTGAGGTTGTAAGTGATATCACAGATGGGGAGGTCAACTCCATAGGGATTGGTCACAGAGATTTTTGCAAGGTACTCAACAGATCCAAAGCTTACCGTCTTGAAATCTACATCTGTGACTTCTGCCTCTGGCTTCTTTACATGACCCACTTTCTCAGCCACAAAGTTCTTGGCTTTTTCCAACAACTCAGACATCTTCAGAGCACACACCAACAACAAAATATTAATACGAACAAAGAGATCAACACTAGATTAGATTTAGCAGTTGCAGGCTGGTTGCTGAGATTTATGTTTTTTGAGCTATTTATAGGAGGTGGATCTTCAGTGGATTTTATTGGGTAAAATATAGAGGAGGTAGTGGGTGCACTGGGTTTGCGCCACGTGGCAGGAGGTCGGCAGGAGGGCGATTGACAATCTTGCGTGTCCGCTCGTGTTTCCTCCGTGTTTAGAGATCTGTGATGGATTGATGATGCTTAACATGAGAATTTGTACTAAAAGTAAGGGTTGAGATAAGATGGGATGGGTCTTTTTTTTAACTCTGGACAATCTAGACGGTGGAGAGTGATGTTCTATTTAATTGGCTGGATGGTGGGTCCAATTCTCATCGTCAAATCCGGTGCCTTTATCCGACCAAAAAAAATAAAAAATAGGGTGGCTTTATAGTCGCAGTGGATAAGTCACAAGGGGCCTAATTGAATAATTTGAATATCCATCATACATACAAAACCCCCCCACACGCTAGTAATGCAATAATTTCATTAGTAAATTGCCGATTTGTGTCCCGGACTATCACGTAACTTTCGAATTTTCAATTTGAACCTTTTTTTAGTCAATTGAGGATACAAACTATTTTTTTTTGTCAATCTCCTCCCCATTGTCAAATTTGGAAACATTTTTTGATCCATTTCTCCGTCAATACTGAGGGCGAAGTTGTCCTTCTAGCAACTTTCTCTTTCTCCTTTTCCAAATTCCAATCCCAGCTCAGCTTCCACTGCCAAATCACACTGCAACTCAGCTTCCCTAAATCCAATCTATCCATCTTCGAAAACCCCTACGGTGTCTTCTCAAAGCATAAATTACTACAGCTCTTTTCTAGAGCATGGATTGGCTCCTTAAAATTGAGGAAGAACACATCATTACAACAAATGAGATTTTGACACTTGAAAAATTTCGAAAGAAAAAAAGTTAAAAGGAATTCAAAACAAATGAAAGGAATTTTCCAAGTGTCAAAACTCTATTTGTTTGGAGGATGAGCTCCTCAGTTTTTTTTTTTTTTTTTTTGGTTGAGAAATTATGTGATTGACATTCATAATTCAACCAAAAAAACTATTAGCCACAAGGGCTATTACAATAACAGAGTAATCTAACATCAAAATTAAGACAATCTTGTGCGCTTCCACTAATGATCAAATATGATCAAAGAAACTCTAGCATAGGCATTTCAACTAAGATTGCAAACTCAGAATAATAAAAAATATATAAAACTTGAAAAAAACCAAATCATAACAATAAAAATAAAACTTTCGTAAAGAAGAGATGAAAAAACTCTTACAAAAGAGAAGTGAAAAATTCTCACAAAAGAATATGTGAAAACTACAAAGAAAACCCAAAGAGTCTTTGCGACTTATTCCAAACCAAAAGAAACCACAAAAATGATGGTTGTGGAAATCCAACGGCGAAACACAGGTAGAGATCCAACATCGTGACGCAACCGTCTGTAATGATTAAAGGAAAATCATAATAAATTGAAGACGAATAGAGGAAGCCTTCTGATTTTGAGAATGAGGAAAGAGGAAAAACAAGGAAGAGAAGAACGGAGAGGGGAGGAAGATCAGTGACTTCCTCCCCTCAAAATAAAAAGGACTCTGAAAGTGTTTTTTTTTGAGAGAGAGGAGGCTAGAACTTTTTCCTTTCTAGTATAGTAGTCCCTAAAAAACAATAATATATAGATGTCTGATTAGGGTCACTCTAGCTAATGAAGACACTGATATTTAGGGAGCTATTATCAGCATTAAAAAATATAATCGACATTTAACTTTAAAAATCAAAGTACACATATAGTACTTTAAAAGTCCAGAGCCGACATAAACTTTACTAAGGCCTATATTCCTTCTCACCCCTTCACCCTCGTTGCTATTGTTCCTGCTTTGTAATTCCCCAACTTTGGCTTTGTTCAAACTTATTAGGTTTTTATTATATTTTTAATTAAATTATTAAGAGCCCTTCCAATATCACTGGTATATAAAATATTTTAAAACATTTTTTTTTTATAAACGATTAAGGAAGGAAGGTTTACACAAAATACTCATATAATGTTCAGGAGTTTCGAACCTATGTCCACATACATAAATGTGGAAGAGCACAACCAACTGAAAACAACAAACCAAAAAAACTTAAACGCTCGTGTGCTGAGCAAAGACAGAGTCCATATCTTAATGTACTTAAATTAACAACAAAAGAAAAGTTACAGAACATAACCAAACCCATAGAATCCCAAAAGTCATATGGATCAGAAGACGCTGGGAAGCTTGATCGCTCCCTTCTTGTTAAGTGGTATGGTGAAGTTGCCAAAGACAGGAAGGTCAATGGTGAGGCCTATATCCAGCTCATAATCAATGTCCCAATCTGCTCCAATATCTTTTGCCAAGGTCAACAATATGCTATGTGGCACCTTCAATAGTACCTCAAGCACAGTAATGTCCTTTCCTTCTATTGAGCCAGGATCTGGTACAGTTCCAGATGTAATCTCCCTACAAATTCACATGTACACATACAAATCAAGTCACTTTATATATACGAGCATGGCATAGAACTTATTTTTTTATTTTTTTTATCCAAATATTGTGTATTGATCGTATTTGAACTCGAGATCTCTTCCGACAAAGTAAAACTAACACCAAATGTACACGTTATGAGAATGAAAACACAGGATAAAATTGACGAAATTGAAAACACAAAAACCAAATTAGAAAATTCAAGTAAAACACATAGATCAAAAGAGTATCTATAACAAAAATAAACAAATAAAAAGTGAGAATTGGAACCTGCCAACACTCTTGAGGGTGTAAGTGATATCACAGATGGGGAGGTCAACTCCATAGGGATTGGTCACAGAGATTTTAGCAAGGTACTCAACAGATCCTAAGCTCAGCGTCTTGTAATCAACATCTGTGACTTCTGCCTCTGGCTTCTTTGCATGACCCACTTTCTCTCCCGCAAAGTTCTTGGCTTTCTCCAACAACTCAGACATTTTCAATCGAAGCACACTCCGACAACAAACTAACAGCTAAACAAAATATTAATACAAACGAAGAGATCAACACACTGGATTAGGTTTAGGACTTGCAAGGCTTGGTTTTTAAGGTTGATATTTGCGGAGATATTTATAGGAGGTGGATCTCCAGTGGATTATTGAGTAAAAAATTAGACGACGTTGTGGGTGCACTGGGTTTGCGACACGTGGCAGGGAGGTCGGCAGGAGGACTAGTGACAATCTTACGTGTCCGCTCGTGTGTTCCTCCGTGTTTAGATATCTGTAATGGATTGATGATGCTTGACATGAAATTTGTACTAAAAGGAAAGGGTTGAGATAAGAATTTATTTATTTATTTTGGTCGGATGGGGTTGAGATAAGATGGGATGGTTCTTTTTTAAAAGTTTGGACAATCTCAACGGTGGAGACACTGATGTTCTATTTATTTGGCTGGATGGTGGGTCCAATTCTCATTGCCAAATTGGGTGCCTTTATCAGATATACACTAGATTCCCTCACACGCTATTATGGTGTGAGTTAGTGCAGAGAATATTCAAATTATTGAACTGAAAAAAAGGATAGATAGATGTCTGATTAGGGTAATTCTAGCTAATGAAGACATTGATATTTCTATTTAGTTTTACATTTTATTTGCCGTTTATGCAATTGCGTGGCAGATCTATATTGCATGTGTGAGTATATGTACTTTTGGTTGCTAAATCGGGAATTTTAGTCATTTTAAAGTTGTGTATGATTCTCTCTAGATCAATTCAACATGTTGTTACGTTTGGTCATTGAAGAAAATTTACCCATATTTACTTTGTACTTTTATTTATTTATCAAAAAGAAGAAAACATACTTAATGCTTTGAACTAAAGCTGCTCACAAGCTTTATGAACTCAACGTACTGAAGCTCATCATGCTCGACTTGTTTCTTAAGTGAACACAGCTCATACGAGCGAATTTCGATTCAAACTCGAACGGTATCCAGTCAATTTACAATTCTAAAGATGGATTAGAGACGGAGAGAAATTTTTTATTGTAGGTATGTAAAATTCAGTGGAAGCTATTCGCTGAGACTAAAGTATCATAAGGACAGCTACAAAAGTTGGTTTTCGAAGAATCATACTCAAGTGTGATGCTCAAGAAACCAAATGATCATGGAACTGTAACAAAGTAACTAGTAACCTCTCAGATGTGCTGCACTGCACATGGTGCATGTGGTGGCTAGATTTGCTCTTCATGATTGTAATGAGTGTATAATTTTGGTAAAACAGTAATCAGATTGGCTAAATCAGTATTAGAACAGGATTTTCAGCCAATTAATTTACATAGTATTTTTTTCTTATGATAAGAGTCGAATTTAACTTCTACATACTATTTCTTTTGCTTGCCAATAGAAAAACACAATTAGGGATAATGTAAAAATTTAAGACGATTCTCATATGTAATGCAGATTATGGGAGGAAGGAAGTATTTTTCTCTTATCGTTTGTAGGTATTGATATTGAATATGATTAGCACCAAAATAATAGAGCATGTCCAATATTAGTAAATGGATTGAACTTTGATGTGGGCTTGACCTGGGCCTATATCTTGATTTGATTTAAATGTCTAAAGCCCAAAATATACTAGAGTTCTATAGTGAGAGCTTTATCAGATGAGGCTCTATCTTTTAACCATTGAATCAAATTGGTTAATCGTTGGATCAAATTAATTAGTTTGATCCAACAGCTAGAAAATGGCTCCACTATCGTATGAAAACCATTTACTTCCAATCCAATATACTAAAATATGAACAAAGGAAATTAAATTTCAACTCAAACTACAACTGTTTTTTCATTGTCAAAACTTGTGCAGTTTATCAATTTAGATAAGTTTTAATTGTTAGAAAAGTAAAAAAGGAATGTGCTGAAATAAATAATAATGAAGTATAATTAGTCAACTATAAAAAAGTCTAAATTATTCCCAATGTTAAAATATGTATAAAGTTCGAATCCCACTCTTGTAAAGGTCAAAAAAAAGAAAAGAAAAAGAAACCCACCCCGATCCCACTTGAATAAATTGCTACTAAGTACAGTCTTCCCAATTCTAATTCAACTCTGCAAAAAAAGCAATTGACATAATGCTTCTCCACATGGTAAAATCATATACCATTTCTTATGGGATACAAGATGAATAAAAATTCCTTTTAATCTTTCATAAAAGATAAAGTTCATTTCAATCCCATTAGGAGGGAAAACACCATGCAACATCTCAAACAGTATAACATAACCAAATTGCTCGTACATTCACGACAAGAATTCGACTTTCACTTTTCTAATTTTTAAAATGAACTACTTACTCTTACATTTTATGACACAGAAATAATTTGACTTTCCCTTTCCCCTTCTTTAGATTTTACCTCTACTTTGTTGCCTCTTTTGGAATCTCCTTTTTAGTCTCTTTCGAAGCTTCATCCTTTGAACCCCAAATAGCTTCAGATAAGGTGGGAAGCTTGATTTCGCCCTTCCTAGATAGAGGTATGGTAAGGTTCCCAACTAGAGGGAGGTCAATGATGAGATCCAAATCCAGCTCATAGTCAATGTCCCAATCCTTAGCAACGTCCCTTACCAATGTCACAATTATGCTATGTGGCACCTTCACAGGCACCTCCAACACAGTAGTGCCACTTGACTTTATTGAGCCAGGATCTGGCATGTTCCCAGATGCAATGACCCTAATTCACATGTATATATACATACAAATCAGAAAAATAATCAATATCAAGCGATTGTTATATCGAAGCTCATTCAGACATCTCAAAAGGGTTTCGATTTTGATCTCATCATTTGTGATTTCAAAATGGGAATTCAATTTTTATCTCATTCCTTGATTTCAAAAAATGAAACATTTTTAAATGGTTTCATCTGTAGCCGGACCGTGGCATTTTTTTATTCATTGAATGAGCATGGTCACAAAAATTATAGGTTCTTGAAAACCAACAGCAGGATTAAAATGGCCACAAATAGATCACGAGTGACAAAAGAAAAAAGATGTAAAAACAAGAGTTGAATTGAAACCTGCCAGCGCTTTTGAGGGTGTATTTGACCTCACAGACGGGGAGAGGATGTGAATAGGGATTGTTGACAGACACCTTAGCGATGTAATCCGCAGAGTCAAAACTCACCTTCTTGAAATCAACGTCTGTGAGACTTGCATCTGGCTTTGGCACATTTGCTATCTTATCTGCCACAAAGTTCTTGGCCTTGTCCACCAACCCCGCCATTTTCAAAGACGTATGAACCAACAAAAAGAAAGAACAAACCAAAGAAAACTAAAGATGAACAAACCAAGAGATTGATTTAAGCCTACTTGCAGCCTTGTATTCAGATCAAAAATTTCATTTGGGTTATATATAGAGGAGCTGCATCACTTGATTTGTGGGATTGTGACAAATGTAATGAGATTGATGTGAAGAAAATTATCATATATATACGTGTTGGGATTATATATTCCGTACTTGATTGAGGGTTAAGATTGGATCATGGCTATGTATTAGGTCAAATGCAGCCTTAATTGCATGGTAAGCTCCACCAACCAGATCTCCCTCTTTTCTATCTTACATTTTTATTTAGCAAAATTTCTTAAATTTTCTTGTAAACATAGGAACACATCCTCTTTTTTATTATTATTTTATACAAGCAATAATCTACTATAAACTAATCTAAACTACGGGGAGAAGAATTCGAACTTGAGTTCAGAGTGGGAGCACATCCGCTCTAAGCAACTTGGCTAAGCCTATGTTTGCAACACATCCTTTAAATAAATAAATAAAGGAACCATCCAATCAAATCATCCTTGACATATGTTTATGTTTTCATTTTTAATAAAAATATAGGCAGAATATTCGAATCCCTTAAGAAGAATCGTAGAGGATGAGAGTTTCTTCTATTTGGTTTGTCTGGTGGATTGGAGCATACATGCATGGTAAGGCTGCATTTGACCTAATATAAAGATTTTCTATTTGGACATACTATCGTGTGTTAAGAGAAAATTAGTTATCATATAATCTCCACGTTTGTGAAAGTGGTATTTCGTTTTCTTTGCTAGCTAACCAATCTTCACTATTTTCAACTTTTAATTAAAATTTACTTGCTTCATTTTATCAACCAGCTCACCAAATTATCACCCAAAAAACAACACCAATGACATAAAATAGGAAAAACATTACCAAAGACTAAACTATAAAGTCACAGGTATGGGAAGGGAAGGCAACATTTGAGGATCTGGAAATCCGTTTTAGTTTTCAAAGTACCCGTCTGCGCTTAATCCCCAACATACTTACACCATTCACAAAGAGACTTATAGAAGAGAACGAAAAATGAGAAATGCTCTCTTGTAAGAATGTTCACCAACCTAGTCAGATTGTGAATTTGGATCATTGATCGTGTTAATTCTTGTCAGGATGTGTGGTTCAGATTCACAATCTGGCAACATAAGTATTTAGTTAGACTGTGAATTTGGATAATTGATCATGTTAATTCTTGTTAGAATGTGTGGTTCAAATTTATAATCTAGCAACATAAGTATTTGTTTGGCAAAACAAGTCTGACAAACGAATATTACTCGTGAAAAATAGGACATACACACCCACAAATGCTATATGTAGGATGCCTCAAATGTGCGAGGAGTTTTATGTGGTCTGACGTGTGCGTTAATCCACAACCATTGGTAATATGATACAAAGGAAATCAGGTGGGAAATGAAGTGACTTCTCAGGCACGCACTTCTTCCACAAAAGCACAAGATGTTGCCATCAGAATGGGGTTGATTTTCTCCTATAAAAAGACATGTTTTTCTAAACACTAATACAAGGAAGCAGTAACAAGAAAAATACTACAGCTACTAGCTAATCAAAATCAAGTGCAGAATGACACCAAATTTAGCAATTTCACTAGCATTTCTCATTTCTTTAAGCCTAGCACTACAATTTGGAGCTGATGCTGCAGGCATTGCCATCTACTGGGGTCAAAATGGGAACGAGGGTACCTTGGAGGAAACTTGCGCCACAGGCAACTATGAGTTTGTGAACTTAGCTTTTCTTCCAACCTTTGGCAATGGCCAGACCCCCATGATCAACCTAGCTGGACACTGTGATCCCTACACTAATGGCTGCACTGGCTTGAGCTCTGACATTAAATCATGCCAAGCAAAAGGGGTCAAGGTCATTCTTTCAATTGGAGGAGGAGCAGGGCTACTACCTCACATCTAAAGAGGATGCTAGGCAAGTTGCTACTTACTTATGGAACAATTTCTTGGGGGGAAGTTCTACATCTCGCCCACTCGGTGACGCTGTTTTGGATGGAATTGATTTCGACATAGAAGGAGGAACAAACCTACATTGGGATGACCTTGCAAGATACCTCTCTGCATATAGTAAACAAGGCAAGAAAGTTTATTTAACTGCAGCTCCTCAGTGCCCTTTCCCAGATGCTTGGGTTGGGGGTGCCCTCAAGACAGGCCTTTTTGACAATGTTTGGGTCCAATTCTACAACAACCCACCTTGCCAATACTCCTCTGGGGATCTTAGAAACCTTGAAAATGCATGGAAGCAGTGGATTTCAGATATTCCAGCAACCAAGATATTCCTAGGATTGCCTGCTGCCCCTGCGGCTGCTGGAAGTGGCTTCATTCCTGTGGCTGATCTTACTTCTAAAGTGCTTCCAGCAATTAAAGGTTCTCCCAAGTATGGAGGGGTCATGCTGTGGTCCAAGTATTATGATGATCAAACTAACTATAGCTCTTCCATCAAGAGCCATGTCTAAATTAAATTTTGAATCATAGACAACTCTAGTTGTCTGTGATGTTTGTGTACTTCTACATATATATATATATATATATATATCAGTATTATGCATAAATACATATGGAAACATTGTGTGTTCTTGAACTTATTTTCCTTCATAAGACCCTCACTATATAGAATGACTGCATAATTAAGTTAATTCTTTAGGATGAACCAAAATTCACAGGTAAGCCTAGACTGGCCAACTTAGTTTTGGGCTGTGCGCAGATGATAAATTAGCATGTCATTTAGAATACAAGAATCAAACGAGGAGTTTATTAGTGGTACCAAATAACATACAAGAGCTTAATTGAAATACTGATTTCGGTATATTGACCTTTACATTTCTTTTCTTTTTCCTTCTCAGATAGTCCACAGTTAATAAGGTTAATACATATATAAGTACAAATTAATTTCCAATAGAAGATCATGCACTGTGCACTCTATATGTTCATATAGCAATTAAACCTTTAGTACTAGCGAGCTAATTAATTTTGAATCAGAACCTAGAGAGGAACTGCATTTGCTTCAGAAGAGGAGTTAGGGTTTCCATCAACTTCTCACAGGGATGATTGTGAGTTCCTTCATATGTTGTCACCACAATGCTCGTGTCCTTAGATAGCCTCTGGACCTGCTTTTTCACATTGCATGTGTGATGTGTGCACCGATAATAGCTCCTACATATGACCATGTTTGAAAGTATGAAAGTGAGAAATGCGTAGAATTTTTTGAACCCAAAGAAGAACTTTGGCTCATAAGTAAATGCCCTAATACTAATTAAGCTGGAGATAGATAGATCATAGCAAACTTTTAAATTTATATATATTAATATTGCACCCAACATAATGAAGAACATGACTAAATCCTTGCTATTTATATAGATAACCCAATAAATAAATATATATATATATATATATATTCAAGTTGATAGGTCATAAGAATTTTTCTGTTTTCAAATAGATAGTCTTTTTATTGATTCGGGAATTCAGAGTTATTTTTCTATTTTCAATCGGAGTTTTTATTTTTTGAAGTTTTCGATCAAAATTTCTAGGACCAAATATCTGAGTCTAAGTATTTATGTATTCAGTTTCCTTATTGGCTGAGGAGAAAGTAGAAATGCTTCGTTGAGCAACTAAAAATATGAATGTATAAATTAGCTGGCTGAGGAAATATCAAATTAGTTGAGCAACTAAAAATATGAATGCATAAGCAAGGGGTTTATAGCTCAGGTGGTTAGGAACATTTACCCTTGCACCCGAAGTCTTAGTTTCGATTCTCCCTTAAAATGGCTTGTATATTAAAAAAAAACTATATGAATATATAAATGTTTTGTTTCTATCTCAAATTTGATGTCAGTAGCCAGCTAATTAACGTTTGCTTTATGATTTTGTTTTACAGCATCACATTTTGGTGTCTCTCTATCTTTTTTCTTCTTCTTCTATTTTTCCCTTCTCTTGTTCGGTGATGTGCTAAATTGTAACCAAAAAAATATATATATAATAGTGTTAGAAAGTGAATTAACAAACCTGGGATATAAGTTGTTCTTGACGGCCTTCTGTCCGTACTTTCTCCAGCGATAACCATCATCAAGAATATCATCGGCACTCCGAGTCTGAAAAGCAAATCTAGGCCGGCTCGCTGGCTTTCTCATCTTACCCCCACCTTTCCTTTTACTATTTGCACCCTTTCCTTCCCGATCAGCTTCATTAATATTCTCAGCAGAGGCACCAACATTATTATTTTCCACCAGTGGCTTATAATTATTAATCTCCTGCCCATCAAACCCAGCTGCTGGAGAACCAGAGAGAAGGCTGACCCAATCAATGTCTGGGAGGACTTGATGCTGCTGAGGTTCTAGAAGAGGAGGGATGATCAGCTGCGAGGAGGAGGATGGGGCTGTTGATGCTGATGAGGGTGTGAAGAGAGGGTTTTGGGGTGGCAACAAGAAAGGCAATGAGATTAAGGATGATGGGGTTAATGGGGGTGGATAATTAGGCTCTTGATGACCTTCCATAATTAATCTGAGGTGTTAATTAATAAGAGAATGAAGAGAAAGGAAGAGAGAATTAATGTTTGATAGGGAAGTATATAAAGCTTTCAAAGAGTTAAGGTGGTGGAAGGTGAGAAGAAGTTGGTCCGTGCAGACACACAAGAAACAAAAAGGAGAGAGAGAGAGAGAGAGAGAGAGAGAGAGAGAGAGAGAGAGAAAGAGATTAATTGTTGCTTAGGGTTGAAATTGGGAGGGAGGCCCTTTTTTTCTGTTTTTGGTACTCTTCCATATCTTTTATCCTAGGGTAAAGGCGAGGGCCAACTACATCTCAACTACTTCTGTTCACCTGCAATTTCAAGTGAGAAAAGGTGACGTGCCTCAATATACATATCGTTATCATCAATGCATGCGTTTGCATGGCTCTCTCTCTCTCTCTCTCTCTCTCTCTCTCTCCCACAAGATTCATGGGATGAGGTATTTCTGTAATATTGGGAAATATACATACGTCACGTGTTCAAATTGCTACAAAATTTTGGTTTTAGTTTGACAAGAGATATATACTGTTTAGTTTACCAACCAAAAGAGATGCAAGAGAAAAGGCCTGGACCAAAAGCATCTCATGTGTTGTTGCTAACACCATTCTTGTATAGACCATTTTGTGAGTGACTCGGTCCGCAGGGCCCTCGTCTTTCATCTTTCTATTTGTATTTTTTCTAAAGCAAATAGTTTTTAAATTTTTTTTATTTTTATCAATATCTAAAGTAATAGTTTTATATATATATATATATATATATATATATATACACAAGTAATATTGGAAGATGGGGTATTCGGAAATTGGACATCTAGTGTATGAATAACTGCTCTTAACTACTTGAGCTACAAGCCCCTTGGGAGAATCAGTGTTAATGCATTCACACCAAAAAATTACTCCAAATGCACATTAACTATATTTATATATACAATTTTGCTAACTCAATGTTTAATTTGATATTCAATGATAATATTCATAGTTTTATATCATTATATATAGTTCTATATCGTAACATTAGTATATATATGATACTGACTATAGTTCTATGGTAAAAATAAAATATTATGGTAAAGAAAGTTTCTAAACCAATATACAAGCCTCAATTTGATCTCCAAGACATGGAGAAATTGCCGCAAAGACTTTGTAAGCCCCCAATCTGAATTACCAAGAACATGGAGGTAAATTAAATCAAGAAAATACAGATCTAGTGCAGGAACTGGAAAGAAAATTAGAACAAAGGCTTCTTTCCGTCTAACATTCCCATCAAATGATCAAAAACCTGGCTCCCTGCATCACGCAGACCAGAATGCATGAATTCGTTAGTTATCCACAACCGAATCCCGGCTATCTGAGACGCTGTTTCCATGACCAGCTTGAAGTTTACAAACATGTCTTCATAGTAAACAGCAGCTGCAACAGGTACCTGTCAACGTTGACACAAGCAAATTCATACATTAACGGATGAAACCGCTGATAATTCACATGTGTACGGTCAAAATGGAAAACATCATAGGCTGCTACAAGGTTTAGATCTCCTTATGCAAATCTAATGGCCAGTTGATATTCAAGACGATTAACTTCATATAAAGGCAGCACACCTTGTTATTATTTAGTGCAGTGATGTCATATAGTGGAGGCCAATCCTTCTTCTCAGCCAATATATGAGCAGCACCTTTGAATTTCCTTAAGGCATGAATCTCATCAAACATCCATGGAAAGATCATCTGCAGCAGCAAAAAACCCAGTTTGTGCTTGTGAGGTAGTAGTCAAAGCTGCAAGCAACAACATACTAGAGGCCAACCCCAATTTTGCTCTGTATGACACATAGCTGTGGGACTACTCTGCTTACCCAATACACCTCATTCGACCCCTAAGATTGGTCCAGGTTTCTATAGCTGCATGAGCTTTTATACCATCATGCAAGTAAATCATAAATTGTATGCACAGCTAGATGTCCTCTCCATCAGGGTATATACACTTCAGAGTTCATGACTCCCCAAAATATTCTATACGTCACATGCTGACTATTATTTTATCCATGAGATATATACTGAATGTAATATATAAATAAATCATCAATTATCTGTCTGATAAATTCATATAATTGGATATGAACATTATGACTTTTTGGCATTGAAAAGAGGTCAGAACCTATGCCTACCTCTCCTGTGAAAAATACGGGACGACCTTCTTTTGCAGCCCGGATTGCATCAAATTTGCCCTCATTTTCCACCCTTATTCTTTGAGCAGCCCACCGTGATGAACCACCCTTCAATAAGTAAACAAATAAACAACTAGACAAACTAATAACCAAATGAAAAAAAAAAGGAAAAAAAAGAACACATACTTCTGCAGATGAAAGAGACTAAAGCAATTACCTGACAGTATATGGATTCATGAAGAAGAGCATAAAGTGGATTTGTGTCAAAAGATGACCACTTGTCAAACTGCAAACATGGAATGGTTTAAGGTTTATAACTTTATACCAGGTATGTTCAAAGCCTTGGATTCAACATCAATAAAAAGCAGTTATTTTCTTACAGCATCCAAGAAGTAATAACTGATTTCCTTTGATGCTCCTGGAACTATTATAGGATCCCAGGCCCTCTCAAACCTATGGGTCGAAGTGAAAATATAACTCAGTTGAAGCATGACTAAATTGTAGCATATTAAAATCTAGGTTCATATTCATGAAGCCTTACATGTAGTGTAAGCGCTCAAAACCAGCACTGGATCCCAAGCCAGTAAGACCAAGAATCTGCAATCCTTTTGGGGTTAGGAAGCCTCCAGATGGAAGCTGGACCTGTACAAAAACAAGGGTAGGTGGGATTGATTTTAAGGAGTAATCTTAAATCTCAGAGTTATGAAAAGCAGCAAGTGAATATGTTCTAGACCCTCACCCCTCCTCCCTCGGATTTTGACAAATAGTTAACAACTTCACGAACAACCTCAATATCTTGAGGATACCTTTGGTAGTACTTCTCATTCTGATGTATAATCTGTTCAAAGCATGCTTTATACACGGCATCTGCAGTGCATCCATTTCCTATAGGAGGGATTCCTCCAGTTAAAAGGACTTGTTTTAGTCCTTGTGGTGCAAAACTTAAATAGGTTACTGCACAAAAACCACCAAAGCTCTGCACAAGGGAAAAGAACAAGCTGCAATTTTAGTTCAGTTGCACAGGCAATAGTGCACCACAAGCAAAACATAAGAAATGACTTAACACAAAGACATTCTTATGACACAAAAAACGCAACACACAACAGCTTCAGACATAGGGAGAATGAAGTTGGCACTATGAGGGACCTCTGGATCTTAACAATGTCCTCTGATAACATAGTAGGTATTTCTTAGTAAACTAAAGAAACTGCAGGCAGGATCATCACACTATAGTCGAAACATTACATTGCACGCATAAATACTAAAAGCAAATAGCAATTAATACCTGACCCAAAATTGTCCAAGGCCCAGCATCAGGTACAAGACGTACTCGAATAAACTCTGCATCATTTACTATATTATCAGCTCGGAAATGTTTTAAGTAATCAGCCAGATCCACTTCAGACTTCAGTTGCGACATAGATGAAGCTGTCAAAGGAGTTGATAAACCTGTTCCTCGCTGCAAGTAAAAGTAGATAAGCAGGAGAATAACAAATAAGGAATTACATATTCACAAAAACTTGTAAGAATATATGCCTATATAACCATGCCTGATCCATCAATATAACACGAAATTCTTCACATGCTTTACGTATCCATCCACTGGCTTCGGTTGGTCGAGGGGCCTCAAATCCAGGTCCACCTTGTAGATATAATAGGTATGGCAGTGGTTGTTCTTCTTTACCAACTGCAATACAAATCATACTTTAATAAGGGACTAACAGAACCACAAACATGCATGAAAAAGGCAATTGTCTCAGAAGGATATGAGCAATCCGGAGATTGAAAAAATAGGGAAACAGCTTGCTTGCCAGTTACATTTTTATCTACTCCTAACTAGCAATGAGATTTCATGACTAAAGCAGATACTCTTTTTAAGTAGAGTATTTTATGAAGCCCCAATTTACAGGTATATGCACATGCTTGCGTTTTCGTTTTAAGTATGTCTCCGTCTGGCAGCATAGGTAAGCAACTTCTGCCGTAACTTCTCTTATCTTATGACTATCCTGGAATGAATATAAGTCTTATGTATGCACCTATGTCAGTCAAAATTCATAGAACACTTGACATTCGATCATATGAACATTCACAGGCAGATATCTCATTCAAGCTTCCTTCAAAAATTATTTATTGTAGTTAGTGGGAAAAGCAAATGTAGCAGATTAATCTTTGATCTTTTCAATACTGGGGACCACAACAACATAAAACTATCATCAGAGTTAGTTGAGAGAATTCAAATAACTCTACCAATTCAAACCACTAATCGATGTCTTTCTCTTAGCTGAAAACAGTAGACAATGCCTCATTCTTTCCCTTTCCACCATTTTCTAAGCAACCGAACAGAGGCAAAGCACAAAAAGGTCAACACACTTCAATGAAAATCAAAACACTGAGCCGCTTAAATCCAAGAACAAATTAATCACTTCAACTGATACACACTATATTGCATAATTCACTTCCAACACCAATCAAACAGTAATTAACAGGAAAATCAAAACACTGAGCCGCTTAAATCCAAGAACAAATTAATCACTTTAACTGATACACACTATATTGCATAATTTAATCACCTGAAACAACTTCGCGGGCGAAGATTGAGATCTTAGACGAAGCCTGAAGACCGACGGAGTAGTCGAGAGGCACAGTGAATCGATGGTCACGAAGTCGGAGCTCCGGCACCGAAAACCACTTCCCGGCAACGTGGTCAGGCGACGAGTCGCCGGAGGTGGCATTAGGCAAGGACATGGCTGTGACTGTACGGACTGAGCTCTGGCTGCAGTTGAAGCAGCGAAGCTTGGTGACGCGAAATAGTGGAAGTGTGCGAAGACTGAGAGAGAGGGAGGGAGAGGGAACGTAGAGGAGTGACCTTATCAATGAAGGTGGCGCGTGAAGTGCCGGCATTTTCGGAGAGAGAGTGTGAGGGGGTGGGCTTCTGAGTATTAACACGTGGCGCGATCTGTTTGTGATTTTGGGTTTGGATGGTCTTCAGCGGTTGGATGTGTAGACTTTCGGTGCGGAGAATTTCGATTGATTGGAAGGTTAATGTCGTTTCGGATTCGGAAGCAGATTCGGTTATGTAATGTAAACGCAAGTGTAAAAGAATTATACAATGTAAGCCGATTCGGCCAATGGTGAACTTGTAATTTCTCACATTGGGGCTTCCATTAAGATTTTGCAAATTGATGGGAGAGGGGAATATATCTCTGCATCTTTACAGCAATTCTTGTCATCCAAAGGTATTATTGCCCTTATACACCTGAACAAAATGGCTTGGCCGAAAGAAAGAATCGACACCTTGTAAAAACAACACAATGTATTTTACTTGGATATGCTTCTCAATACAAGGGCTACATTTGCTTTGATTCAATCACCAGAAAATTGATTTTTTTCTAGACATGTTTTATTTGATGAAACCGTGTTTCCCTCATGCAAGTCTAAGCCTCGATGCTCACCATGTGTTTCTACAAGTTCAGAGACTTCTTCATTGGTTTCTTCCATACCTGTTGTATCTTCTTCCAGTCCATTGGTTGATTTTGATCCCACTGAATTGTCTGCTACTGCTGCACTCAATAATTCCTTCTCTATGGCTACTTCTTCGACAACCTTAACCAATGATTCATCAGCATATTCTTCCAGTACCTTGCCTTCTATACAAACCCTGGATTTGCAAATAGACCCACCTATTCCCCCTACTAATCTTCACCCTAAGCAGATTAGGCGCAAGTAAAGAATTATTAAGAGGATAATAGTAGGGCCGCTCGGCTATACTTATTTCGTAATTTTCTCAAGAAACCGTTTCGCCGAACGGCTATACTTATCTCGTAATTTTCTCAGAAAATCATATAGCCGAGCGGCTATACTTATTTCGACACATTGAACCCGAACGCTAGACGAGCCCTCTTTTTTTCAAATAAATCGTATAGCCGCACGGCCATACTGGATTATTTTTTTCTTTTTTTTAAAAAATAAATCATATAGCCTTTTTTTTTTTTTTTTTTTTTTATAAATAAATAATATATATATATATATATATATATATATATACTTGGATCCTTTTTTTCTTTTAAATTTTTTTCCCAATTTTCATTTATCGATAAGAGTAGTTTGGAGCATTATCCATTACTCTTAGGTCATTACCTGAGCTTCTATTGTCTCCTTTTAATTTTCTAATTTTCAAGAGTTTTTACCCTCTATAAAGAATTTAGCACTTTCACGTTTAATACTATATTATACACGTACGTATGTATTTTTCAATAATACATCCATGTTATGTACACGTCTTAAAGACTCGGTAAAATTCACGTTTTTAAAAAGGGAGTTTCACTAAAATACCCAAAATGGAGGTTGAAATTATAAAAAAACCCAACACCCAAAACACTTTATAAACACACCCAAAACCCATCATTACACACTCAAAACCCATTTATAAACATACCCAAAAAGTTGACTTTGTGGTTGATTTTGGGTGTGTTTCTATGTTTAAATAGTACTTGGGTTTTTTTATAAATACATGTCTAGGATTGGGTTTATTTATAAATTTGTATTTTAAAAAAGCAAATGTACAATACTCGTATTGTACATGTATGTACGTATTTCTCATGTTTAATACACATATTTTTAACAAAATTTTCAATAAAACACACAAAAATAACGTATTATACAAATAATTCTCACATATTTTTTAATAAAAATAATATATATTTTAAAATTTTAAAATATTTATATTAAAATATTATATAGTGGCCGATTAATATCGGATTTGGATATGTTGAAACTAGCAAATTAATATCTATGAAGTATAAACGAATGCAACTAAGAGGGTCCTTTATTCTTAATTTTTTAAATTAAATAGTATAGCCGCGCGGCTATACCTTTTGAAGTGCAGCTGTGGCTATACTATGAGCGGATATACTTGTTTTGACACGTGAGCACCTAATCGCTAGGGAGCCCTTTTAAAAAAAGAAAAATAGTATAGTCGCTTGGCTATGCCGGCTTTTTTTTAATTATTATTTATTTTTAAATATTATAGTCTCGCGGCTATACTTATTTTGACACTTGGGCACCTAATCGCTAGACGGGTCTTTTAAAAACATAAATAAATAGTATAGCCACACAGCGTTACCACCAAACCCACCACAAGCCATGCCCTCATCATCCTTCTCTCTACAACCAACCACCACTCCATCATCATCCATAACCACCCAAACCCACCACAAGCCATACCCACCACCCAAACAAAAATGAAAGGAAAGGAAAACAAGAACAACGCATACATTTGCAGCGGGGATGGGTTTGGTTGAGTTTGCGTCGGATTTGGGATGGCGGTAGGGTTGAGTCCTCGACGAACCTGGAGTTTCGGGCTCATCAAAGAGAGAGAGAGAGAGAGGAGAAGACTAAAAATAAATATAAATAAAAGGTTGGCTAAGTACGAAGGGAGAGGGTGGCGTGAGGGAAGAAATCTGTTAGCGATGGAGGAAGGGTGTGGAGAAGACGATGCTTTTTTTAATTCTCTGGTTTTTTTTTTAAATTTATTTATTATTAATAGTTGAGTTAAGTTTTTTAAAAGAAAATCTTTTGTTTTATTTTTTTTACACATGGCACCTACGTGGCATATAATTCAACAAAATTATGGGTCCTATTTGTGCCACGTCGGTATTTTTAACAGAGTTTTTGACTGACTTGACGGTGATAGGTAAATTGAGATGCAAAACATCGATTAAGTGGGCAAAGTTGGACACATTAACTTTCACAGGATAAAGTGAGATTTGATTATAGTTTTGGGCACAACAATAAATTATGGGTCCTCTAATCATACTTTCCAGCTTAATACAATTATGCAAAGAGAATCATTGTCGATGCATATTTGATGAGCTATCTTTATGTATACATGACAAAATCACAGGGATGGTATTTTTCTGAGGCCTGAGTAACAATGGCTTGTATCCACTACCATTCTCCCTTTCTCCTTCCTCATCTTCCTCTGTTTCTTCAGCTACTGCATTTCTTGGACAAAAAGTAACTTCCACTTTGGGGCACTACACCAATTCCATGGTTCAACTTGCCTTGGAGAAGTCTGGTTTATCCTCAACTAGTTCTACTGATTCTGTTGTTAGTCAGTCCTGTTTAAAAGGCAAATTTTGTAAGCTTCCTTTTTCTTTGGTGCCTTCAAAGTCAGCAACACCATTTGAGGTTGTTCATAGTGATCTTTGGGGACCAGCTCCTTGCATTTCTCTTGAAGGATTTAGATGTTACATCACCTTTATTGATGAATGTGGGGGTGTATTTTTACAATCATTAACATACACCCCCTTATACACCCTCCCATTGTGGATGCTCTTATACACCTGAACAAAATGGCTTGGCCGAAAGAAAGAATCGACACCTTGTAAAAACAACACAATGTATTTTACTTGGATATGCTTCTCAATACAAGGGGCTACATTTGCTTTGATTCAATCACCAGAAAATTGATTTTTTCTAGATATGTTTTGTTTGATGAAACCGTGCTTCCCTCATGCAAGTCTAAGCCTCTATGCTCACCATGTGTTTCTACAAGTTCAGAGACTTCTTCATTGGTTTCTTCCATACCTGTTGTATCTTCTTCCAGTCCATTGGTTGATTTTGATCCCACTGAATTGTCTGCTACTGCTGCACTCAAATAATTCCTTCTTTATGTCTACTTCTTCAACAACCTTAACTAATGATTCATCAGCATCTTCTTCTAGTACCTTGCCTTCTTCACAAACCCTGGATTTGCAAATAGACCCACCTATTCCTCCTACTAATCTTCATCCTAAACCGATTAGGAGCAAGTCAAGAATTATTAAGAGGAAAACAGTATAGCCGCGCGGCTCTATTGATTTCGTAATTTTTTTACATAGTTTAGCCGACCGGCTATACTTATCTCGTAATTTTTGAAAAACGGTATAACCGCTCGGCTATACGTATTTGGACACGCGGAACCTGATCGCTAGACACGTCCTCTTTTATTTATTTATAAATAAATGTTATAGCCGCGCGGCTATACCTGTTAAATATAATGTATTTAAATCGTATAGCCGGGCGACTATTCTGCGGCTTTTTCTTAAAAATAGTATAGCCGCTCGGCTATATTGTTTTTTAAAAATCAGTATAGTCGCGCGGATATACTATTTCGACACTTGGGGCCTAAGTCCGCAATGGATCTCATATGGCGATTCGGTTAAATCCTCGACGAACCTGGAGTTTCGGGCTGGTTGGATCGAGAGAGAGGTTGTCTTGGTGTGGGGCAACGACTAAAAATAAATATAAATAAAAGGTTGGCTAGTTACGAAGGGAGAGGGTAAGGTGAGGGAGGAGATCTGTTGACGATGGCGAAGGGGTGTGGAGAAGCCGATGCTTTTTTTAATTCACTATTTTTTTATATAAAAAATTATTATTATTTTTCTTTTATTATTAATAGTTTAGGTAATTTTTTTAAAAGAAAATCTTTATTTTTATTTTTTTTACACATGGAACCTACATGACATCTAATTCAACAAAATTATAGGTCCCATTTGTGCCACATCGGTATTTTTAACAAAGTTTTTGACTAACTTGACAGTGGGGGATAAATTAAGATGCAAAAGATCAATTAAGGGACAAAGTTGGCCACTTCAAATAAAGTAAGATTTGACCATAGTTTCAGATGGCACAACAGTAAATAACCTAGCTTCTTTCACATAAGTAAAAGTTTGGGCTTGGTTTCGTCCTTCTTCGGAACCTTCGGGTGAGCTGCGAAGGAATATTGGGTTGAAATGTCCCGACCCAGAGTATTCTGTGTTCAGTGTACTTGGACCTCGGCGCTCGGCCCCATTTGATCCTCAATGGCAATGCCAATGCAACAGTAGGTGGCACCACTTTATGGCGCGTAGATAACATTTGTCTCAGACTGGTTCAGTCGGTCAAATCCCAAACTATTCAGAGTTGTTCAACAAAACCTTCTCTCACTCATTCATTTCCACTTGCTCAGTATTAGGTGGCGCAGCCAAAACAAACCCCAATTTCTCTCCTTCAGTCTCTCTCTACAACTTTAAAGATGGCATTTTACGCCGCCGTTTCGCGAGCCAAAGCGATGTCGCGAGCCTTCTCTCCGATCCTCCGTTGCATGAGCAACGTGCCGGAAAACACCGTCTACGGCGGCCCAAAGACGCAGAGCCCAGACCAGAGAGTGACGGTGACCCACTTGAAGAAAAAGCACAAGAAGGGCGAGCCCATCACCATGGTCACCGCCTACGACTACCCTTCTGCGGTCCACCTGGACTCCGCCGGCATCGACATTTGCTTGGTCGGCGACTCGGCCGCCATGGTGGTTCATGGGTATGACACCACCCTTCCTATCACGCTTGATGAAATGCTTGTTCACTGCCGAGCCGTGGCTCGTGGCGCCAAGCGACCGCTTTTGGTTGGGGACTTGCCCTTTGGCTCCTACGAGTCTAGCTCCAATCAGGTAGGTAGCGAATAAAATGGAAAATTCCTCCGTAATTCTGTTGATTTGGGAGGTTCATTGCCTATGGGCTTTTTGTTTTCTTTTTCTAATTTTGAGAAAGATCTGTTTTGTTTATGAGAATATGAAGGAAAAGGACGTTGGAACATTGTTTGACTTTGTGCATGAGCATGACAGAGGGTGCAAAAAAGAAAGGAAATGTAACTAATTTTTTTCCTTTTTGTTGTTTTTAATGATGAAATTTATGACCCAATTGATGAAATTATTGAAGCAGCTTTCTTACATTTTTTCAAATTTCATTGCAACCAAGTAGAAACAGAGCTGTATTAAATTTCAGAAATGAGAGTGTGTTCTATTTTGTTGATTGGTTTTTTTTTAGTAAGTAGGCCATGGGTGGGTGATGTTGCAGTTTCCATTATGAGCAGGCTGTTGATTCTGCGGTGAGGGTTTTAAAGGAAGGAGGAATGGATGCGATCAAATTAGAAGGAGGGTCACCTTCTAGAATTACTGCAGCAAAATCTATCGTGGAAGCTGGAATTGCTGTAATGGGGCATGTGGGACTTACTCCTCAGGCCATTAGTGTTCTTGGGGGATTTAGGCCCCAGGGAAGGAATGTTGCTAGTGCTGTGAAGGTATGTGTGTGCACGAATGCGTGTGTCAGTAATTTGTTTTCTATTATGGATTTGCATGTGCTGAAATTTCTATTTGTTGAAACAATGTTGTATTGGATTTTTGTCTGCAGGTTGTGGAGACAGCACTGGCTTTGCAAGAAGTTGGGTGCTTTTCTGTTGTTTTAGAATGTGTACCTCCACCAGTGGCAGCTGCTGCAACATCTGCTCTTCAGATTCCTACCATTGGCATTGGAGCAGGGCCTTTTTGCAGTGGGCAGGTTAGTTAATTATGTAGTCCTGTTCCTCTTGGTTGTATTGTATGTGTCTGCCTTAATGCTTGTGTGTGTGGTTCCTTTTGGTGTTAAATAGATATTAGCATCCTTGAGAAAGTTTGTTTAATAGCATATCATTTTAATTTGTTTGATGTATATATCTTTCCGTAACTTGAAACTTTGCTTGTTTCAGAAGGTTTAGGCATTTGCAGGTGGGGGAATATAAAAAATCCTTGTTTTGGATCCTAAAAACTTTCTTATCTTTTGAACACTGTCATTGGGGGCGTATGTTGACATATGATGTAACAGATTAGTAGGGATGAGGTAGCTGGATAGGTTAGCTCAAAACTACCAAATTTGAGCTCGGCTGAAGCTTGAAACGAGCCTAGAACCAAAGCTTGAGCTGACTCATGAGATTGCATTCTGTTAATTAACTTCTTTGAAGTTGTACCTTGCACATAAAGTTAATTAATTTTCTCAGGGTTTTTGCATCCTTTTCTTCAGAGACATAGTGTGGTTATTTCTGGCACACTTATTTTCTTTTCCCCTATATCACGCAGGTGCTAGTTTACCATGATCTTCTTGGAATGATGCAACATCCACATCATGCCAAGGTGAACTGAGCAGTTGCATCTCCTTGATAAAGCTCTTTCTCTCCACTTATGTGAATTTTATTTAAACAAAGAAGCACCTCATCTTTTTCAGGTTACCCCAAAATTCTGTAAGCAGTTTGCACATGTTGGAGAAGTCATCAATAAAGCTCTAATAGAGTACAAGGAAGAAGTGACCAGCGGCTCGTTTCCTGGCGCTGCCCACAGCCCATATAAAATCAGTGCTGCTGAAATTAATGGCTTTTTAAGTGAGTTAACAAAGTTGGGTTTGGACAAGGCAGCATCTGCAGCAGCTGAAGCAGCTGAGAAGATTAGTACAAGCAAATAACCTACTGAAGGCAGCCCTGCAAGTGACTGATAATGGGCAAAACCCAGCATATTTGGTTGAAAGTTTCATTACGAAGTAAATGGCCACAGAAGAATTTTGAAAGAGCAGGACAATTTTCTCTTTGTAACAGTGAGGTATCAAAAGTATGCAGTTGGGTTCCATTTTGAGTTGTAAAAGAAAAGTTGCTATTGCAGAAAGTTGTGTTCAGAATTTGGAAGCAACTTCAGAAATAAGATATTTGAAGCCATTTCCATATTTATTCATGATCCGAGCATAAAAGTAGACCCTACTGTAATTTTTGTACCAGAACTTTTTTTGGTTGCTATTTTTTGAGTACAGAATACAGGTGTTTGCCTTTCATTTTCCACATTTCTTTGGACAAATAAAGGGTGGGAAGTTGGGAATATTAACCTATGCGGTAGGATTTGTAGCAATTGAGCGATTTATATTCTTTTTGATGTGACAAACAAAAGAGGAATATATAAAAAGTCATCTTGTGGATCTTTTTCTAGTTGGAGGAATTTTGTAAAAATCGAATAGAACCTAGAATTTTAATTTTGGAGCAATGGACATTCGAATCATTTGAAACAAAATAATAATAAATAATAATAATAAAAAGAAAAACCAGAAACAAAGCTACTTCCCCCAAATCTACTTGTCCATGTTCTTAAACCCTAAACCCCTTCTTTCAAATCTCTACCGAACAAAATGAACACTCTATCACTTTCAGCTTCAAAGCACTCAAAATCCTTCCTCAACCTCCTTAAACCCCAAACCTCCAAAACCCAATCCTCCATCTTCCTCCTCAGCCACCACCTTTCCACCGATCCCGATCCCGAATCCGAACCCAACCCTAAGCCCAACCAATCACCCAAAGACGATGACTTGCTGATAACCCAAGCGGTCGAGCTCCTCCAACCCAATGAAAAAGACTGGAACTTTGACCAACTCCACCACCTCCTCTTCTCCAACTCCGCCGCTCCTTCACCTCGCTCGCTTTTCCACATCACTCGCCGCCTTGGCGCTTCCTCCAAGGCCCTCAAGTTCTTCGAGTACGTTTCGGAAAATGTGGCAAGCGCACCAGACTCGACGGTTTCGCTCTCGTCATCATTCCAGGGCATTCTTGAGCTTGCTAAGCGAGAACCCACCTCGCAAAACAAGCTTTATGACTTGTATAAGATGGCAAAAGAGCGGAACATCCCGCTTAATATCAGCTCCGCTGCTCTGCTCGTTCGATCTTTAGGCATGGTTGGCATGGTGGATGAGGCGCTCATTGTGTTTAATGATCTAGACCCGGGTTTGAAAAACACCCATCTCCGCAATGCGGCGATTGATGTGATGTTGAAATCGGGATGTGTCGATGATGCACTAAAGGTGCTCGACGAAATGTTTGATCCAAAAGCAGAGGGCCGGGTCGACCAGGTTACGGGTGATATTGTGCTTTCCTATTTATTGAAGAGAGAGTGGCCGGGGAGGAGCTTCAGTGAGGAGGACATTGTGGGTTTGGTGTTGAAATTTTGTGAGCATGGTGTGTTTCCTGATAGCATGAAGCTTACGAAATTGATCACTGCCTTGTGTAGGAACAGGAAGACTAATAAGGCTTGGGATGTTTTACATGATGTCATGAAGTTGGGTGGTGATGTAAAAGCTGCTTCTTGCAATGCGCTTTTGACATGTTTGACAAGAGGTAATGATTTTAAGAGAATGAATGAGCTTATGGTAAAGATGAAAGAGATGGACATTCATCCTGATGTTGTGACTTTTGGTATTGTTATTAATTCTTTGTGCAAGTCTAGGAGGATAGATGAGGCCTTGGAGTTGTTTGAAAAGATCAGTGGAGGAAGAGAGAAGAGTGATGGGGTTTCGACTGAACCTGATGTGGTCATTTATAACACTCTGATTGATGGACTTTGTAAAGTGGGAAGGCAAGAAGAAGGTTTGCTTTTGATGGAAAAAATGAGATTGCAGAATGGCTGTGCACCTAATACTGTGACCTACAATTGTTTGATTGACGGTTTCAACAAGGTCGGGGACATTGAGAGGGGTCGTGAGCTCTTTCACCAAATGAAGGAGGAAGGCATATCGCCAAGTGTGATAACTCTGAATACCATGGTTGATTGTCTATGCAACCATGGGAGACTCAACAGTGCAATTGATTTCTTAAATGAAATGCAAAGGGATGGTGTGAAAGGCAATGCTGTTACTTACACAACCTTAATCACTTCCTTTTGCAATGTGAATAATATTAGCATGGCAATGGAATTGTTTGAGCAAATGTTGAGAGATGGAGGCTCCGCAGATGCAATAGTTTACTACAGCTTGATCTCTGGTTTAAGCCAAGCTGGAAGGATGGATGATGCCATCTCTGTTGTATCAAAGTTGAAGGAGGCCTGTTTCTCTCTGGATCTCGTTTCCTATAATGTTTTGATTAATGGGTTCTGCAAGAAGAATAAACTTGATATGGTCCATGAGATGGTTCAGGAAATGGAGGCAGCTGGAGTAAAGCCTGATAGCGTAACATACAACACCTTGATTTCCTATTTCTGCAAAGCTGGGGAACTTACAACCGGTCATAGAATATTGAGCAAGATGATAAATGAGGGTCTTGTTCCTACTGCTGTCACTTTTGGAGCATTGATTCATGCATATTGCTTGAATGGCAATACTGACAAAGCCATGAAAATCTTCAGAGAGATGGGTTCTAAATCAAAGGTTCCTCCCAACACTGTAATTTACAATATTTTAATTGATACTTTGTGCAAGAAGAATGAAGTGGAACTTGCTATTTCTTTGATAGACAGTATGAAAGATAAGGGGGTGAGACCTAATACCGCGACATTCAATGCCTTGTTCAAAGGTCTTAAGGAGAATAATTTATTGGAGAAAGCATTTGAATTTATGGATCAAATGACTGAACATGCCTGTAATCCCGATTACATAACCATGGAGATTCTCACGGAATGGCTTTCTGCAGTTGGTGAAATGGAAAAGTTGAGAAGGTTTGTTCAAGGATATGAGGTTGCTGCTTCTACTGCATAGAGTAACTGCACGGACAGAAGAATGTCAGTATTGGTTATAGATTGTCGATTTCAGAGTCGGCCATGCTTAGGAGAAAGCGTAATGGGTTCCAACTTCTAGCCATGTAGTTGTATTTTTCAGTTCGATATTGGACACCCCTCAGTTCAAAGACTGCTTATCTGAGTCTCTGTTGCTGCAGCATTTTCATGTCCTTGGGTGGATTCCCCTCTTCCATGTTGAGATCAGGCAAACAAGGATGTGTTTGTAGAGAGAATCAGGCAACAGTCTTCTAAGTTATACTTGAATTGAAAGCTACATTTTCTGGCTTGTCTATGAAAATAACATTGCAGTGAATAAGTCTGGTGACACCATTTTCTTGTATGAATGCACTTTTGGTTGTTTTCATTGCTAGCAATCTTAAGAAATTTCTTGATTTTTTGTAACCTCTATTTTCTCGAGTCTCACACAATCATGTCCTAACAAATGTTTTGCCTTTTTTATGAACTGTAGCAGCATGGCAAAGTAGGCAGGCAGAGATTCCTTCTCTGCAAATTATGACATATTTTTTTGTGTAACATGGGTAATTATTGAAAAGGCAGCGTTGACACTTGATGAACAAGTGATTTGGTTGGGTGAATCCAAGTTCATGTTTGATGGTTTGATTTGAACACTGATTACAATACAAATCTCTTAGACTCCTTCTTTACCTCGAAACCCAATTGACTAAAAGAAAACCATTTTCAAAGAGAGGTGTTGCAAAGCTTGCAAGTTGCAACAACATTTTTGCCTCATTGCAAAATTCTACTTTAAAATTGGAGCTCATCTTTAAGCCAATCAAAATCATTCAACTCTTTCAAGGGTGGTAAATTGAACCCTACTCATCATATTGAGAACCCATTACTTTTTATGCCAATAAAGAAAAAAAAAGAATCTCATAATTCTACAAGCATGTGAAAGAAAATGAAATAGAACTATTTTTATTCATAAACCCTTTTTCGTCTTTTTAATCTGTTAAAATACAGAAAAAGTTTTCATGCGGAATATCGTCGTCAACCGTCGAGGCTATCTCAACCACCGACAATCATTACGCTGACAAACTTTAACGTCAATAACATTGAACTTGTTTATTTCGACCCCAATCAATACTTTTGACCCTTTTCTTCTTTCAATAAATGAGTTGAGTTTCGAATGGGAATGGCACCGAAATTTCTCAATTTTGTGATCTTCGGTGGAGAAGATGATAAGCCTCACAAAAATGTTTCCCACAAGTTACCAAAAAACTTTTTTTTTAAAAAGAAAAAAAAAAGTGTGGTATGGGATTCATTTCAAGTAATAATCAATAGCAACTCGATATGTTTATGTTGAAATCTTTAATATTATAAAATTATGGGTCATTATTTGATTTATTGACATTTAGTTTTCACTTTGTTAAAGAAGATTTGAGTTTAAATATCAAAGGAATTCTTTTGAGTATAAACGATAATCTATATTACATGGGAGACGGATTTCTCACACATACACACACAAATATGATATCGTGGGGGATTCAAAGGTGAAACCTTTGGTTTGCAACTCAAGCTACTTTTCCACTGAGCTAGACTCTGTTGGCAAATATCACGGAAATTTTTTTATTTTTTAAAATATGGTTTAAGTTATTTATGCATATTAATGACTTAGGGTCCTCAAGGCCAACTTTGATCTCTTGTGACCCCAACTTGCCATGGACAAGTAACAGCTATTGAGGTTTTGTTTTGGCTCAAGGTGTGAATGATGTTGATAGTTCATTTATATATGCTCAAATAAGATTATTTGTTTTCTCATTAATTGGACTAAATAAGGCATTAAAACCAGGCACAAATAACATTGAGAGAGAGAGAGAGAGAGAGAGAGAGAGAGAGAGAGAGAGATTTGGTGCCAAACTGGCTCTTGGACTTGGGTACCAATTTGGCTTTTGGACCAAGCAAGCCATGGCACACATCAATAATCCAATTTTGCATTTAGTAAAAAGAAAATAGATTTAGAGTGGGCACAAACCAACATTGTAGGAATGGTAAACCAACACAAATTTTGCTAATCACAAAAATAAATGAACCGCAAAAATGATCAACAAATTAAAATCACCAATCTTCATTGTAATATACTAGTAGTAGATAATCACTACCACTAACTTTGCTCAAACCAAAAATAAATCAACAAATAAAAAAGAAAACTAATTCACTAATCTAAAACTACAAGCCTTTTCCCCCCATACTAATTTCATAATTAAGATTCCACCCATAGTTACACCCCTAACCCTTTCTTTCTCCCTCTCTCTCTCTAAACAAAAAGTCAAAAATACCCCCAAAAGAAAAAAAGAGAAGTGTTGACAAAAGAGATGACTTTTATCGACGAATCAGATACTGCCAGCGGCGGTCGCAGCATTACTAGAAACCCAGGGGACGCCAAAGCTCGTCGGAGAGTGATCGGAAAAGTAATCTCCGGCGAGACCCTCCAAACCCACAAAGAAATCGTCGCTCACGACCGAATCACACATCCCAAAGAGCTCGTCGTCGTCGTCGTCGACCATAGGACTGCCCTTTTCTTCTTTGAAGCTTTCCATGGTTGTACTCTGAGGTACAACAGGGTCTTCGTCGACGGACGCCGAGGTTGCCGGAGAAGTGGGTTTGGTAGAGTCACTGCCCGTGACGGTTTGCGGCGAGAAGGGCTTCTGGCGGGTGGAGCCGGCGAGCGAGTTGCGGTGAGTTGGGGCCGGGTGGTTGTGCTCGGCCGTGTAGGTAACTATGAACATATTCGGGTCGGATCTGTTCCGCTCCACTTGTTTTCGGGCCATACAACCCTTTGAGCTGCTGCATCTGTAATATCCCCTGTTTTGGTTGAAACAACATAAAATTAGCCATTTTCCTTCATGGACAATTAAAATGGTAAAAGCAATTTTATATAAATAAAAAAATTTCCATTTTTATTTAAGTTTTGGGAGAAATGAAACCCACCCACCTTGGATATGGGGAGCCCTTGATTGGTTTTTGGCCATATTTACGCCATGCCCATATGTCTGCAGAGAGGCTCTCAGCTGGTACTTGGCACACTTTCTTAAGCTGGTTCTTTCTGAAATGGGAAAGAAACGCATAAATAACTTAAATTATGGATTAAACAGCGCAATTTACGAGATGGGCATCTCCCAAAATTGAGTTCTTTTGAAGTTACAAAGAAAATCAAAGAGAAAAATTGTACCTTTTTTTGGATCGTGGGGTGGTGGTGGAGGAAACAGAATGAGATGATGGCTTGGACTGTTGCTGTTGTTGTTGTTGTTGTTGTTGTTGCTGGTAGTGGTTTGGTGTTGATGTTGTTGAATGGGATGTGTTTGATCTTTGGGTGCAGTCAGAGGAGTGAGAGAAGTCAAAGGAGAGAGATTGGGTGGTGGTGTGATTTGTGAGGAGAGGGGAGGCTGAGATTTGGGGAAGAAGGGCTTGTAAAGCTCATGCAAGTCCTCTATGGCATTTCTGGGTTTAATGGGATCTGGAAGAGAGAAAAGCACTTGGAATTGTTGTTGCTGTAGGCCAGGCTGCAGAGTAGCGGTTCCAAATGAAGAAGAAAAAGCAGGGCTTGAATGGAAGTTCGAGATTTTGAAGCATGTGCTGTTGTTGCTGTTGGTGGTGGCTGTGCTTCTGTTGCTGGTGGTTGTGCCGGTGGAGCAGCCTCTGACCACCGCCTGAAGATCCCAATCGTCTTCCATTTAGAGAGAGAGAGAGAGAGAGAGAGAGAGAGAGAGACAAGGTTTCTGAATCTGTACCTTGTGTCTGCTAGCTATCACTGTTTGAGGACAAAGAAAGGAGGAGGCAAACAAAAGAAGGCGCTGACTTTTTATTGGTAAGAGAGAGAGGGGAGAGAGATGATAAGGGTGTGATGAGTAGGAGAGGAATTATATAAACAATGTATATATAGAGAGAGAGAGAGAGAGAGAGAGAGAGAGAGAGGGACAGTGGGATTTTATGCACAAAAGTCTAAAGGGTGCCTGAAAACAAGTGGTTTTCCTAGTGAGAGAAAGGGCGAGAGGAAGAAGGCATCTCTATGCATTGTTTTGCTTTTGGAGAGAGAGAGAGAGAAAAAAAAAGGAAATGAAAAAAGAAATTCAAATGGGGAAAACTGGTTTTCGGTTTTGGGGTTGACTTCCTCAAATGTCAAAGCGGGTTTTGATTAAGGAAAAGTTCCAGACGGTATATAGCGAGTGGAGCTCGTGAGTTATACCGACAAAAGGAGAAAGAGATAATAAATTAATTTTATTTTTTTTTCAACTTTTTTTATAATAAAAATAAATAAATAAATAATGGAAAAGTGGAAGCCAGTTAATTTGGGCGCTCCTGTCAAAAATGCTTGCTTGGTGGTATTGCAAAGATTTTTTAGTGGGTAGGTAAAGAATTACAAAAGCCTAAATTGCGCCCTCCTCCTGCTTACGTGCCCTATCCGTAATCTTGGGAAAAATGACAGATTAGTGTTTTTATTAGGGATGTTTTAACATGTAATTAAATGAATTCTGAATCAATCAGTTCAATCAAGCTTTGATTTAGTTTGATAAATTTCCATGATTGTGGCATTTTATTAAGACCCTTCTAATTTAAGAAACGAATGCTTTGATCCTGCTTTGGCATTCAATTAGGTCTCCAATTCATTGCTGCATCGCATCTAATTTTACCAAAATTTGTGGTTTGATTTCATGACAACTTTGTTTTGTTTGAATAATTTTCTGTTTTGACAACAAATCAATCATCAAATACCATTTAATTCAATTGAAATTAGATTGGATCCTAATAGTAATTCGAATATAAATCAATGAACACCCCCCCTTAAATATAATATGATCATGGTCAATCCTAAATATCAAAATTGACTCACAAAGGACCCCAAAAGACTTAAAATTGTTCATCAATCTAATTTGAAAAGTTTTTATCACTAGATTACTATGGAACGTAAAAATCTATGGTGTGACACCCTTGAATCATTTGAATGATTGGCATTCAAATTTGTTTCAAATCCCTCCAAACCACAATTGATTTTTCAAGGTCAATGCTGACAAAAAAAAAATTGAGAATTACTTTCCCAATGATTCATTTTTAGAGAACGTATGATAGCAGAATCTTGAAAGTACGAGAACTTATTTATTGAAAATCAAAAAATACAACTAAGAAATATGAAACCTGACTCATATTCATAGAATCAATTAACACAGTATCCTGAATAAAGTCGGGAACACATCTAACCAAACATAAAAGGATTGCATGATTTAATTAAGTAAAATAGTAGGTTTAAACTTTTCATAATCAATTCATTCCCCCACTTTTAAAGGTGTTTTACCCAATTATTTGATTTTAATTCGATAAGGAAATGCGTTTGTTGTGCTTGTGCATTGGGGTTGTAGAATTCCATTTCAATATCAAAAAGGAGCAGCAGCAGAAGCAGCATCTGTTCCCCTCTTTTTGGGTTTTGATGCCTTTGTTTCTTCTGTACTCTCCCTGTCCCCACTTTCTTCATCAAAGGAGCACCTCCCCACTCCTTAACGCTCGTGACCGGCACATGGGTTCCAGGTAGCGGTGCTCTCAAGTTATACCCTCCACGTATCGCCCGTCCACAGCGAGTTTGTATTTCTATCTCCTTCGAGCGAGTACGGTGTGCCCAATAATGCCGCCATCAAGGAGTCAAAGTCCAAGCGCTGATCTAACGGCTCGACGACCAAAGGCATAGTAAGATGATCCGACGGCTACGGGAGGGGATTCACACTGAGACAACATTGCAACTGTAGATCTACGGCGCAGGAAAGCTGACGTGGCATGCCAGCTAGCAATAATTTTCTCTAAATAAATCACGTGAGAGCACAGTATCATCACATGAGATATCAATATAACGTTACAAATCACTCAAATTATAACATATGTGTGCAATCGTTAATACTAAACTTTCCAAGAAGCTTCGACATGCAACATATGATTAGCTATATAGGGCAATGGGCATGACTTCGATCTCGAGAGACGTACTAAAAAGAAATCATTATTTGTAATTAAATTTACCACATCTTATAGTTTGACTGAATTCGAAACACCAGCATGTCACGAGTTGTTATTACCCTAAAAAGTAATTTTCCACTATTGACAAGTCATAATGTTGTAATTCAATGTGGGTCTAATATCTCTCTTTGTCGAATCAATCCAACGGTGGAGGTTGAAGAATAGTGTAGAGAATATACTGAAAAAAAATGCGGTGATAGAGTGCGACTCACTAAGATGGAGTTAGTGAGTTGAACGAAGTGCATGTGAGGTTGGTGCCAAGACGTGGGTGGCACGAGGCATTGAATTGTAAGCGTGTGGGGTCAGTGTCTCCAATGTTAAAATTTAAAGAAATTGTGGTGGGAAAAAAAGAAAGAAAAAATAAATCCGAGATATAGTAAAAATGAGGGAAGTGTATACAAAGCTACAAGCCCCCCAACTTTGAGGGTTATGGCAAGCATTTGGTCAGCTGACCTCTTCAAATTACTCAAGTTGAACTAGATTTTGGGTTGCCCATCATCCCATTCCATTTGCATTTGTTTTTAATTAATTTAAAAAACAATTTGATTGTGTTGACTTTGACAATTGGGGAAGACCCAAATTGGCATAATATAGGTTATCTTATTTTGAATCTTTGTTCTAGACGTATAGTTAGATACGCATATACCCACGTGCACGATTAACAACATCTACAAGACAGATGTAAAGTTTATTTCCCTTACATTACATAGAGGGTTATTTTTCTGCATATTTACTTGATTAAGTATTTGATGAGGAATATCTTCGTACATTCCCCTCTACATTCTACCATCTCATTTTCATCATGAAATTTGGTTTAATAATCGAAACTGTCTAATCTTTTAGGTTTGATTTTAACTAAACACTTCTCTCCCCCAATCGCTTGTATTAAAAAAAACACTATACCATATTATTAATCAAATGACTAAATGATTTTCAGTAAGTTTTATTTTTTTGCAGAAATAACCTACAAAGTAAACATTTTTTAACATAATACAACATTGCAGAATGAGAATGTGAATAAAAAATAAAAATAAAAATTGAAGATAGCTAGCATTCCCGGTTGTTTCTGTTGAAACTTGACTGATTGGTGTAGGTGCATGAAATCCTTTCCAATTCTTATAGTTTTCATACCAAACAAGTTTCCCTCCATCATCTCTTTATTTTGAGGGATGGGTACTTGTTGGAGCTCATAAGATCAAATCCAGTTTATCACACCATCTTTTTGGGCCGATAAAATAAAGTGAAACCGGAGCTATTGATAATGATGGTTCATGTTGAAGGCAGGGGAGGGGAGGCATTTCTAGACTTTGGACCACCCACCACCATCCATCCACAACTTAATTATGACACAAACCTGCCGTCAACACTTCTCTCTCTCTCTCTCTCTCTCTCTCTCTCTCTCTCTCTCTCTCTCTCTCCATCCACAACACAACACTTGGTAACGTATTAACATTCATGCAAAGCTGTGAAGCACTTTGAATGAAAAATCTTTCTGGTGGTTTTGGGTTAATATATTGTTTTTTTGGTTCAATCTCCATTTTGGGTGGTCAATGGTCAAGGATACACGTAACACGCTATTAACTCTTCTGCTTGTTTGTTTCTATCCATTTGGGGTTGTGGATATGTTGAGAGGGATATTGAGATTTTTGAGTTGCTTGCTTGCTTGCTATGACTTTGGCTTATGGGTCAAAATAATAGAGACTTGAAAAAGGTAGGGCTTGACAAGTATGAGAAGCCATAGCAAGCAACGCACAACCACAAAAACTTTGATGATTGTTGGGATATTCAGTATCTTTTGGCACCTGGTGTTTCATTTCATCATTCTTTGGTGTTTTTTATTTTTTATTTTTTTATTTTTTATTTATGTCTTGGCCTATCCTAAGATAGGCAGATGGTTTTATAATGGGTTTGGCACAAGGACATTTAAGTGATAGATTATAGATAGACACATCTGCTATCAGAGGAGATGGGTAATCCATTACTAGCCACCCCCACTAAACTTTCTACATCAATCACCGTTTCTCTTGAGAGAGAGAGAGAGCACTTAACAAGGAAAGGGGGAGAAGGAGGGTGCCTAGCCAGCAAAAATATAGGAGGAAGCCTACCACAAAGAGCGGGGCCATGGATGAATATCTCCATCACTAGCCATAACTTTTTCTTTTTCCTTCATTCCTACATGTGATTCATGGACTCGGGAGTGATGTGATTCATGGACTTGAACTTTGCACCTTCCTTTTTGTGCCCTTTGACTAATTACAGACAACAGTAGAGCCCTATTACATGTGTGTTTTTGGTTTTTTGAATCCAGCGATATTGGAGAAGAGGGAAATCAAACCTAAAACCTAGGACCATGGGTGCAAGGGTAAATGCTCTTAACTACTTGAGCTACAAGCCCCAATTATGTTAAATAAAATATAGTCTGAGCTGAAATAAAGAAACAAGCAAAGCATTCACAAATTCAATCTTTGGTTGTCTTAAATTATTTCCTGAAAGTATCATTTACAAAAGGCAAACACGGGTACATCATATGCTTCATATCCTCATATTGTCAAATGGAAGTTGCAACCCTAGCAAATAAATTCAAGCTCTAAAATACTACAAATCTTTCAGGTCCTCCTATTTATACCTTCAAAAATATACACTCAACAGAATTGGAAAGAAGAACAATTTATGTATTCAATTATCTGTCCAAAGATGAGCTCCTTAACCAGACAGTTAATTTAATTTGAATTGGTTCCTTTGCTTGGCGTCCGTGCCTCCAGATGAATTCAACTTGATGTGCCATTTTTCTAAGCTCAGGAACAGCCGGATGAGAATTAAAATTTGGGAGGTCATATCTAATCAGCACACTGATTCGGTATCAACTGGAACTTGTCCACAAGGAACTAAGTCTGGCAGCAATCTTTGCGCTCTTGTAGTCCTCTCTAAGCTCAATAAACCTGATTTCCAATCCAAATCAAAATTTTATCTCAACCAACAGAAAACCTTGATAAGCAACAAAAGCGATGAGATAGTGAAAAATAAATAAATGTCACTCTGACAAAACAACTTCATGCTGAATTGATACTAGTGTATTTCTTTCTGGATGTTTTAAAAAATAAGTCGAGAAATTTGGAAACTTTCCATCAATTGGAAAGCATCTCTCTTCTTTAATTGGAAGGAAAAAATGAGTTTCATGTGTGTCTGCATGTGTGTTCTAAGAGTGTTTTTACAGTCCACAGTTCAATATGTTCGAACTGATACCTCTGTGCATCTTTCCGTATGCTGGGGGTACCCTCAAACAGAGTTGAGAGGCTTTCAGGAGCAACAATAAACACATTGGCCATTCTGCAGAGAAAAAGCTCATCATTACATTCAGATTCAAAATATCAAGATGAATAGAAGCTGGAAATCTAGCAATTTCTTGGAAACTTACATGCCCAGCAATTCAAATTTTTCATCAACGGAAGGAGCATTGAAACTACGCACAAATTCTCCATATTCAGTAATGTCACGCTTCAGCCGCAGTCCTCCACTGAGAAACAAAGAAACAATTAGTACAAGTTATGTGATGTGAAACTTTCAACTAATTAGCAGGCCACAAAACATATTATGAGAAAGTCCACCTACCTGGGATTAAAAGTGAACTTCTGCCAATGATTTAGCAGCCCTTTGTGCAAGCGGTTTCCCTAGTAAAAGTTTTCACCATAATATAAATTCAAATGTGAAGGTGCCAAGATTCATCATCACTATATTATCACTACAAATTCCCTAACCATGGCAGCCAAACCCAAAAATATTGAGTTAATACCACATGCATATTGCAATAAGAGAATGACAATGAGAAATATCATAAACTGCATAATTTTGTTTGGCAATCTTTGTGCATAATATCATAATTGATCTAACACATGCCACAAAGAGATAATGTGAAAGGCCTTGTATAATGCAATTGTTGTGCTTTTTTCTTTTCCTTTTTTGTGTTCAATGAATTTTGATACAACCATTTCTCACTGTATCATATATTAGTTGAAAGCATTCTTGCTGTGTTCATGGCCATGCAATATGCAGTTCACCTTTCAATTACTCAATGAATTCAGGGCACTTGCCAATTATTCTACAGTATTCAATCCAATTCTAAATCTATGACTGCAAAAGAGCTACCATAGGAATGGAATCACATAAATCAAACCACAAATGAACTACTTACTAATTCAGTCAGAAAGGCTTGTTTGTTAAGACCTTCAAGTGCTGTGAATGCTGATTCTAATACACGAGAAAGATACGCTACAACTCTAGACAAGAGAAGAGAGATATGTTATTCAACATCAAGAAACAACACGTCTGTAAGAGGACAAATTAAAATGACAAGTTTTCAGGAGCCCTTAAGATAGGCTTTAATTATTCATCGGTTGTACCTTGTACAGGCAGTTGTTGGCCGGTGATCAGGAGCAAATCCATCTTCAGGTGATCTATAATCTGTTGCCTTCTGTTCAGCAGAAAGTAACCGCTCCACCTGGATAGTAGGAATTTCACAATAGGAAAAAGATGAGAGATGGAGGAATTGACACAGAGAGCAAAATACATATTCAAGAAACACAAGAATCAACAAGAACAAGTGTACACACATGTAGAGCAGCACCTAGCACGAAAGACAAACCAATACTATACTTAATTGATACTAAAGGGGTGGAATTATGAAGTATACATGCCTAACCCTAGAATCTAAATAGCAGATCTACAATTCAATAACTAACCTCCGCCATCACAGTTTCAATACACTGTTGAAGCCCCTTATATGCAGCACTCTCTGCACTGGACATAGCCGTTGCCATTTCTTCACATGAAGCAGCATGTGCACCATCGACAGGGAGTAGAAGCCGAGATATAGAATTTGAAAAATACTGGAGAGAAAAATGACAATCAATTTAAGCTCTCAAAGAATACCAGGTCATTCCATTCAAAGCAACATTCAAAGCATTTAGATAATGGCAATCCAGAAACATACTTGCTGAACTATAGCCACACTACTACCGCAGCGTTGTACAGCAACCATGAAAGATCTGAAACTGCTTTCACCAGCGGCGGCAGCAGCTTCTGCCTACACATCAGCCATTCATATCCCTTAAGTCCACCGTGTTGGGTAGACTACATTTATTTAAAATATAACTACATTCTATAGTTCACAATTTAGAATGCAACAAAAAGTATACGATAAGATAAGTACAGCAGAAGCAGCAGCAGCAGCTACCCTTCTACTAACGCTAGTGCCCAGCACAAATCTTTCTCTCAAAGCTGCAGCTTCAGTCAGGCTGTCTCTTGCTCGTTCAAGACCTTCTGTTATATATTGACTGACCTGAAATGTTAAAAACATTCCTGAATTTCTTTCTTTGATAATTTAAAAATAAAAATAAAAACTGAACCTGTATGAACCAAAATTTGATCAAACCCTCTATCTAAGCACCAACTTACTTGGTCTAGCAGGGAAGTGAAGACTGCTTTCACATTTGCTGCAAGGGTTGCAGGCTGTACAACAACATGTAAAAAATCAATTTGAAAAACTGGTATAATATCTGATACTTTATATAAATCCAGTACAATTCAAACCCCAATTTTACCATCTACAAGGACATTGTTTTCCCCCTTATTTTCCTGCCCTTAATGAGTTTGCCCATCTCCCAATTATCAGTTTTATATCATCAGCATAACATGTACCTGACTAATGCACCAATGAAGGTGAATTTCCTACTTATCCACAGGGGAAAAAGCTCCTTTTAGCATGATTTTCATACAACTATGTCTTCAAATTCATAATCTCCGTGTGCAGATAGATTTTAAAACACCTCATAACAAATCTCCAATTTCAACATTAAACAAAGGAACTCTGTTAATGCACGTTAACCTGATAATGCCAAAAGAGAAAAAGAAAAGGTAGACCCCAATGTTGGGGAGAACAGAAGTAACACTACACTGGAACACTGTCAAAGCAAAACTTAGGGGCATAATTATAAATATGTTTCTTCCAGACTTTAAAACATACTAGGCAAACATTTTTCCCGAATCCTAAGTCATTAGATAAAAGTTGAAAACTCCTGAGTAATCATATGTAGAATCCCTTGAAACAACAAACATTACTTGAGATGAAAACAATGTGCATCTGGTAATTGCTTCTTCATTCCAACGGACAAACTCTGTCACAACAGTGACAGATATTTGCTGGTGGGAAGATGCTACTGCAGCCCCTTTTGAACGCCCAATTGTTCCACTTGATTCAGATATTTGCTGGCTTTCAGCACGTAGTTCTGCCATCTGCAAAGAGTAATGCATGTTATGGATTGTTACCACCAACACCGAATGAGAGTTGAAGCTTGGTCAAGAGATGATGCATTTGATGCAAACCTTAGCTTGATATAGTTGTCTAAGAGATCCCTGCTCATGTTCAGGATATCCATCCTTGTGAGAAGAAAATAGAGACTCTGTGAGGCCTGCACCATCAGAGGAACTTTCTATGAAAATCCCCGAGTAGATAAGTAGAATGAAGCAATTCCAACCAAAGCAAAATGAGGACTGACTGAACGCAAACATTCTCACCAAGTAAGATGGTACAGGTAAATATTTGTTGGCTGTGAGCCTAGGATTTGTTAAAGAATGGCAATTTCTGCTAGTTTAATAAATAAAAACATCTTTATAAATAAATAAAAAGGGCAAAGTCCAAGTACATTGGAGGCAAAAGGAACCCAGTCTGGAACCATCTAGTTAGAACCCCGCAGTAGATTAACTCAACAATATAAATCATCGAAGTTTCTTAAACCATATCAGGCATCTCGAGTGCTGCCTATCTTTGTTTCCCAATTAATCTTTCCAGTGTCAATTGCTCCAAAACACAATCCACAAGCCTTTTATTTTTGGCTAAAAGCCACATGGTTACCTTATATTAACCATTAGTACCATAATAGTCACACAAGTACTCTGCATTGAGAAAACAAATAAATAAGGAGCTAGATTTCAAGTTAATTCATTACCCTCGACATCCAAGTCACCACATCCCACAGCTCGTAGGTCTCTAGCAAGTTCTTGTGTCTTCTCATACGCCACTGCTAGCATTCTAAGATACTGCAGCCTCAGGTCAAATACAAGTTAAAGAAAGAACCGATTGTTAGTTCAAAAGCATTTAGTGTTCAAGAAAGAGAGGAGGGAGGGAGGAAACAGCCATAGTAAATTTACTCACTAGTAGAAGTCCGCCTTCTTCTATAGGAGGTATATTCACCAGAGATGGCTTAACTAATAATTTGTCAAGTAGAGCAGTAACTCTCTGCTCTAAAACTCGCTGCAACCAACGTAAGAAAACTAGCTATAAAGGTGAAAAAAAAAATCAAGTACTTCATGAACATGGAACCAAATGAACCCAAAAGGAGTCATTTTTCGTTGTCACCCTTAACCAACATGTAGGCTTACCAATCCCTTCCAAGCCTATGTGTTATATAAACTAACCCTGGGTTAACACTGCAGTCAATGCATCCAGATGGGATGTCTTGATTGCAAAGGGTTTGGCCAATGGTTTATATGATGCATGGCAGGCTTAGAAGGGGATGGTTAGGCTACAACTGGGTGAAGTGTGGGGAGCAAAGATACACTCATGCAAAAAAGATAAAAAGAATAAAATAAAGTAAAATCCTGGTTGGTACCTGAACTAAGATTGACATAACTTCATTAGGAGAAGGGAATACAGCCATAATTGTTGCAGCTTCCTTGCGCACAGTATCTGCAATAGAAACAAAGATATAACAAATATGTTGAGGAATATAACCTCTAATCTGGATCAATGGCATTTTTTAAACCTGTGATTTCTTTATATAAAGAAGAAAGTCCACGAGCAACATTGCTAGGACTAGCCTGTGAACCCTCATCACCAAGAACCAATCTGGTATCTGCATTCATGACTTCCACGTCAATAAACATTGGACGTGTTGCCACATAATGTTGCATGGCACTAGTGCCCCTGTTAAACTGCATTGCAATTTAAATAAACAAAATAAGGCAAAGGGATTTTTCTAATGAATAAAAGCTGTAAAAATATCTGATACGGTATGAAATTAGAGCTTGAGAGAGAGAGGCCTGGAGTTTTGGTGTTAAAATCTAAGAATATCATGATCTATTAGGTCTAAACAATTATTACCTGAGATAAAATTTTAGCACATTCTGCCATGGTTGACAATTCTCTTCTCTGTGATGCAGCATCAAAACGAGCTAGCAATCTGTTCTCCAATTCTATTAAGAAGGTAAGAAGAAAAAGAACTTGATTAAAATCAATCAACATAATTTGTAAGGGACTCCAAACTCTTTCCCACCCAAGCTTTTAATTTCTAGGATTCCACATTTTCATATAGAATCATTAAGAAGGTGCTCCATTAGTTTTGAATAAAGTTTTTGGCACAGTGACTTCAAAAGATAGCATGGAGACCATAGTCAATTTCCCAACTAGACATAATATTTTTGTGACTACATACATACCATTGCAGTAGTCCTGAAGATTAGCAACTGCAACTTCTAATCCTCTGCTAGCTGTTGCATTGCCCATAACTGATGGTACAGCTATACCTTGTCTTCCAATATCTTCCTCAGCAAATGCCCCTAATATTGATAGAAGCATGGAAGATTATTATTGCAATGAAGAGAACTTTTACCACTCCTAAAATCCATTTGAAAACGAAACTTATTTACCAAAAGCAATAATCACATTTTCTCCCCATTGCCAGGATATTGGATGGTATTATCATAAATTACAAGTCTGTTCTTAAAGGATATCAAATTGACATTATCAGCACACAGACATTATCAGTTTCTTCTACAACTCTATAGGGTGCTAAACACTCTTGACGGAGGATGGTAATTATTTGCATACACTCATGAAGTCATATCTACACAGTCGGATATTGGATGGTATTATCGAAAATTACAAGTCTGTTCTTAAAAGATATCACACTGACATGATCAGTTTCTTCTACAACTCTATAGGGTACCAAACACTCATGACGGAGGATGGTAATTATTTGCATACACTCATGAAGTCATGTTTACACAAGTCGGACGCAAATTTAATCTAGTTTCATTCACCTAAGAATATTATCTTGCAAACGAATCACAGCTACTGGCTACCCCCCAGTGTCTTTGATACCCATTTCTAGAGAGAGAGTAAGAGGGAGGAGAGAGAGAGAGAGAGAGAGAGAGAGAGATGCTCATAAATAGTGTGCCTTAAAAAATAACTACAGATTTTTTAAGATGATAATGCCATCTTACGCAGTTTCTGTGCAATTTTAGCAGCCTCTGCAACACGACTATCATCGGAAAATAGGGGTGAAAGTTCCATTAGATCGCCTGGGCTGCTATTAAACTCCATCAAGTACTGCAAGGATTTATGATAACAAGGTGTTAACTTATTAAAAATAAAGGGTAGCATATAATAAATGGACCCTGACTACCTTTATGAGCTCTATCGTTTGACTAGCAGTATCCCGCTGAGCATCTGCACTCTGACAAGGAAAACCCACAAATTACAAACACAAATTAACAAAGAGTTAAAGAAATAATTGCACAGTAGAAATCATTAACAAGTACAACTTTGGACGTTAAAGCATATGCACTAGCGACCAAGCATAGGACAAACTTCACCTGCAGATGATCTCCTATTTTTGCAGCAGTCTGTCCAACACTTGATATACGAGAATCCAACCTGGCAAAGCTACCAAACAAGCCGTCTACTCCTTTTTCAAGCTGAGAAATAACAAGCATAACTAATACAGTCAAATTTGTGATTCCTATTCAATTCAGATTCATCTAATGCTTTGAGATTCAAAGCACTTTTGGACTTTAGATTCCTCACTTTGTGAAAAATTTACATGTTTTCACTTTAACATTGGTGGAAAACCATGTTAAAAAAGCAAGTTAAAATAGTAAACAATCGGTTTTATCAAACAATAACGAGAAGCATATATGTTACTTCCATGGAATCCTTCACATATGATACTGGTTACCAAACGATAGGTGAAAATCACAAAAGGCCAGATGCAGTAATTTCCATATATTTTCAACAGGGAAATGTCATTTCCAGCTTAGAGAAATGCATCAAGTCCAACCCCAATATCCATGTTGAGCTCTAATGATGATAGTCTGAGCTCTGACAATAACATTTCCCAGTTGAAAAGGACTGCTGCTCCTTCTTCGAGTACAGTGTGCGAAACATTTTCTGAATAGAATAAACAGTAAAATGTATGCTCTCTGCTAACTAACCTCAGCAAGTGTCTTGCGGTGCTTAGAGTCTTGTACAGAAACCTCCTTCTTAAGATTGTTGAGTCTTCCATCAATCTTCAAGGGTAAGAGGGGGAAATCAACAACTTCAGAAAAAATTGAAATGACTTTGTAAGTCCAATACCTACGCTGTCACAAGGCATACCTGTTTCTGGAGATCAACCAACTCTTTGCAAGAATCCTTGAACAGAGATAAGATCTTATCTACTTCTGGAAATAGAGGGTCTGACAGTCCTTGCGCAAACTTTGCTGCATCCGATGGTGCTCGCATATGTCCATTTGACAAACCATCGTTCCCACTGATGTTGCTATGACCTTCAGATATATCTGTTTCTTCTTCTTGAAAAGATGGGAGAAGATCATTTACCAGGTTCCCAAACAATGCATCAAATGAAAACTCCCCCTGCAAATTAAATCCCAAGGAATTTCAATCTTTACTTTACATTAATGCCCATGTGCATCATTGGTATACTACAATAGTTACATAAGGTAATGATATATTTTGCAGTTTTTCACCTTAAAGTCGTCTATGTCCAAGATGAGTGGAAGTGAGCTAACAGATGAAGATTTTGAATGTCTACCGCTTCTGATTCCGTCTCTACTCTCTTTCATCTAGTTCAAGAAAAATCAGCAGTGAAGCACAATCAATAAAGTCGCCATTGGAGCTCACAAATGATACAGCCAACATCCAGCCAACAGTTCCATCCATTACAGACATACTAACAGCACTCTTCAATCGAGAACCAAAATTTTGTTGCTCAAATCACAAAAATAAATTTAAGACTTCTAATAAACCCAACTCTTGAGCAAAACATGAATGTGCATGTTTGCTAGTCCCATGAAACAAGAAACGGGCCTTTTATACATAATATCTCATCAAGGGATATCTTTAATGTCAACGGAGCACACTATTGAAAATTTTGGAGCCATCATTGTTACAAAATGAATTTTCAAAATCCCGGAAATGGAAACCCCGGAGCACATTATTTCCCGTTCAACAATGATCATTTTTCAATTTAATAGCTTAAAAGTTCAACTTTGAAACCATGATTCAGATTCAGATAAAAATTGAATACATTACAGAACAAATTAAAGTAGGAGCAGTCCAATAAAAAAAAACAGCGATTCATTACTAGAAACATATTATAGGACTTAAAAATTAAAACAAGGTGAAGATAATGAATGTTGTCTAAAATTACGATACAAAAGAAATGCATGTTAAAATGAAAAACAGATGCTCTAGTTTTGATGGCGTTTTCAGCTGCTAGATTACTGGAGTTGGTGACTCCATTTCCAGTTTTTCATCATTTAGCTCTGTAATCTCACCAGCCAAACAAATTGATCAAGAAATTACAAAATATACCATTCGATTCAAAGCTCCACCATCCCTATATTCAGAGCTCCAATTGTCGCAGCAGACTCTCTAGAATTTGAACCCCCAAACATTACAGAAATTACTGAACAATTTCTACCATTTCCTCACACTATAAGCAAAAATCAACAAATACTGTTCCTAATTTGGACGCTGTAAAAATTAGAAAAAGAAAATCCAAAATAATTTCAAGCAAATCGGAAAATGGAAAGTCCACCTCTATGCGAATCCACTAGGCGAGAGAGAGAGAGAGAGTGGCAGAGAGTTTGCCTCTTTCTTCTTTGCTTGGTCTGGTTTGGGTTAGATCGAGGGCGAGGGCGAGGGCGAGAACGAGAGAGAGAGAGAGAGAGAAGAAGTTCGTGGACGAAGACTACAATGAATATTCGATAACTTTAGTGACCATTTTACCCTTCCACTGTGATACAAACGGTGTAATGATTGAGGGTAATTTTGAGAGTTAGAATGCATCTAAAAACAAGCTGGATGCAGAAGCATTGTAGCTTTGATTTTTATTTTTATTGTTTTCATACGCTTTCTATTTGGTCTGCTGTTTCAATTTGATTCGCTTGCCTCTGCCCTCACGACATTCCTTTTCTTTTTCTGATTAAGAAAAACATTCCCTTTTTCTTCCTTTTTTACTTTGTTTTAGTTGGGCCAACCCAAACCCGTCCGAACCCTAACCCGACTTTTAAGTCCGAATTGTGCAAGAAAATGCCCGAACTAAATTTCAACCCTAATTTGAGTATGGGTTGAAATTTTATAATTAAAATATTTTATTCTTCCTTCATGTGATATTCTAAATTTATTAGTTACATGTCTTTCCTATTGTTAATTACATATCTTATTTTTAAGTTTCTTAATATGTAGTTGTTGATGGATTATGGTTGTGTTTATATGTAATGTTATCTTATTATAATAATTCTTATGCAATGAACATTTAAGGAAAGTATACTTACTAACAAGTTATATCATCATCATCACTGTTTTAGTATTTTTTTAGTTGATAAACCATGGAGGGTCGGAGTCTCTTTTGATTTCATTTCATTTTATTTTTGTATTGAACTAGTTATGTGTGAGATATAATCTGAACTTAACTTGAATCCAACTCAAACTGTTATATGTTAAAGTTGAATTAAATAATTCTGAACCTAACTAAAACTCGGGCTCGAACTCGAGCCAAAGCATGAGGTTCATTGTGACTTTTAAAATGGACACTACATTTCAATTTGTTCACATTACTATCCAAACTTGTAAAATGTTATCATTTTAAGTCTTATGTGTGTGTATGATCATCTATTCCTTCTTCTTTTATTTTTCTTTTTTTATATAAAAAATACAAGTGATAATCTAAACTAAGGGGAAGGGGGTTCTCACACACACTAATAAGGTGCCATAGAGATTCAAACCTGAAACAACTAATTTGCAAGTCAATGACTTTTTTCACTGGGTTAGACCTTGTTAACCCTTTATTAACTACCAACGTGGCAAGTAATGATACTCAATTCCAAAAACAACAAGACCACACCCCACCATATCGTCAAGAACATTTTTGCATTTATATCGCCCAATTTTTAGTCAAACATAAAGCATACCTCCCAAAAATTTGTTTGCATTCCAAATTATGGCTGTAATCAACATCTTGAATCCTAGCATGGGATGCTAGGGTATGGTCTCACTGTCTCTTAAAAATGAGCCTTGCACTTGCCACGTAGGCAATTAACGATGGAATGAAGTCATACATGCGAAAGGTTCAAAATGATAAAATTTAAGGGCTCATTTGATTTTTCAGTTTTTATTTTTTAGTCTTTATTTTTAAGAAATTGAAAGCATAAAACTTGTTTGGTAACCAATTTCAGTTTTCAAATAAACTAGAAACTGTTTAAAAGCTTTTTGATATTTGATTTTAGTTTTTCAATTTTATGTGGAACTTGGAAATGAGATTTTTGGGGTCAAATTGTGAATTTGAGATTATAGAATGAAAGTGCATATTACAAAGAGTTTGTGACATTTCTCAATGAATGTTTTTTAGTTAGGATGATTTTGTTTGGGTGCTGATTTTCTCACTCATTTTTTGTTCGCTTACACTCCTTTTTGTTTTTTTAATTTGGAGACGAAGGGGAAGGGGAGGAGAGATGGCTTTGCATGTTTCAGATGAGGGTACTGTCTAAAAAAGAGGATTTTGCCCCTCGATTTCACTGAACAATTGACAAACTTTAATGATAGAATTGTTTTAATACTAAAGTTGGAGTACTATTAAAATGAAAATTTTAGTTGGTTGAACAAAATGAAACTCCAACAATAGTTGGGAACCATTTCTGTTAAAACCCAAAAAGTTAACATGGCCTGCACGTGAGCAGTGCGTGCACCAATTGCGAACATATGCATTTTGGGTGCTTGGTTTTCCCCTCCCTCCTCTTCCATCTTCTCCCGCTCAGTTCTCTATGTTTTTCAAATTTCGCTCCATTTTCCCGAGAAAATCATGAGAGAAATAAAGCGAAAGCTTGAAACCTCATAGCAGAGACTAGAGAGATGGGCGATGCAGATTGCAATAGCTGCGCCAAAACCATTTGTTCAATCTGTTACGAAGATCTCAAGCCCATTGTCGAGGATCTCCAAGTCATCACCATCTGCGGTCATGTCTTCCACGAGCTCTGGTATCTATCTCTCTCTCCTCTCCACATATATATGGATATAATGTGTTATTGTTTTCTCTAATCTCAATGTATGCATTGATTGGAAATTAATGTCAAAACGGTGACGTTGCTGTGTGAAACCCTAGTCTGCAACAGTGGTTCGAGTACTCTGCGAAGACGAAGAGATACACTTGCCCGGTGTGCAAGCAAAATTGCAAAGAAAAGGATGCCGGTCGACTTTATTTTCAGTCGGTGGGGGACTCAGCAGATCCCAGTCTCACTCAGAGGCCGATTAACCAATGCGAGGAAGATCCCGTGGTGTTGCGTCGAGAGGTGAAAAGGTTGGAGGTCACGGCGCTAGGGCTTCGTTCGGCTTTTGATCTTCAGGGGAAGGAGCTTAAAGAGCTCAAAGAGGAGGTATTGGATTCTCATTATGCATTGTTTGGCTTCTAAGAAATAAGGGGAAGAACAAAGAAAATGACTTAGAATTTGAACTTTGGTAAATTCGTGTTCTACTATTTGAGTTCGATTACACATTTGGATTAGTTTGTTTTTCGTTTTACGGTACCTTTGGAAATTGGAGAAAAAAAATAAAGCACAATAGTTGTAATTTCAGCCAGAGAATTGACTTTGAATGTTAGATGATTTGTAATTTGGTACTATTCTGTGATTTGATAGTATATTTGGCTTAAATGGGAATTTAAAACAATGGAAACATAATACTGAAAAGTTTGTTTGCTTTTACTTAATCAGAAGGAAAATTAGAAACAAATGTTGCAAAAGTTTGAGGAAAGTTTCCAAAATTTTGTATTATAGAAGGTTATAAGGTTTATGATTTAATTTCTTATCACGGAAACTCAGTAAAGGTGGGGGGGAGATGATACAAATAATAGAACTCTGGATATTCAGTGATTTATTTTGCGCAAGATTGTAGCAGCTTTATGTGGTTCTTATGAGGAAAGTTTTATTTCAGCTTTGTCTATGCAAGGATGAGGCAAAGAAAGAAGCAGTGTTGAAGAATGAAGCCTTGAAACAACAAGCATCCATGCAGCAGCAGCTTCATATGAAATCTGAGGTAAACCATGAACTTTGGTTCTTCATTAAATAGTCTGTGATTGATTTTATAAATCTGATAAAGTGGTAATTTTTTTGATAGGCCCTTGATAAATCGACTATGGAGCGCTTGAGGTTGCAAGACAGAAACATGGCATTGGCCAAAGAGCTTGCAGCATTCAAATTGTGAGTGGTTTCACCATGAGTGGTAGTTTTTCTAATGGTTCTTTATCATTTTGTTAATCAGAAAGAGTTAAACATAAGACTTACGTCAACCCCACACATGCTTTGCCTCTTTAGCCCAAGCAAAGGGCTATTATGTTGTAGGCAATCTAATCTCTCAAATACTTGTTTTCTTTTCTGCTTCTAACATGGTTATGTGGGTTGCAATCTAGGGTATCTGATTTAGATCTGAATGAAGATGAGGTTCTAAAGCTTTCCACTCTTGGTAATGGGGCCAACACCAAAGACACGATAGATATTCTAAGAAAGTCCTTGGAGATGAGTAAAAGGTCAGCCATATAAATCTTATCTTGAAATTTACTCAACCTTTATGGATGGAGCAAACTGTTTGACATTTGCTCAAATGCTTCTCTCTCAAGTGATTTTAAGCAGTGGTCATTTCTCATTTCATCCTTTTATACTTTGTTTCTTTCTCATGTTTTAATTTACATTATTTGCCATGCATATTTCTCATAGGAACTACAAAGAATTGATAAACAAATACAATGGTATTGCAAGAGAAGCCCGTGAGAGCAAAAAACTTGAGAAGGAGGCTAAAGAAAAGATTAAAAAATTGAAGGTAAGTTTGTGATGAGATGATCTGAAGTGAATATCAATCGATGAGTGGAACCTGATCTAAGTGATTTTGTGGCCGTTATCAGAATAGGGTACAAGAACTGGAGATGGCTGTTGAAGTAAAAGATAATGAAGATTTGAGGGATTTAAAAGCTTCAAAGAAAACTCGGGGTGAAGGAGTTATGCAGAATGGTGTACAATGTAACTTTAAATCAATGCCTGTCAACAACTCATCCGAAGATCAACGAGAACATCCGTATGCTCCCAAGCGTAAGTTGAATAAGACTGAAAACTTGGAAAATGATCTACTGTGTCATAGGAGAACAGAAAACTTCAATTTCATTGATCATATGGATGAAAATTGTACCAAAGATGGTACAAGGACCCCTGCTCATGATAAAGTAAGAGATGCCTACTCTTTAATAGATGAAGATGCTTCAAAAGTTTCCACAACTAAGCATGGACTTTCAAATCTCAATTTGAAAGAACAAACCTATGACGGTGTTGCTATCCAGAAGTGTACTCGGTTGAGGTCAGAGGCAGCTTCTGATACTAAGAAAGAAACTTCAGTCATTGGACTAAGCAATCTGGTTGAGCCTTTCGGTTCAATAACTGGAACCTCTAAGAATACTGCCAAGACCCCTGCTGCTGATATGGCTGATGTTGTGATTCTTGATGATGTTGAACAAGTTCAACCCATTTTTAACATCAGAAAGGAGTCTCCTATCCCACAACCACTTCCCAGTCCAGGTATATTATTGATGCATTTTTGAGTTCGACTGGGAAATGCATCATGAAATGATTCTGAAGATTAGAAAAACTTAACTTTGTTTTTGTTATTTCTCTTCCAAATGCAGGGGATATATGTTTTTCTGGTGGCTTGCTTGGGCCTGATGGAACAAACAGATATTTAGGTAAATGGTGCAAGCGGGGTCTGAACAAGGGATCAGAATCAAGTGCAGATACTGGTCGTTTGATTGCTGTAGGAGCTGACGGAAGAGGCGGTAGAATCAAAGTTCTGAGATCCTTGAATCAATTGACAGTGGTGGGTTTATGTGTTTGTTTACATTTAAATTAGTTTTCTCTAATTTGACAATGTAACAAATGTTAAGCATGTCGATATTTTTACGTTTGCAGGATAATAAGGAGAATTCATCAGGGACAAAGAGGTGCAAGACTGGAGCTAAGACAAACAGTTCGCAGTCCCAAGGGTGCTTGCAAATAGAACACTTCTTTGGAAGGGTTGGCAACTAATCAAGTGTTTGAAGGTGCGCATATTTATGGCTTTGCAATGTTGAGTTACATGAAAGAGTAACGAATGGTAGAAGCAAATGGATTTGTTAGTTCCTATTTATGAATTTGTTTTTATTGATATTCCATCTTAAATTATTAATTTGATTTTTATTTTTTATTTTTATCTGTTCGTATAATCTAATCCGTCTCTTTGTTGTCCTACACAGCCGAAGACAAACCCTATGCAGATGTCCATAAATATCAGTGGTTACTATTTAAGTTAAGAGAAAAGAAATGTCTTGAACGATGGCTGATGGGATTTGTTTCTTCCGTTCAAAATGATGTGTCTTCTTGTAAAAAGTTTCTCCCATTTTGTTGTCTATAGCATAACTTGTGTGCCATTTCAAAATGAACCAGGGTGCAGTTTTCTCTTATGCCCCTTGGACAAATCTCAATACAAAATCACTTCAATGAACCTTCTGCCTTGCATGAATGCCATGACGCAAGAGTAACACAAAAGCAGCCCAACATTATTTTAATAACGCAACTAAAAACTAAAGATAATTAATAATATACTTGTATATTACTCAAATTTCCGTTATTTCCAAATTGTACTCTTATTCCAAGCAAAGGACAAAAAGACTTGTATCCTTTTTATTTTTTTCAGTGAAGTCTTCTAGTAGTATATGATATATCCCTAGTTTCTTTCTTTCCTTTACAAATCTATTTTCATAATACTATAATTTAGCCACAACAAAGTTATGCCGCTACAATGGGTTAGTCACAATCAAGCATTGAATTCATCATAAATATGAGAAATCGAATCTAGGACTTTGGATACATGGTTAAATGCTCTTAACTCGTGAGCTATAAGCCCATTGCGATACTTATTGGTATTTTTATGCACAGAAATTATATAATTGAGGGGCATTTCTATAATTTTCCAACACGTAACCCATCGTTGTTTTTAACCTCTTCCATCTTCTTCCCGCTCAGTTCTCTGAAAAAAAATGGAATCTTCCCGCTCGGTTCGGTTTTTTTTCTTTTCAAAATTTCGCTCCATTTTCCCGACAAAAATCATGAGAGAAATAAAGCGAAACACCGAAACCCCAGGAGGAGGTAGAGACAACAGAGATGGTGAATTGCAACGCCTTTAGCAAAACCATTTGCTCACTCTGCTACAAAGATTTCGATCCCATTGTTGAGGATCTCCAAGTCATCTCCATCTGCGGCCATGTCTTCCATGAGCTCTGGTCTCTCTCTCTCTCTATCTCTATTTCATTTATAATTTCTATGTATGCATTTCTTGAAAATTAATGCTTCAAGCGCTGCGTTTTGTCTGTAAAACCCTAGTCTGCAAGAGTGGTTCGGGTACTATGCGAGCAAGAAGAAGTACAGTTGCCCCGTGTGCAAACAAAGTTGCAAGCCAAACGACGTCGCTCGGCTTTATTTTCAATGGGGTGATTCGGGTCTCACTCAGAGGCCGGTTATCGAACGCGAGGAAGATTCTGAGGCGTTGCGTCGAGAGGTGAGAAGGTTGGAGGCCATGGTGCTAGGGCATGGTTCGGCTTTGGAGCGTAAGGAGAAGGAGGTCAAAGCGCTCAACCAGGAGGTATTTGCAATGTACTGGATTCTCATTATTTTCTGTTTGGTTACTGAGAAATCTTGGGAAAAACAATGAAAAGAAAGTAGGATTAGGAAGTTTGGTAAATTGGGGTTTCCGTTTTGCTATTCCACTTAAATAAAGCAATATAATTGCAACTTAGAGTACTCGAATTGATAAGGTAGTTTGGCTTAATTGAGGAATTTAAAACATTGGAAACAAAATGCTCAAAGTTTGTTTCCATTTTCCTACATTGAAAGGAAACTTGAAAACCAAAGCCCGTTTTGTTCAAGATTTTGTGCAAGATAGAAATATCAAAACTCTGGATCTTCAGTGGTTTATTTTGTGCAAGATTATAACAGCTTGCTTTGTGTTCATGTGGTTTTTCAGCTTTATCTATCCAAGGAGCAGGTAAAAAAAGAAGTTGAATTAAAGAATGAAGCCTTGAAACAACAAACATCCATGCAACAGCTGCTTCATATGAAATCTAAGGTAAGCTATTAGCTGTACTTCTTTAAATATATTTTTAAATTATGTAAATTTATTATGAGAAGAAAAAAAGAAGCTGATGAAGTTTTGGTAAATTTTTTTGTAGGAATTTGATAAATTGACTATGGAGTGCTTGAGGTTGCAAGAAAGAAATAGAGCATTGGACAAAGAGCTTGCAGCAGTTGAACTGTGAGTGGTTTTGCACCACGGCAAGTAGTTTTTTTTAATGGATTATTACTATTTTGTTTCAGAAATTTGCGTGAGCCAAAGCCCGAAGGCTAGTATAGGCTACTTAATCTCTCAATGACCTGTTTTGTTTTCTGCTCCTAACATGGTTATGTGAGTTGCAATCCAGGGTATCTGATCTAGATCTGGATGAAGAGGACGTTCTAAAGATTGCAGCTCTTGGTAATGGAGCCGACAACAAAGACACAATAGATGTTCTAAGAACGTCCTTGGTGATGTCTAATAGGTCAGCCGTATATTCTTACTTTGAAATTTAGTTGATTTCAATGGATGGAGCAAACTGTTTGGCATTTACTTTTGTGTTCTTATCTAAATAAAGTTGAAGTGGTAGCCACCTCTTCATTTCACTTATGTATACCTTGTTTCTTTCTCATGTTTTAATTTGTTTTCTTTGCGATACCTACTTCTCATAGGAATTACAAAGAATTGATGGCCAAATACAATCTTCTTGAACAGAAAGAAGCTCGTCACAGTACAAAGCTAGAGAAGGCTAGAGGAAAGATAAATAAATTGAAGGTAAGTTTGTGATGAGATGATCCTATGTGAATCTTATTTGAGGAGCGGTTCCTGATTTAGTGGTTTTTTTGGTCATTATCAGACGAAGGTAAAAGAATTGGAGACTGCTGTTGAAGTTAAGAATACTGAAGTTTTGAGGGCTTTAAAAGCTTCAAAGAAAACTCGAGGTGGAGGATTTATTCAGCACGGTGTAAATCGTAAGTCTAACTGTGTCTCTCAGCATTTCATTTAAATCAAAGAAAACATCTGTATGATCTCGCATGTAATTTGGATAGGATGGAAGCTTGCAGAATGATCTACTGTATCATAGGGCAACATAAAACTTCAATTTCACTAACCATATAAATCAAAATTGTGCTAAAGATGTTACAAATATCAGTGCTTGTGATAAAGTAAGAGATGCCTACTCTTTAGTAGATGACATGCTTCAAAGTTTTCTACAACTGTGCATGGAATTTCAAATCCAAATTCAAAAAAAGAAACCTGCTTGGATGTTGCTAACCATAAGTGTACTTGGTTAATGTCAGAGGCAGCTTCTGATAGAAAGAAAGAAACTTCAGTTCTTGGACTGAGCAATCTGGTTGAGCAGTTGGGTTCAATAACTGGTACTTGTGCCGATATTGCCAAGACTCCTGCTGCTGATATTGCTGATGTTGTGATTATTGATGACGATGAACAAGTTCAACCCATGATGAACATCAGAAACGAATCTCCTATCCCACAACCACTTCCCAGACCAGGTTTACTTGAATTCATTTTGAGTTTGGCTGGGCAGTACAGCATGAAATAAGTTACATTTACCTGAACAACATTACAATATGAAATGTAACTTTATTTTTGTGTTCCTCATTAAAATGCAGCGGATGCATGCTTTTCTGGTGGCTTGCTTGGTCCTGATGGAACAAACAGGTATTTAGGTAAATGGTGCAAGCAGAAGCATAAGAACAGATCGGCAATAGCGCAAGATCCAAGCTGTACAAGCTGACGGAAGAGGTGGTTTAATTAAAGTTCTGAGGTCTCTGAACCAATTTACAGTGGTGGGTTTATTTGCTAGTTTTCACTCAATTTACTTTTGTCTAAATGCCTTCTCAGACTGATATTGGCTATTCCTATTTCTTATTTGGATTTCCTTTTTATTGTCTTTTTTTGTTGCCAGAGTTAATCTGATTCCCTTTCTAAGCGAATGAGTTATTTGATAGTTTTTGCCCATATGCACTAAAATCATAGGTTTTTACTTTTGCAGGATGAAAAAGGAGAATTCACCAGGGACAAAGAGGTGAAAGTACTGAGCTAAGACAAATAGCTTGCAGTCCCAAGGGCGCGTGCAAATAGAACACTTGGAATTTGTTTCATCAGTTGAAAATGTAGTGTCTTGCACAAAGGTTCACCCAGCTTGTGCATTATGGGCCAGTTGCTGCTTCAATTTTGCAGACGAACATCCTTGGCATTTTCGACGGTGATTTTTTTTCTTCTTTTCCTTGCTCTCTTCTTTGGTGGTCTTAGACTAGTTTTTTCTTCTACCACTTTGTTATAACCCCTTAAAACACTTCATCCCCGCACTCTGCTCTTCGAAAACCCCCTTGCCCTTTTTCGAACCGAGGTCTCAAAGTCCATAGAGGGAAATGCTGTAAAATCTAGCTTCATGCATGAGTGATGATTAAGTTTCCAATATGTGTTGTGATTGCATATACAAATTAGGAATGGGAGAGGCTTATGGCATCAACCCTTTGTCCCTTTTTTTTTTAATGACAATTTCCCACATGTAAATTTTTTTTAGTACAAGCGATTAGAACAGTAGGTGCTTGGGGTTTTGAACCTCTTCCCATATGGATAGAGGTGGAAGAGCTCTCATACTGAAAATAAAAAGAGGTGGAAGCGCTCAACCAATTGAGCTATGCCCCACTAGTATTTCCCACATGTAATTTTATAACGGCACCATTAGGCACAAACAGCACGACAGTTTTGAACATTCTCCACACGATAATTCTTTGGTTTAAGCAGGTCCAGCATGAATTTCTTACAACCTTCAATTATTTATTGTCTGGGGAAGGAAAGCAATACTGAAACTGGATAAATTCAGTAGTTTTATTTTTGGGCCCAGGCCCCCAGTTTGGAATTTGGATTGCTCGATTCAAAATACCGCCCGCTGATTCGGGAATTTTTTTTACAGCCCATGCTATTCGTGGGCGGCTTGCAAATATATACCGAGGGTGAAAAAAATAGTTCTCTCCATAATTTCCGTCTGTAAAAGCCTTTGAAGTGCTTTGCTGACCAATCATATTATTGTTTTGTTCTGTAAGATTTACTTTCGCGTTTGATGAGAACTTTTTACCCATAAATTATTTATTAAATTAGTTAATGGGCCATCAATAGGTCAATTCTAATAAAAAAGAGCTTTGACTTTCAGATAAGAGATCTCTGGCATCATAATTGTGTATTAGAGAAACTCCCGTCCTAATTTAGATTGTTGCGTGTACTTAAAAAAAAAGTTAATGGGTCAATGAGCAATACTACACTCATCACTTAAATTTATAGTTCTAGTCGTTGGTTGGTGGAATGTGAATGGAATGAAAATGGAAATAAATGTGTTAATCCACGTTTTTGGTTGGAAAAAAATAAATTAGAATCAGAAGTTCTTGGGGTTAGCCCAAGTGGTGAGAATAGTTGAAAAAATGGATCATAATCAGGTTATGTCTAGGGTTCATTCACTCCATTTAAACAACCAAAAAATAAATAAAAGGTTACAATTAGAGATAGAATCAGAGTTTTAAAAAAAATTGGTTATCAGTTCATTAGTTATCCTTTAAATAAATTTTATTTATTTATCAAATGACAAATTATATTCTGGCCTCTTTGACTTTTTGTCATTGCCAATTGATAAGAGCTCTCTCTCTCTCTCTCTCTCTCTCTCTCTCTCTCTCCCAGTCAGTGGTTATCACCACAAACACAAAGATCCTTGGCGCTCAAGAAATTAAAAGGGGTTTCCCTTTCAAATGCATACAGGTGTCAAGAAGGAAAGCTCAAGACTTTTGAATAGGAAAGATAGAAAACAATATCAAAGTAATGGAAGACAGCCAGAGAATCGGGTCCAAGTAAACACCCACCCAGAGGCCAGATTGTAAATGTATTTTTTCAGCAAGTCCTAAAGCCACCGTGAGAATTGATTGTTTTCTCTTTGACCCACTTCATGTTCTGACCTTTAAATAGTTGTTTGTGGGTTACAAACCCTAAAAGTAACTGTATTCTATATCCATACACAAAGATGATCTTGATTTCGTGTGAGCTTGTGGATACGTATATGTCTCAGCCTGTGCATGCTGTCAAAGACAGCAAGCAAAAGTCGTATATTTCTATCTGCTTATGTCTCTGGACAAATTGACACGAAATCTTTTTTATTTAGTATATGCTGCCACTCATCCTATAAAAATTCCGACTAGTAAATGAAAGGGATATTTAAAAGTCCGGATTTAGATTTTGGTTTCATTTTGAACTATAAAGATAGAGAAGGAGATGAGAGATGATGATAGGGAATGAACAAGATTTGTTTCCTATATAAACCAAGTATTTGTAGCCTTAATTTGGAAGCAACAAATGTCTTTGAGATTAGCATGGTTATAAATTATAATCGTATATGGTTATAATTGGAATTGCATTCTTCAAAATCAATAAGGCCATACTATTATTAATAGAGATTTTTAGTCGTATACTCATTCTTAGCACTAAAACTATAAATAAACCCTACACAATTTAATATAAATAAACAAAAAAAAACTATTAAAAAAAAAAAAAAAAAAAAAAAAAAAAAAAAAAAAAAAAAAAAAAAAAATAAAGAAAACAATGATTAGAATATTAATTTTGAATTAATTAAATTACTTTGATGCCTATTGAGTGTTTTTGGTTTTTTTATGAGGTTTTTGGGGTTGGGCTTATTTTAAGAAATCAATGGCAGTTTTGTAATTTAAAAGAAGTTAAAAGCTTTTTTATTATGTTGTAAATGAGCTTTGGGTGTGTTTCTAAAGTCTATTTCATATAAGGTTTTTATTTTATTTTTTATTTTTAATAATAAATAATTTGGGCTCCTATATTGAGTATAATAATGAATCTCCCATATTAATATGCTAAATAGTCAATTATTTGAGAGCGCACATGCCAAAAAGCGAGTTTAGTGAAAAGCAGGGAGTTTTTGTCATATGAGATTTTTAGATTCTAGTAGTTTAGTCAAATTCACATTGGTGTCTTTTGGATATTGGTTGAGTATAGTTCATAGAATTGTGCACATGGAATTAATCTAGTGATGATTTTTAGTGTGTAGATTAAACAAAGGTATACGTATGATTAAAGCAAGTGATTTGCATGGAGTATGTCATGCATTGCGTAAGCCATGAGTGGCAGACCTACAAAGGTGTAAGGAGGTGTAGCTGTATCTCCTTTCGCCAGAAAAAGAGTTGCAGGTATCAAAAAGTTGCACCTCCTCTCAATCTAGTTGTGCACACCACTTGTTCGACAAAAGGCCTCATAGAGCTTTCCTTTGTTGCGCGTCGTTTTGACACAGGACAAATAAAAATAAAAAAAAGGTTCATACTGTAAATGGAACATGAGGAAACTCCTTCTATTAACGAGATTTTGCTTCTTTTTTTAATGTCCCTTTTTGAGAGATTCCCACCAATCCAAGTCTATAAAATCATCAAATTCATAAATAAATAAAAATGTCTCCACTATCAAGTCTGTTTATTTTCTTGGTTTATTATATATATATATATTTTAGAAAACTCCAATCTTTTATAAAGAGTACTGCTATTTCCATCCCCCGTCCTATTTGCCCACCCACCTTATCTTCAAAATTTTAAAAACAAAATTACCTATTTGTAAAATGACTTCTGACACCCTATTATTTCCTGTAACCTACCTATTCTTCCCTCATCCCTGTCAAACACCACCCCCCGGACCAAACTTGAAGCTCAGTTTGCAGTCCCTTCAATATAAAGCCATTGACTCACAAAGAAGTTGTCGCAATTGATATTAGGGTTGATAGAAAGGAAAAAATAAATACTCAAATTGAACTTTTTAATGACAAAAGTAGACGTATCACCCTCTGCACCATAAACTGAATAGCATACTGGGCTAGCTTGTTTCTTTCCAAATCCAACTGCAACGTTAACGCATGTATTACAAATGAACTACAAATCTTTTTTAATATTTTTGTGAGACTAAAAATAAATAATTTTAAAGTAAATAAAAATTTGAGTTAGGAATAATTCTTACTGCCAAGTTGTCTCTACTCTCAGCCATGGAAACCATTATATATATATATATATAATTATTCTATGTTTTTAGTAACATCTCTATTTAGTGTCTGGGTAATGAGATTTGACGACAGTGCACAACCATATTATAGGTGGTATGTCTTTTTTTTTGGGTCGATGTAGGTGGTTTATGTCTAGTTACAAGCCGGTATGTCCAATGTCACATGTTGTTTTTCGGGAATTTTTCTGGAATTGTGATTGAAGAAAAGAATTGGAAGAAGAATAGGAAGAGATTGTTGGGTTTGTTTGGGTAATTTTTTTTTAATGTTTTGCTTGATTTCTAAGTTTTACTTGAATTAATTATTAAAATGTATTTTAGGAATAATGATGGGTGGAAAGATAAAATTGTGTTTTTTCAAATTTACATGGTGGGTAGGGAAATAGGACAATGGGTGGAAATAGTAGCACTCTTTATAAAAACTTATTCATCGATTAAGTCTTATGCCAAAAAAGAAAATATTGTATTGATTAAGCTTCCAAAGTAAATTGAAATGTAATTCAAACTGGTTCATAATATGTCTTTATATATATAAATTTTAGCATTTCAAAATTACACTTTCGTTTAAAAATTCATTAGTCCGCCCGCATATATATACTTTCGAGGTTTTAGTTTCTGGGTTTGCTTCTGAAAATGTGCAACTTCATATTTGGCCACGACCCTTTCGTTTTTTTTTTCCGGTTC